AGACTTGAGGCCTCTGACTTCAGAAGACTTGAGAAGCACTATTAAATCTGAATTCTTTCTGTTCTGACTGTAATGAGTCACACCAAAATCTGGTCAAGACATTTAAAAAGGAAAAAATAACTAAATTAATTTCAAGAACTCTTGTATACTCTATAAATACTCATATACCATGACTTTTTGAAAAGTACAATTTAGTTTAAAATTCATATAAATTGCAAAAATCTAAGAGCTACTTTGGTTTAAAGACTTGAAAAGACTTGAAGCTCAAAGCAGATGACTTGGACTTGACTTGGACTTATGGGCCAGTGACTCGAGACTTGACTTAGACTTGCCTGTATTTGACTTGGGACTTGACTCGGACTTGAGGTCATAGACTTGAGACTTACTTGAGACTTACAAAACATCGACTTGGTCCCACCTCTGGTCACAAAACACAAAACTGATTCTTGTGAGCCTTGTCAAAAAACATACTCAGAGTTGTGCTTTATTTCATTCACACATTCCTCCATTATAAATCTAAATAAATTATTTCTCTAATAAGATGAAAGTCTGCAAACCACAACTATGGTTCTTCTATCAGTTTAAATGTTCTTGCAGAGTCTTTGTCTTTATCTCTGCTAAATGAGAAACCACATCCACCCAACACTGAGTCGCGAGTCATGCAATGCCAACTGCAAAAACGTACAGAAAACTATCAACAGATGAGCAGTTACTATGCTTCTCTGATGGTATCGATGTGGTGGCATTTTAGGTTCAGTTTGAGATTTTTTGTCACATTTTTGTCTCTAGCGTTGCATGTGTCTGTCAACATTTCCACTTTGAAGGATTATCTTTGCTGATGCTCGGGTTTATAGCTCTTCATGAGGTCAGTATGTGGCCAGTGGAGAGTTTATGGAGAGGTTAGTTTAGTAATGTTCTCCAAAATAAGAGGCAAATCTGCATGCCCTAGTTTTTCCATCTAGCTTCCTCTGTGTCTGTGTCTCTCTCTCTCTCTCCCCCTCTCTCTCTCCCTCTCTCTTTATTTCTCTTTCTATCTCTCTATCTCTCCTCCTCCCTCTCTATCACTCACTCTTTGATTTTCTCTTCCCTCTCTCTCTGACTCTCTCTCTCTCTCTGTCCTTCTCTCCTCTCTGTCACTCTCTCAACCTCACTCTTTCTTCTCTCCCTCTCTACCCCTCTCTCTCAGCTCCCTCTTTCTCCATCTCTGTCTCCCCCTGTCTATCTATCTTGCCTCCCCCCTCTCTATCGTTCACTCTCAGATTTTCTGTTTCTCACTCTCTGACTCTCTCTCTATCCTTCTCTCCTCTCTGTCTCTCTCTTTTTTCTCTCCCTCTCTACCCCTCACCCTCTGTCTCTCTCTCTGCTCTCTCTCTGTCTCCCCTTCAGTCTGTCTGTTGATCTCTCTTCTCTCTCTCCCTCCCTCCCTCTCTCTTCTTTCTCTCCCTCTCTATCTAGCTATCTCTCTATCTATCTCTCCTCCCCCTCTCTATTTTTCACCCTCTGATTTTCTCTTTCTCTCTCTCTGACTCTCTCTCTACCCTTCTCTCTCCTCTGTCACGCTCTCAGCCTCTCTTTTTTCTCTCCCTCTGTCTCTCCCTCACTGCTCCCTCTTTCTTCCTCTCTGTCTCCCTCTCAGTCTGTCTGTCTGTCTCTCTCACTCCCTCCCTCTCTCTTTCGCTTCCTCTATATAGCTATCTTTCCTCCCCCCTCTCTATCTCTCACTCTCTGATTTTCCCTTTTCCTCTCTCTCTGATTCTCTCTCTATCCTTCTCTCTCTTTCTGTCTCCCTCTCAGTCTTTCTGTCTATTTCTCTCTCCTCTCACTCTCTCCCTGTCACTCTTCTCTCTTTCCCTCTCCCTCCTCCCTCTCTCTCCCCTCTCTCTCCCTGTCTCTCTTCTCTCGTTCCCTCTCTCTCTGATTGTGTCCTTCTCTGTCACTCTCAGCTTCTCTCTTTTTTCTCTCCCTCTCTACCCCTCTGTCTCTCTCTCTCTCTCTCTCTGCTCCCTCTTTCTCCCTCTCAGTGTGTCTGTCTCTCTCTCCCCTCAGTCTCTCCCTGTCTCTCTTCTCTCTTTTTCTCTCTCTCTGACTTTCTCTCTGTCATTCTCTCCTCTCTGTCACTCTCTCAGTCTCTCTCTTTTCTCTCTCCCTCTGTCTCTCTTCTCTCTTTCCCTCTCTATCCTCCCTCTCTCTTTCATCTCTCTTGCTCAGTGAGTGAAACTGGGTAAACCCTTCACCCAGAAGTCATTGAGTCACTGTTAAAAGGATGGATGTTGACAGAGAAAAGCTGATCTGGGTCCAGGCAACAACTGTTTTGACAACTTTGTACAAACTGTTTGAAACAATTGTAATTTGTTTAAAAAATGTCGAGGTGAACGATTCTGGCATATTTACAAAACAATAAAGCCGTACCTGCTTGATACATGTGGCTTTCTGTAATTCTGTATTTATACTATGGCTAAAAATAGCTAAAGAAGTAACTTTTCAGGTAGAGAGTCGGCTACCTGCTTATCTCCATATAGATGTTATTGCTTAGACTGAAATGTTCCACAGTATAGTATTAAACTTAACTATCTTTATCAATTCAGCTGCAGGTGTTTTATTGTGAAAACAAAACATGAATAAAAACATGTATTCTTACTGTAACAGGGGTTGCCTCTCCACAGACCTGACCTATAACTTGGTCGTGCTGGTCTCCATAGAAATATACAAATGCCATGCTGTGAAACATTTGATGCAATAATATTCCATGGAGACAAGCAGGTGTCCTTCAAACATTCAAGAAAAAATCTGTGATCTGTCTCACTGTGATCCGTGTTCCAATCAGCATTAAAACTGCACTGTGTAACTTTTTTGGTTGGGGGTCCATCACCTGCTTGTTTCTATGGAGATGTCACTGCTCTGTCTGGAATGTTCCACAGTATGACACTAAACAGCTCTACCTTACATTTATTCAATTACAGGTGGTTTTATAGCTCAGAAATACCAAGAAAAACAGACTTGTAACTTGGTTTGATCTCCATGAAGATGCCATACTGTGAAGCATTCCAGAAAAAGCAATAACATCTCCATGGAAAAAAAGCATTTGACGGGCCCTCCATCAGAAAGGTTACACAATGCACCTTTAACAAACCTGTTCTTACACTTAACACTTTCATTTGTGCGACATAACTACCGTATTGACAGTTACAAACAATAAAACTATATTAGATTAAAACCTTATGTTGGGGAAAAAACTATCACAGGGGAAATTGAGTGAGTCAGTCCATTTGCCGCCCGCACGCCACAGAAACGCTAATAAATCCCAAATGTATTTTTTTCTTATAGCCTTGAATCTTGTACATAAGAGCATTCATACAGTCAGAAGTCTGAACTGACGGATGCTTTTCATTAAACACAGAATGAACTCTGTCGCCTGCATGTCTTCCAGCTCATGGTCATTTATTTATTATTTCAGTAGTAACTGACAACTCTTTGGTTGGTTTGCTTTGTGTGGTATAATGATCTACTAGTGCTGTACAATTGTGTGTCAGTAAAGTGTAAAAAAGGATGGGGAAAACTTGTATACTTGAGACTGCTTTCTCTATGCCTATGGTGTTAAAAGTGCACTGTGTAACTGTTCTGGTTCTGCTTGTCTCCATGGTGATGTTATTGCTTTGCCTGAGATGTTCCACGCTATGGCATTAAACAAATATATCCTGTAATTATTCAGTTAAAAGGGTTTCAAAAATTCCGTGAAAACATGCATTACTATTGTGAGCAGATTAACTTCTTCACAGATCTGACCTATAACTCGACCTGGTGATGTGACCTGCTTGTCTCCATGGAGATAATAAAAATAAATACAATACTGTAGATCATTTCAGGAAAAAAACAACATGGAGTCGCAGCGGTGGACCCTGTACCAGAAGAGTTACACAATGAATCTTTAGGAGTAACAGCTCGCTATTATGTTAGTGTGCTTCTTTGGATGGTATAATATCTGTACTTATTCCTGAATATGTAAAAAGTAGGAAAAAGAAGAAAGAAAAACAAAATCTCCTACATCTGAGATTGCTTGGTCTATGCCTTTTGCCTGTGGTGGTAATGTGGCAGCCCCTTCACCAGAAAAGTTACGTAGTGAGTCTCTCTTAAGTTAGTTTGCTTCTTTGCATAGTATAATCTCTCTACTCCACAATCATGAATCAATGAAGTGTAAAAAGTAAAGCGATAAGGAAAACTGAAGTTGTTATATCTGAGATTGCTTAGCCTGTGCCTGGTGTTAATGTGGCAGACCCTCCACCAGAAAAATGACACAGTGAAAATGAAATAACTGATTGTTATTATGTTAGTTATCTTTTTTGCACGATATAATCTCTGTACTGCAATCACGACTCAATGAAGAGTAAAAAAAAAGTAGTAGCAGTAAGTAAGTAAAGAAATAAGGAAAACAAAAGCTGTAATATCTGAGATTACTTGGTCTCTGCTTGGGGTGATCAGGGTGTTAGTGTGTCAAGGATTATGACGTGTGGTTGACAAGTTCAACCTCAATTTACAGCATCAAATAGGGAACCACTGCCATCTTATGGACGAACGTTGCAACTGCATCACTTAGTAACTTGTAATGGCCAAACCAATCCAGTGAATGTGAATTTTTTTTTGTCCTTGCAAGTAACCTATAAGTATAGAAGTCCCAAAGCTGTTGGATTAGTCTACAGATACTATCAAATAACTGAAAGGTTTCATTTGAATGAGTATAAAATAACCCTATAAGAGCTTGAAAAATAACTTTCACAATAATGAAAAGGCAGAAAACTGTAAGTAAATGAATTTGTTATTATTTATAATGGCAGATATGCAGAAACAAGCCATGCTCGGTGGAAAATGTCGCTCAGTGCACCTCCTCTTTATAAACACTATAAAAATACTGGCAAAATATTTCAACTTTATTACTTGTAATAAATGCTCTGAAACATCTCCTTGTCTCACGTCCAAAGACAGTTTAACTTTGAAAAAACAACATACTGCATCATGATTTTTATTTATTCATTACAGAGCAGTTACGACCAAGAGCCATCTGTTTACATAGTGGTTCATAAAAATCAGAACATAAAAAAGTCAAATTCATTGGAGTTTTACAAAAAATAGCCAGGTTAAAAATCCTCATCTCTCCTTCATCAGTGCACAATGATTCCCTATTTTAAAAGACCACACCTCAGTCATATTGGAGAATATTACTAAAAATTATTATTACTCTTGAAACTATCCTTCATATAGTATTTGTGCAATTCTCATGCTGTTTCTCACATTATTAGAATTAAAAATAAAATCTCTCTTATTTAGCAATGTAACAATTAATTTATGCATTCCCTTTGTAATATCCATAAGGCACTGGAACCTCCCTCTATGTCCCAACATAATAGCAAGATAATACAACATAGTCTAAAGCAGTAATTCTCAAAAGTACTTACTGCAAATTGCCCTTAATAATCCATGTATTATTCATTCATTCGTTTTTCAAAATGAAACCGAAAAATAAGAAACAAAAAAAAAAAAACAGTTTTCTTCCTTAATTGTCTCCAAAACCAAAATGAAAAAACAATTTGTTTTTTCAGTTTTCGATTTTGTGTTTAAATGAATAATGGAAAAAATGGATAACGGCTGTTTCCCGTTTACGTGACTTAAACTGCGATGTCGGACTGAACCAAGCACCAGGACTAAACCAGGTTTAAACCAGGTCTAAACCAGAACTGAACCAAAACTGAAAACTTAAAAAAAAAAATTTCATTTCGGTTTTGAAGACAAATAACGAAGAAAACTGTTGTTTTTTCATTTACTTATTTTTGGTTTTATTTTGGAAAACAAATGAACAAATGATACTCAAATTCTTAATGTACCACTTTTACAGATCTGAGCCTGTCTTTAAAGTATGATGTTGCTGTGTAAAGTTCGAATCATTAAAATTTTTTTCATTTAATCAGATATTATTAGAAATTTTCGGACAAAAAGTTAATTAAAATAAAGCCTTTTAAACTAAGTGAGTGATAGTTTTTCTTTTTCTCTCAATTAACAGTACCCTTTTTCATGAGCACCCTTAATTATGGATACCAGCAGCTTCCTGTCTCTGCTGTTTTGGAACTGTAAAACTTCCTTGATAAAAGTCTATGTTGTCCAATAGCACAGATCTCATTTACATTTTTATATAAATTTTCAGATTTTAATAGATTTCTTTAATCATGATTATCCCACCCCACAACAGCCATCCATTTTCTTCCACTTATCTTGGCCAGGTCATGAGGACAGCAGTCTAAGCAGACACTCCCAGACTTCCCTCACCCCAGACACTTCTTTCAGCTCCTCTAGTAGGACCCCACGGCGTTCCCAGGCCAGCCGAAAAATATATCCCCTCCAGCATGTCCATGGTCTTCCCAAAGGCCTCCTCCCATAGTTCTCTGCCCTATCCCACCACATTCAAGGTAATACATTTTGTACCATAGTTTAAGAATCACTGCTCTACGGAAACCAAACTTTTTTTTTTAGAATGTATTTTAAACACCTTTTTATTAAGACATTGTGTTCAGAAGGTCCCATTGTAATTACAGATCCACCTGCATATTTCCCTTTGCTCTAAGTACCTTTGGTGATTGGTCTTTTTGTGATTTCTGTGCTACCTTTTGTTGGATGAGCGAACCTGGTGTCTCATCCAGCCTGTTGGAGCTAAAATAAGACAACAACATAACAGAACATTTATTAGTGACTTTAAGCAAGATTTTAGGTCTATTTTAGCTTTGTTTGAAAACTCACATCGAGGCTCCGCAGCTTGTCTTGAGTTGCTGGCGCTGCTGCCGAAGGAGGACTGAAAGTTGTGGATGGTTTCTTGGAGGATCTGTCTTTCTCTGCCCTAAAACACCAGATATATTCAGGTTTAAAGTAATTAGTAAAATATTCACAAATGGAGAAGATGGCAGACAGGAGTTCTACAGTAAAACCAAAGAGGAGGAGGGGTACAAATATAGTAAAAAGACAACTGTTGGGTGCTGAATTTAAAGGTGAACATTTCTCATAGAGGGTGTCCACCTGCTTAAATCCATAGAGATTGCCTTTCCTGGAATGTTCCACACCATGGCATTAGACTTGTCTCTCTACATGGAAACAAGCAGGTGACACCATAAGACAAAGATATGGGCCAAATATACAAACCTGCACATTCCAAGGCATTATACAGCAATAAAAAACACATGTAATTATAAAAAAAGAGGCTATACAGTATATGTATTACACTTTACATGTTAAATGTGAAGTCTATCACTAACTTCACACAGCTACTGGAAAGTGTAGTAACTGTATAAAGAGCCAGGTATCTGTATGTACCTTCCCTGCGTTGAGCTCTGATATTGCAGCTAAAATTTGCTGCCGAGGCCCATCTGTTTTAATGCCCAGCTCCTTCAGATCTCCATCAGTCAGAGTCAGGAATGCCTCCATGTCCACCTAAACACACCAGAGGGATTAAACAAAACAAATCACTATTTTAATCTTAATGTAAAATAATACACTACCTCTTGTTCTTCAAATATAGGCTGGTACTTCTCCAGTGACAACTTCTTTAGGATACTCGACAGCTCATCTGAAAAAGGAAAAAACTTTACAGTCACAATGTTTAACATACAGAATCAGATCTGTGAAGAGGTAAGCCTGCTTAATGTAAAAAATACATATTTTTAGGGTGTTTTTGAGCTATATAAAAATGTAATTGAATAAAAATATGATATATAAGTACATATACTGCGAAAAAACATCTATGGTAGCACAGACCCCAGTGAAAAAGTTACCTAGTACACCAATGACACCTTAAGTATATCTTGTAATTTCTGGTAATTTCCTTGTGGAAATTAGTGATCCATGTAAAATGTAAATTATTTAGAATAACCAAGTGTATAGTCTTACCTTCATCAGTGATAGTGCCACTGCTAGAGCCCCCGCTGCTCTTAGAGCGTGGGTGGGAGGAGGCAGAGGACAGAGAGTCTCCAGGTCCAGTCGGAGGCTTCGGTGTGGGGGACGGAGATGGGGTGAGGGTGGGGGACGTGCTCTTGGAGGTGGAGGAGTTCCCAGACTGAGGCCTCTTCTTTAAATCTATTTTCTAACAAGGTTAAAACAAGATCAACAAAACAAGGAGTACAACTTTTTAATGGGTTTAATTTTAAACAAACATCAAATTTGCAATCAGTCAATAGTTATTTTGCTTATTGGTCCTGCAAGTATGAAGAGCTAAAATTAAGTTTTATTTAGGAAACCTTGCAGACTATTTCAATTTAAGAGCTCCCCATAGTCTGAAAATGAGATAAACAAAAAACTAGAAACTGAAAACTTTGGGCACTTTTGCACATAAACATATCGTCACTATTTTTAACCAGCTGTTTCTTTGTTTTGAGGTAATGGAAGGACATATTTACTTCATAATTTGTACTAAATAAAATGATTCAAATATGGATCACTTGTGCCACCATAGTTTCAGTATAGACCTGTGGGAGACACTGGAGACACAGTAACAAGATGACATACCCTCCTGGAGTGTGTGTCAGCGGTGACCATGTTGGGGTGGGCATGGATATCGGGCAGGTTGATGTTGGGGAGAGGAGCGGCGGAGGCTGTTATCTGGACCTGGTTCTGGTGTTTGTCTGGACTTTGAGGTTTCACTTCAATTAAACCGGCTGCTCTCTTCCTTTGGGCCGCAATTTGAGAGAGAACACTGTCTGCACTGCCCCCTGGTGGAAAAAAGGCAGGAGACGTAATTGAGAAGTGCTCCTTCCACGTTTTAATGTCTGTTCACCTTTACCAGTGTTAAAGCTGGGAAACCTGATTTTCACACCATGGAAGAAGGAATTTTCCTTTAAATTAGTCTGGCAATGACTTACAGACTTAAAAACTGCACAGGGCAGTTTCTGGAAATCTCAAATGTTTGTTCTGGCCTCTAAGCCTCCCTAAACACAATTTCAAAGGATTTTTTTCCAGAGAATTACTGAAACTGGCATAATTGATGCAAAATACAACTCCAGGTATGTTTTTCATGAAAGAGCAATATTCTAACACGGTTAAAATCTCAAAAATGTCTCATAATGTGTTCAGTAATGCATAATAGATAATGTGTTGAAAGGAAGACAGAAGGCAGTGATAAAGAAAGCAGAGCTGAGAGGAATTTTTGGGGAGTAACCGGGATGCACAGATTTGAACAGCTCATGTTGTATGTTTAGAAGATAAATTTATAGAAACAAGTTCATAATGTACAGAGGAGCCGTTCATGTACTGAATGCAGTGTCAGCTAAATTATGTTTGAGTCAAAACACATGGGTTAGAGCTATGCGGGAGTATCCAATAATATAAATATAACTGCTACAACCCGTGTATTTTGTTTAGCACAGAGTAATGGAGGACATAAAAAATAAATGGCACAATATTGTGAATTCAATCTCAGGCACTAATCAGTACTGAAACTAGATACTCATTTGAAGTATTGATACTGACATACTAAATATATCAGACAAAATCTGATCTTTTCTTGATCTATATCAGAACTAGCAAAGGATCATATGGTAATATTAAACTATCATCATTTTGTCTTGAAGATTGTATTTGTATTTTATACATTGTATTGTCTAAATAAAACTGGGTTTTGCAGTATTGAGAACTGTATTAAAGGTGCAATATTTTTTCTTTGGTTGGAGGTCCATCACCTGCTTGTTTCTATGGATATCTATGGATTGCACTGACTGGAATGTTCCACTGTATGAGATTAAACAGATCTACCTTACATTAACAAATTACAGGTGTTTCTTTTAGCTCTAAAATACCTAGAAAAACAAGCATTCTGACTGTGAGCGGGGTTGCCTCTCCATAGATATGGCCTGTCACTGGTCTGGTTTGGTCTCCATAAAGATAGAAATGTTTAATGCCATACTGTGAAACATTCCAGAAGAAGCAATAACATCTCCATTTGACGGACCCTCCACCAGGAAAGTTACACAATGCACCTGTAAGTACTGAACCTGAGCCTTGGTATCAAAATGAAGTATCATGACAACAGTAAATATAACAGGAGCAGCCCCTACATAAAACTGATTATATAGTTCTTATTGTATTACCTGATCTGTTGTGTGAGTCCCGGTTGAGTCCTGCGACGCCGTTGGAGCCTCCAGACGAATGGGGCGAGTGGTAGTGCCCGGAGTTTGATGGAGACGTGGAGGAGGGCCCTTTGTTTATGTTTGGGAACTTTATGGAGCGGTTCACAACACGACTGATGGAGGTCTGTGGATTAGAGTTATGACATAAAAATACAGGTTATGACATGTGTTTTATACTGTTAATGCTTATAACGGTTTTGAAATATATCTCTGTTAAGTACAAGTCAATTAAAAGCATTTGGAACTTTATGGAGCGGTTCACAACACGATTCTTTCATACTATAAATTTGAGTAGATGTTTTGAAAATAGTGTACAGTGAACTAGTTGTATCATAAATAAATAAACTTGAAGTAATGATGATGCTAAAATATAGTATAAATGCATTTTGTTTCACATGTTGTTTTTTTATCTTATGAAAAGGTCATTTGTTTTTTATAAATGTGTATTATTTTACTAATTTATACTGTAAGTTTTGCCTGTCTGAAAAAAAAAGAAAAAGAAAAAATCTATGTTATGTCTAAACTATTATCAATCCAGTATTTTTACCACATAGTTGATTACTTGTCTTCGGTCATTAGACATAGTCAAAAACTAAACAAAAAAGTACAAATTCATAAAAATGTTGGCTAATTAAAAGTATAACTGCAGTTTTGCCTGTCTAATAAATAAAAAAAAGGTTCCTAAACAGTTATTTATCTAAATTATTATCATATAGTTAACAGATTTTTTGGTCATTAGACATAGTCAAAAAGGAAACAAACAAAGCTACTGAATTTCTGGTGGAGGGTCAGTTGAGATTTTATTGCTTTGTCTGGAATGTTTCACAGTATGGTATTAAACATTTCTATCATCATGGAAACCAAACCAGACCCAGTTACAGGTCAGATATGTGGAGAGACAATCCCACTCAGTCACAATGCCTGTTTTTCTAGGTAGTTTTGAGCTGTAAAACCACCTGTAACTTAATAAATGTAAAGTAGAGCTGTTTAATGTCATACTATGGAACATTCCAGGCACATTCCGATGAACCTCCAACCGAAGTGCACCTTTAAAATGTTGGCTAATTATGAGCATAACTGCAGATTCACTCACAATATCTGAGTTTCCGCTGCTGTTGAGTTTCCTCTGGGGGGGCATTGGTAGGCGGGGGGCTTCAGTTTTGCCCTCCCGGAGCAGTCTGGACCGGTCTGAGTTCCAGGCCTCGAAGTTTGACGGGGGCAGAAACGGAGGGATAACGGCTTTCAGTTTGTCGTTAGGGAGACGAGTCAGAGGAGCACCACTTCTCAGCTTGAGAAAAATATAAAAACGATGTTAAAATAAAATGGATCATACAGAGAAAAACAGAATATAACAATAATGATAATAGTTACAAAATTCTATAATTAATCCCACATTTAGCCGGTACAAATGAGAAAGAATGGACAATGTATTTTATAAATAAACTTTTGAAAAATAATGTTTGAGTACCTAACTACTGACAATAAATATGCACCTCAGATTTATCCTACAATGGAGTTTGTTTAATATTTTAAAATGTTTAACTGAAATAAAATCCATTATTGTCAAATATGTTCCACTCATATCAGGTTTGCAATCCATGTTAAAACTGCACTGTAAAGCAATACTGTTGAACATTGCAGACAAAGCAATAACATTTCCATAGGCACAAGTTACAAGTCAATTCTTTAAAGTAAAGATGGCTTTAAGTTTTAGTATTATTGAACAAAAGAAGTCATACCATCGTAGTTATTAAGGGGTCCTCTTTTTCTCTGCCTAGTCCTGGAAAAAACACAAATAATGAAAGAAAAGCAAATGAAAATACAACATTTTTACACACAAAACAATACTAATCCTTACCAGTGTCTTTAGTTTTCACAGCCCAGCTCGAGTTGGTGTCAGTTCCCCCAATAGCTGGGCTTGGTGCTACAGTGCCATTAGCGTCTGCTGTGGGATTATTATTATTATTGGCTCTCATCGTTGAATCCAGCGAGTGTATGACATCATCGGGAAATGGAGCGAGCCGATTGGTCGAGAGGCCGTGTCTCAGTGTGTGAGTCAACTTCAGCCTACGGAAGCGATTAGACATCCTACTCCACCAGGACTGTTGGCAAAAAAGGCAAATAAAAATGAGTTATGCAAAAGGTATTCACCATCAAATACCTTCAAATCAGTTTTAAGCACTAGTTTTTGTATACATTTTTAGATGATGGTTCTCACTGTTTTTATGACCGAAAGGTTTTCATCTTGCACTCTTCTCTCTCATTTAATGTCTCTTTTAATTTTGTGATGATTATTTATGTGTTTGTTTGTATTGAGATTTTAATGTATTTCTTATTCTGTAAAGCACTTTGAATTACAAATTGTGCTATACAAATAAACTTGCCTTGCCTTGCCTTTTTACTTTACTTTCTGTTTTGATCTGTTCATTTTAGATGAATTTAAAAATGTAATATATATTTGAGTTATAAAAAAAAGCAGCAGTATTTCATATATTATAAGTGAGGACCATTCAATAGGCAATTCGGCTCACAAGAATAGATGCCAGTATATTCTTTGTGGCAGTCCCAAGCTCTGATAAATAGATATGGAAAGGGCATACACTGCAATATTGGCTTAACTCAAACTGTTCTGTATTAACTTTATTACTTCATGTATAGTATTAAATAACTTTTTCCATTACAGTTCACTCTTAGGTTAAAGCAAAAAGTCAGTTTAACATACTGTCTAGGGGTGTTGTGGTTAAATCACAGCAAAGTATTGTGATTTCAGTTCCAAATGTTTCTCTTCACTCTCTTCCTCATTCACACTTGTGATCTAAGGCCTAAAAAACTGTTGAAATCTAAATGAATTTACCTTAAGTCCTCCTTTGTCGTCAGGAGGCAGTGGGACGTGATTGAGAGACTGTCTGCTTTTGGAGCGAGCCATCAGACCTCTCCCTCTGTGTTTACTTTTGTCTTTGTCCACCTGCATACAGACTGACGCTAATAGACGGACCAACTCAGTGTCTGAAAAAAACAAAAATATTCATAGCTTTAGTTCACGGGGCCTCACCATTAACAAAGTAAACGACGAGGGCTATTGTTCTTCGCTGGTTTTGTCTTCTCTATTTTTTTTTTTCCTTGCAAATGATGACGATTTTTAGGGCCTAAAAATCGGTTCGGTGAAAAATTGGATAAAACGGGCATCACGACAAAGCCCAAAGTGACCCGAATCAACAGCGACGCCTAGAAATGGACCTCTACGGGAGTAGGGAGAAGCAAAGCTTGGTGTAGAAAAACGAAATTCAGAACAGTTATAGAGAACAATAAGACAAGCCAAAAGTTGAATTGGCGCATGGCTCTGTGATGAACAGAAAGTCGACCATATTGGATCAAAGATTCGCCACCACTTTGACTGCATATTTGTAAAACGTTTAGTCCCCGGTTTTTGGTCCAAATAAGCTCCCATTTGGCATGTCACATATAGAGACATGGGTTCACAAAAATTATAATTTTTGGGGATATTTCTTACAGTTTGCCCATAGCATGCCAGTGAAAAACACCTTCAATTCCTGTTTCTTTGATGACTTCTCACAGCCACAGGTATTGGTCTAGGGAGCTGTAATTTCCTAGCCTGATTTATCAGCCAATTTCACTTCGTGGAAACTGACTGACCTCGCAGCATTAGGATTTGTTCGCTCAACAGTAGGCAGGTACTATTTTTATTTAACCAATCACTGCTATTTAGTCGTGAAGTATGTAATGCACCACTAAGGGGCTAACTGGTATATGAAGCTTTTCCCAAGTCCCGTTGGAAGAAGGGCAATAATTCTTTCCCCTTAATAAAATTCACCAAACATTGTCTTTGTTCCGGCTTTAAATGCTCGATCTTAGGAATTGTTGCCAACACAGAATGTATGGCTCTTTGCTGATTGGCTGATGCCCAAACTCTCACTTCGGGGTTTTTTGCAAACCGTTTAGTGTATTCCGATTCCTGACCTAGTCGCTGGAGAGAAATTAAATTGAGTGGAGGCATTAGGTGGCGCCAGCCTGGCTAATAATTTCCAGCTTTTCTCCAAATTTTCTTTACAAAATGCCTCCTGACTGATGTAAAAGTAGATTTGACTTTAGGTTTTAGTTGTGTCTTTAGCTTTTAGTTGTAAATATTATGTTTTTGTACTGACATACTGTTACCTGGATCATTGAGGAGCATGACCAAATCAAAGGCAGTGTATCCATTCTTGGCGCGAAGGTTCACATCTGCACCTTGACTCAACAGGTACTTGACAATGTCTTTATTACTACAAAACAAAGAAATCCACTTAAATAAAGCTACCATTGTATTCATTTCACCTAACTCTAAACCTGAAATCTGACACCCACCCGTGATATGTGGCTTGCATTAAGGCGGTCCACCCATGTACGCCATCCTGTTTGTCGATATCTGCTTTCTTCTCCACCATCAGCTGCACCACCTCCAACTGTCCGCTCACCGCCGCGATCATGAGAGGTGACGCTCCCTCCTGATTGGACGAATTCACCTGGGCGGGATCCTCCTCCAGGATTTCTTTGACAAGCTGAGAATTACCTGTAATCAGAATTGAATGTGAACATTTTACTTTAAAGGTGCACTGTGTAACTTTCTGGTGCAGTGGCCTGTCTGCCTCCTGATTGCCTCCATGGAGATGCTAAATGCCTTTATCTGTCAGGTCAGATCTATGGATGAGGCGAGTACACTTACAGTAAGAATATATATTTTTCAAGGTATTTTAGAGCAATATAATTACCAATAATGAAATGTTACATAGTTACATATAATGCCATACTCTATAACATTCCAAGCAAAAGTCTAACATCCCCATGGAAACAAGAAGGTCTCCACCAGAAAAGTTACATAGAGCATCTTTAAAGTAGTCATTGTGGTTTAATTGGCTTTAAAACATGCTTTTAGTCAACCTAGGCATTTGTATTTCAAGTTTTCGGACATAAAATTATGTCTAATTTTGGAAAACACCCTTACACAACTTCCACTTCCATCACTACTACTGTGACTAGTTGAATGAAAAATGAACTGATTAAAAACCAAGAGATTAGGCAATGTGATTTCTATGCTAAGAGCCGTGTTATTGTTGTTCAAGATTCAAGATTCAGTTTTATCCACACATATACCACAAATAAAATACTGTTTCACAAAACCCCTTAAAGTCAGTCTACACGTCAATAGCAACATGAGACAGCTGGATTCTACAGTTACGTAATTATCTGGGGAAACAAAGCAATTTCAGACCATTCAGAGAAGACGACTCTGTAAACACCATTAATGAAACAAGTGTGAATGAAGCAAAACCCAACTCTAGGGTTTTTTGATGAAGGATAATGTTATACATGTTTAAAAGTTTTTTAAAAAGTCAGTTTTGAATTATACGTGCCCATATATTTCTCACAGGATCAAAGAATGAAATAATGTACGTGATGAGACAGTTTTATCTTTCAACATTTTGTAATCTGAATCAGTGGTTCTAACAAAGTATCACAAAAGAAATTATTTGGCTTTCTGAGTACCACCAGATCCAAACCATGTCTATAACAGGACTATTCCAAATCTAATCTCAGGCTAAACCAGGTCAAGTGGACTAAATACCTCCTACTGTATTTTTAAACAAGAAATTACCAAAAATAAGTGAATAAAATAGAGCCCACGTTAGGCATACCCATATAATAAATGAAGGCGCTTGCATACCACCAGCTATACACGCACCATACTTTGAGAAATAATGATGAAAATTAAACTTATCTGCTTACCCAACTTGAGAGCACTGAACACGTCTGGTCTTCGTCTTTCATCGTCTGTGAAGCAAGAGAGAGAAATAGAGAAGGAGAGAAGTGATAGAATAATAAAAACTTAACTTTGCCAAATACCGCAGAATAACACAGTGGGGGGCTGTGTACACCAAAGAATTTAACATTTACCAAGCACAAAAAAATAAAGGCTTTCCAAACTAACATTTAGCTGTAACTGTGAATTTGACCTTAAATAAAGTAAATTATATTCAACTCAAATAAAAAAAACAAAACTATTTTCTAACATGAATATTTATTGGTATCTTTTAGCAAAAGATTTTGTTACATTACAATTTTGTTGCGTAATTAATGGAAGGAAACTTGTTTATGCGATACACTTGACATATTCACTGTTATGATGATTAAAATGATGCATTGTGTAACTTTTCTGGTGGAGGGTCCGTCAAATGCTTTTCTTCATGGAGATGTTATTGCTTTGTCTGGAATGTTTCACAGTATGATATTAAACCGTTCTATCTTCATGGAGACCAAACCAGACCAAGTTACAGGTCAGATCTGTGAAGAGGCAACTCCACTCACAGTCAGAATGCTTGTTTATCTTGGAATTTTTGGGGTATAAAACCACTTGTAATTGAATAAATGTCAGGTAGATCTGTTTAATGTCATACTGTGGAACATTCCAGGCAGAGCAATAACATATCCATAGAAACAAGAAGGTGACAGACCCCGAACCAAAAAGTTACACAGTCCACATTTAAGCTTTTTTCATATTTTCAAAGTATTAATTTAACATCTCCTTGGAGCTACAGTTACGTGAATATGAACCAATCAATGTAACTTTATTTATCCTAGGGGTCAACTGCAGTATATACAGAATAGGGCTCAATTACAGTATGTAGAATATAGAGGTCAGTTACTGTATATTCAGTATACATAACACAGCTCCCACCTGTCTGCGGTCTCACGGTGGTGATGGGGTCCAGGTAAGCCTTGATGTCTCTCTGTTTGAGCTGCATGGATAGTTCAAACGCAGTTTTCGAGAGGACATTGACTCTGTCTGGGTCAGCTCCCCTCTCCACCAACTGCTGAGCCACTGCCACCTGCAGAGTATACACCACAATGTTTTTCACTTTTTTACTTACTAGTTTTTACTTTTATGACACTGCTCTGCTCAGTTTAAACATATCCAATTATTGCTGGGTACATGATGATAAGGTAAAGTGTATTATTTATGAAGATTTTGATATAAGGGTGGATAACTGTAACAAAATAAAGGAACTATTTAGTCATATAATTTCAACTTCCTGTTATATTCGGCATTTTGAGGATTTTTACCCACTCAAAAGATATTGTCTGGTGAATGGCACTGCTTATCAAACTTGCATACAAATGTTTACTGTTTTTTGTTTTATTTCCGACTATAGTTGTTGTATTTTGTGAACATTTATGTAAAAACATGCAGCATACATTTCACTACTCAAACAACTTAACTTTTAATCAGTATACTAACTATTATTATTATTATTTGGATCAATCATAGACTGTATATATACAAGTCTATAGGATGAATCTATATTATATTATTTGACCAAGAAAAAACAATTCCAATGTACAGACTCCTAACTACACCCTACCTTCCCACTGAGGGTTGCGATCATGAGGGGGCCCCAACCGGTGGTCTTCTGGGAGAAGCTGACGTCGGACCCCCACTCGAGCAGCAGACGGACAGCTGCTTCATGTCCGTGCTGAGACGCCACCATCAGAGGAGTGATGTCCATGAACTCTCTGACTCCACCACAGCCTTCAATACCTCCAAACCCAGTGCCACTGAAGAGAAATTAAGAGAAAAAACACAAGAGACCAGGACTGCTATTACTACTGGTGTTAGGTTTAGGCTTGATATGAAATTCCTTTAATGTTACCTACATTTATTATGTGGTCTTTATCTAGTTCTGGTAAAGCTCAGAACCATTCTAAAACTCTTCAAGAAAAACCCAACTTTCTCCTATTTTATGTTTACTTTGTACTGAAACCTGCTCAAATGCGTATCTACTTTTCACTTACTACTGCTTGTTTTATCTACATAAACATTTGTATAAGATATCATCAATAGATCAGTTATTGTGATATTTAATATAAAAAAGTCTGTAGAAAATTAATTTTGAGCCCTGGCCGAACCTGTTGTTGTTGTTGCCATTGGAGACCACATCAGAAGCCACAGCGAGGTGGTCATAGTCGTCGACATAAGCCCCACTCTCCAGGAGCAGTTTGACCACATGAGTGTGTCCCCCGCGGGCCGCCATCGCCAGGACACTGGCCCCAAGACGGTTACGCCCATTTATCTCTGCTCCATTTTCCAAAAGCATATGAGCAACGGACAAGTGACCAAACCTGAGAGAGAGGGACAGAATTATGGATATTACATAGCCCTAAGATATAAATTTGTAAATAGATGAGTTAAATGTGCGCTTTGTAACTTTTCTGGTGGGGGATCTGCCATCTGCTTGTCTTCATGGAAATGTTATTGCTTTGTCTCGAATGTTCCACAGTATAGCATTCAACTCACCTCTCTTGTAATCATTGATACTGTACTTTGAACAACCAAGGAAAAGCAATCACATCTCCATGGAGACACATTTAACAGTATATTTATTGAGATATTGTCATATTGCAGTGTAATACAATTTCAAAATAAATACTTTTTTATTATTTAATTTTAATATGTATAATCATGTAGTATGTTGGATCAATGTCCTTGCAAGACAGGGCATTATTGTTTGACCATTGACACACAGACATTTTCAGTAAGATTGATTACAAATATCAGATGGGATTTTATTCTGAATTTGTGAAGTTTCTTAGTGTTTTAATACATTGAGGCTCATTATTGCCTCGTCTATCATTTGCAAACTACAATCCACTTCAATCCCTTGTTTACCAGTGACATTACACCAAGCCCTCACCTGGCCGCCTGCATGAGAGGGGTCCATCCATAGTTATTGCGGCTGTCCACGGAGGCTCCTTTTCTCAAGAGGAACCGGACCAGGTTCTCGTGTCCGCTGGCGGAGGCGAACTGCAGGCCGGTGTTCCCCTCCTCATCCGTGCAGTCCACCGGCACCAAAGAGCACAATATGTCGGACTCTTTCGGGGCTCCGGGCTCCAAAATACTCCGAGCTGTCTCATAATCCCCCTCGTCACAAGCACGGAAAAGTAAAAGGGAATTCGCACAAACTCCGAAATTCATGTCCTCATTTGGATTTCTGGACCATCTCTCAGGAACATAAGATGCACCAACTTTTCTTTCTGTCCGTGTCCTCGCGTTTGGAAATCATGACGCACCGTAAAATGCTTAGATTTTAAGTTAATGAGTTCGTTTTCTGTCATTAATACTAAAGAGAGGTTAAAGTTATTTCAAATCTCACTTTTAGACGCTAAAGTTTGAACATAACTCCACGGGACAGTACAGCTGCGCCCCGGTCCCGTTACTTGTTTTGGAATCTGAACAACTGGATGATCCACTTCCGGTCAAATCTTTCACAATAAAAGTACATTTGTTTGGATGTACAGCACAGTGTTGAGGATGAAGAATCAGAAACGACACCATTTTCTGTAACGTTTGTCCAGAAAATTATAGATTTAAGAGTATTTTTGAGTGAATATGAGACGTGTCAAAAAAGCAGCCAGCCACGGTGTTTGAAGTCTTCAGTCAATAAAACAAAAAAAAAAAACACACAAAAACAAAACAGCATAATATTAAATGTTTTTGGGCTCTATAGCAATCTTAAACTATACAAAATAGATATCTAAAGCGTTAAAATAATAAATAATAAATAATAATGATTTCTCAGATAGAGTCTATCTCCCTATGTACAAATCTCACAATAATGTATGCTTATAATGGTTCAAACTGTAATCACATCACATTTTCGCTTTCTGTTTTTATTTGTGCGTCCTATTTAATTACTTCGATCGGTTTGCTCTTGCGACGATCAATCATGAAATCAATGCTTTATTAGCCCCATCAAGTGGAATAAACATGAAACTAGACTACTATTAATGGCCACCAGAGGTCCCTGTCGGATTTTGAGTACATCTAGAGCCGTAAAAGATGACACATCCCTAAAGTTCCCGGATGTGTGGTACAAATTGAGCACACGCGCGTTCTTCCGTCCCTTTCCTGAAGCTAACCCACGTTGGTGGCGCCTGTTCCTGGCTCACCGCTGTTCGCTTGATTTATCTCCGAATAAGTCGGTCAGGAAGTATCGCAATGGTATGTTTCATGGAAATAAAGCGTCGTTCTTGAGTGCTGGGATGATTATTTTAGACAATGAACATGGAGATCATATATAAACTAGATAAATGCAACCCCAAACCGGCTAGCTAAGCGTAACCTAGCCATAGCCTGTCTTACTTGCTATGGCTTACTCCCAAAGCTTCTGTTACACCAACTATATTACCTAACTTTAATGAGTATGTGTTTACATTTTAAAGGCTTAATGTTAAATTTGCTTCATTAGTAACGTGAATGCATAAATCCCAAAGTTCCAAACTGTCCAATGACGTGTGATCATTACAAGTGTCCGGTGTGGTTCAGCTCAAGACTTAATGCTGTTATAATAATGTTATAGCCAATAATAATTTTCAGTAATGTTTGTCTTTCTGTCATAACTATTCGATTGCGTTTCTCTTGCTTTCACCGTATTCTTACATACACTGTTTTTGTTTCAGGCTTTCAAAGACTCTGGCAAAGCACCTGTGGAGGCTGAGGTCGCCATCCACCGCATCCGTATCACCTTGACCAGCCGTAACGTCAAGTCTCTGGAGAAGGGTATGCTGCTGTATTAATTTGATAAAATTGGACTTCTTGTGAGCTATGAGGATAAAATATTTATACAGAATTATTGTGTTGACTTGTATACGCTATTCTGAGCCACCATAATTATTTCATGGGTATTGGGCTAGTATTAGTGATGTGATTCATTTTTCCTTTCATTTTTTTTCTATTTAGTCTGTGCTGACCTGATCCGTGGAGCTAAGGAGAAGAACCTGAAAGTGAAGGGACCAGTCCGTATGCCAACTAAGGTATGTTATTTTTTTCTAAGATTAATTAAAGGTAAATTAAATTTGTAATTCTGTCCTGATATCAGACTTTGAAGTGTGATTTTAATTGCTGCATATCACAAAGAATTATCTTGATATTGACTCTAAAAGTAGATATTTCCACTAAAACATCAAAATGCATAAATCTGAATGTATAACGAAATTCCCCACTACTGTAAATAAGTTGTACACACACACACATGCTGTGCACTAAATATACTGCTCCAGTTATATTCCAGTGAACCATGAGTTTGTTCATTTAATTTCTGTCTTTGAACATGTATTAAAGTGCTGTTTCTGCTCTGTAGCAATTTTATACATACTATTTGACTACTATTCCCTAGTTTAAACAAATTTTTGGTGTAGATTACAATTTGGCATCAATTTGCTGAAAACCTATACTAGTGTTACATGCATGACATAAGTTGTGAATTTACCATTGAGGATTTAGTTACTCTGAAGTCAAAATTAATATAACAATATTTTTTCTCTAGACCCTGCGCATCACCACCAGGAAGACTCCTTGCGGTGAGGGATCCAAAACTTGGGACCGTTTCCAGATGAGGATCCACAAGCGCCTCATTGATCTGCACAGTCCATCTGAGATCGTAAAGCAGATCACCTCCATCAGCATCGAGCCTGGTGTAGAGGTCGAAGTCACCATTGCCGACGCATAAACAATGCTATGTTTTCAATAAAAGAAACAGAAAATTGATTTGTTTTGGAATAATTCTTTTATTTAAATATGCATGCTTTAGTCTGTAGAAATGGGATGCACATAAATCCCATTTTTCCCAAAATATTTAAATGAAAATAGGTTCTTGCAACTTGCCAAGCTGGATTTTTATTAGAGGGGTAAATGGATCTGATGCTCAAAAAATGTAATTCACATTTTGTTCATCAGCAAATCCTCCAAGCTGTGAAATTTTAAACTGTTGTACCATTAATTAAATTAAATGGGTAGTTATGTTTAAAGTGTCAAGATTATCAGTAATTGATAGTAACAAGTATGAGTGTTACAGCAACACTTGAAAATGTACTTTTTTACAAAAAGCAAAAGTTGGCAGTTTAACAGAACATTGACTTGTTCAGTTTGTGTGATTAGTTTGAGGTTTTTACTCTCAAATGTAAAGTTTGTTAGCTGCTCGATATAATTTACATCCATCAAGAGGGTTCTTTTTTACTTGTTATATTTAATAATGCAAATATGTTAAAATGTATTTTTATCATCAAGAAACTGACATGAATGTGAGAACAGACGAGTGGCTCCGCTCTCCTTCACATTCTCTGCTCTGTGGACACCTGCATTCAATTTAAACTAATTACAACCTGCTCCTCACTTTTCATCTTCAGGTCAGGAGCTCCCCACTGGGCTATTATTGGAACTGATAACTGGAATACATTTTGCATTTGTTTTTATTTCCTGTTCTCACTTTCTGGATTATTAGCTCAAAATGAGTTCTACCAATGATTTTATCAATGATGAAAGTGTCAACCATCAGCCTATGGACATGGACGTGACTCTAGCTCAAACTACAACAGAAAAGGTAAACACTTTTGTAGCTAAGCGAACAGTTTTGTCAGTTATTATTAGTTGTTTCCATTTGTACATATACATACAAAACATTGTGTTCATGTTTTTTCAAGGTTCAAGAGTCAAGTGACTCTGAGCCACAAACAATGAGTGTCTACCTCAGAGTAAGGCCTTTTTCTAAAGAGGAGCTCAACAGTGGTGAAGACCAGGTAGAGACATGCAAATATTACTTTGTTTATCATATTGACATTTTAATATTTATTTTTGTTTTGTTTAGGAGTGTGTAGTGATTGAAAATGACCAAACGGTGACCCTGAACGCACCAAAAGGCTCTGCCAACATGAAGAGCAGTGAGAAGGGGATTGGGATGTCTATCCACAAGTTTTCGTTCACCCAAGTTGGTATCATTAAAGGTTTTATATTAAACAAAATGGATTCTTGTGAGTTTTAGGCCATGTTAGAATGTTCTTACCTCATCAAAAACATACCTGGAGTTGGGTTTTGTTTCATTTACACATGTTTGTGTAACCCTTTTATTATACTGTCTCCTCTTCATCTCTGTTCCACCTTTTGATGTCATGTAGTGGTAGTTTTCAAGTTAATAGTTATCTCATAGGGTGATTGTCATTTGAGAGAAGAATTCAACCTAAATATGCAGGATTTGTGTGTTTAAAAAATGTGTGAATGAAACAAAACAAAACTTCAGGTGTGTTTTTGACGATGAAACATTACAACATAGAAAATAGTGTAAAATTGGCCCTTTTACAATTCATAACATTATTCTTGTATTATGTAATTTTGACCTATAGATATTTGGTCCAGACATCACTCAGGCCAAACTTTTTGAGGAAACTGTCCAATGTCAGATGTCTGATTTCTTGAATGGGAGCAACGCCCTTATATTCAGTTATGGTGTCACAAATGCAGGGAAGACCTACACTATTCAAGGTGTGTGTTAAACTAGCCATATTTGTTGTATAATGGCAATTCTACAATGAAAAATAGTGAAGTGAAAAGTTGATAAAAAGACATTAAGACCTAGACATTAGAAATTAAAGGTGCACTAAGTCACCTTTTAATGGATATGTCAATGCTCTACCTTGAATGTTTCACAGTATGAGATTAAATAGTTCTACCTTACATTTATTAAAATACAGGCGGTTTCATAGCTCAAAAATACCTAGAAAACAGGCGTTCTGTCTGTGAGCGGGGTTGCCTCTCCACAGCTCTGACGTGTAACTTGGTCTGGTTTGGTCTCCATGAAGATGGAAAGGTTTAATGCCATGTGGTGAAACATTCGAGACAAAGTAATAACATCTCTGGAGAAAAGCATTTGACTAACCCACCATCTTTTAAGCACTAGTTAAGTTAAATTAAAAAAGCATATTGAACCTCGTATGTTTATTTTTCCAGCATATTAACACATGTCTATATATTTTTTGTATTAATAAGTTTATACACAGTATGTTACTCTTTCTTTAGGATCTCCAAAGGATCCCGGTATCCTTCCTCGTGTTTTGGACGCCACCTTCCAGCACATCAGAGGTCATCAGTACGAAGCAATGGACGTCAAACCTTATCTCCGTAACGATGCACAGTTTCTCACTCCAGATCAAGTCAAACAGGAGAAGAGCATTAAGGCTGCTATTTTCACTTCATGTAAAGAGGTAAAATTTTTCAGCCAGTTACAATTTATTTTATTTATGACTGTTAAATTCTTGTGTCAAAATTTTGCGCTCCTTCCACTCAGCAAGAAAACGGTAGGTTTAGTTCCCTAGCCAGCAAACCATAAGCTCTCTTTCTCTGATATCCATGTACTTATCTGTGCAAATTAAGTTTCGATATTACTTCATTATATTACTATAAATGGGAAAATTACAGTATATAGGAACATTATACCCATATCCCCATTTATTTACCTTCATAATACTGCTACCTTTTACCTTTTTTTTACAGATGTCTAATTGTGTTACTGTGATTCTTTTAGGAGAGTGACACTTTAAGAGGCAGTTGTGGGAACGATGCTTTATCAATGACTCTCAGAAGCCGTTCACCCTCCTGTTCCTCATTCAATGAAACTGGTAAGTGACATGAGCTTTGATAAATATCCATCCATCCATCCATTTTCGTCCGCTTATCCGGGGCCGGGTCGCGGGGGCAGCAGCCTAAGCAGGGACTCCCAGACTTCCTTCACCCCAGACACGTCCTCCAGCTCCTCCGGGGGGACCCCGAGGCGTTCCCAGGCCAGCCGAGAGACATAGTCCCTCCAGCGTGTCCTGGGTCTTCCCCGGGGCCTCCTCCCGGTGGGACATGCCCAGAACACCTCCCGAGGGAGGCGCCCAGGAGGCATCCGGAACAGATGCCCGAGCCACCTCAACTGGCTCCTCTCGATGTGGAGGAGCAGCGGCTCTACTCCGAGCTCCTCCCGTGTGACTGAGCTCCTCACCCTTATCTCTAAGGGAGCGCCCAGCCACCCTACGGAGGAAACTCATTTCGAGCGCTTGTATCCGCGATCTCGTCCTTTCGGTCACTACCCAGAGCTCAGGACCTATCGGGCCTTGCTGGCTCGGGGGACTCCTGAAGCAGCTGACGGGTACCGGCGGGCCAAGCGTGCTGCAGCCCGTGCAGTTGCGGAGGCAAAAACTCGGAGCTGGGAGGAGTTCGGGGAGGCCATGGAGAAGGACTATCGGACGGCCTCAAAGAGATTCTGGCAAACCGTCCGGCGCCTCAGGAGGGGGAAGAAGTTCTTCGCCAACACTGTTTACAGTGCGGGGGGAGAGCTGCTGACCTCGACTGGGGACGTTGTCCGGCGGTGGAAGGAATACTTTGAGGATCTCCTCAATCCCACCGTCACGTCTTCCGAGGAGGAGGCCGAGGCTGGGGACTCGGAGGCGGACTCATCCATCACCCTGGCTGAAGTCACTGAGGTGGTTGGAAAGCTCCTTGGTGGCAAGGCTCCGGGATTGGATGAGATCCGTCCTGAATACCTTAAGTCTCTGGATGTTGTGGGGCTGTCTTGGCTGACACGCCTCTTCAACATCGCGTGGCGGTCGGGGACAGTACCTCTGGACTGGCAAACCGGGGTGGTGGTCCCTCTGTATAAGAAGGGGGACCGGAGGGTGTGTTCCAACTATAGGGGGATCACACTCCTCAGCCTTCCCGGTAAGGTCTATGCCAGGGTACTGGAGAGGAGAATCCGGCCGATAGTCGAACCTCAGATCCAGGAAGAGCAGTGTGGTTTTCGTCCTGGCCGTGGAACACTGGACCAGCTCTATACTCTCCATCGGGTGCTCGAGGGTTCATGGGAGTTTGCCCAACCAGTCCACATGTGCTTTGTGGACTTGGAGAAGGCATTCGACCGTGTCCCTCGTGGTGTCCTGTGGGGGGTGCTCTGGGAGTATGGGGTCCGGGGCCCTTTGCTAAGGGCTGTCCGGTCCCTGTATGACCGGAGCAGGAGCTGTGTTCGCATTGCCGGCAGTAAGTCAGACCTGTTCCCGGTGCATGTTGGACTCCGCCAGGGCTGCCCTTTGTCACTGGTTCTGTTCATTGTATTTATGGACAGAATTTCTAGGTGCAGTCAGGGGCCGGAGGGGGTCCGGTTTGGGGACCACAGGATCTCATCTCTGCTGTTTGCGGATGATGTTGTCCTGTTGGCTTCATCAAACCAGGACCTGCAATGTGCACTGGGGCGGTTTGCAGCCGAGTGTGAAGCGGCTGGGATGAGGATCAGCTCTTCTAAGTCTGAGGCCATGGTTCTCGACCGGAAAAAGGTGGCTTGCCCTCTCCGGGTGGGTGGGGAGTCTTTGCCTCAAGTGGAGGAGTTCAAGTATCTCGGGGCTTTGATAAATATTGTTTTAATATTGTTTTGGTTTTCACATTGGCATCATATATTTCAATAAACTGGCAAATATTAAATGTAATACTATAATAACATGGTAATCATCATTTATAGCCATAGTGTCTCACCAGTGCTTGTGTGGCTGCAAAACTCCTTATTTTTCTTTACGAATATTTCTTTTAAAAACAAGAATACTGACTACTTATCTTATCTGAACATGTTACAAATTATCACATTGTCAAATATGAAAACAGCCCTTTGCTTGTAACATTATATTTTCTTTTTGCAGTGGTAGCAGACAGCACAATGACAGCAGATGGCGGTCACTTTGCCTTGTGGGTCGCCTTCTTTGAAATCTACAATGAGTGTGTGTATGACCTGCTCCAGCCCGCCCTCTGCTGTAAGTCCAAGAAAAGAGCTGTTCTCAGAGTGTGTGACGATGGAGCTGGAAACGCTTATGTAAAAGGTGAGGGTACATTCTCTTATATTAAAATCCAATGATTAAGTTACCTTTTTAGGCCACAATGAACTATGTTTTATATTTTCAGATTTGAGGTGGATCAATATTATGAATTTGAGTGAAGCAAACAAGATACTACAATATGGAAACAAGAACCGAAGTGCAGCTGCTACTAAAATGAACCAGTGCTCCAGTAGAAGGCAAGTCCACCTATATTGAAGTTATAATGAAGAAAATGTAAGTTAAATATTGGCAATAATAATACATGCATAGATTGATCACTAAAAATCATTAAGTTTTTGTCATTTTTTTTGGTCCTACAATCCATATAACGTGCCACCACTACTTATAATGTGAACCATTTATTTTACAGCCACAGCATATTTACAATGAAGCTGTTGAAAATTGACAATGATGCAGTGAAGGCCATTTCAGAGTAAGTATCTAAAGTAACAATTTGCATATCAGAACTTTTTAAAGTTTTTAGATGGGTCAAACTTAGAAATATTTTTTTTCAATGTATTTTATGGGAAGTTTACCTGTTGTTGCAGCAATGGATTATCTTTTTTTGCCTTTTTAAATAGACATTAATTTTGTTTTTATAATCTATTCTGTTTTTATTCCAAATTAATAAATGTTACTGGTTACTATGGCGAGCTCCCTCATTAACAACATGGTGTACTAACCCCAGTGCTAATTAGTTTACAGCTCCTCATTGTTTTCTGCAAGTCAACATCTCCGTTGTTCTTAGTGTTGTACTAAGGTTATTATGGCTGTAAACTCCTTTTGTTTGTTTCAGGTTTTCTCTGTGTGATTTGGCCGGATCTGAACGGTGCAACAAAACAAAGACTTTTGGAGAGAGGCTCAAAGAAGCTGCAAACATCAACAACTCTCTGCTCATCCTGGGAAAGTGCATCATGGCTCTGCGCAACAACCAGGGAGACAGGTGAAGCACATAAAACAATGGGGTAATTATTTCTTATTACTGGGTTTAGACTAGGCTTGGTTCTACTAAGCTGTATTAGTCTGAGCTGACAGACTAGATGGGGAAATGCAAAAGCATTTTTTACTTATTTTTTTTATTACTTTTTTTTAAAATTTTTTTTTTTATTTTTTTATGGCTAGAACCTTCCCAAGGTTGTAAGTGAAATTGCAACATTATGTAAAGTTCTGTTTAAATTACTATTGGTAATATGCTGATGTGGTTGTCCTTGGTCGCACTAAAAAGCTAATTGAATTCTGTTTTTACCTTGATTACTTAATATTCAATCAGCGGCAGCTTATTATAACTGTTATTTTTAATAATAAAGCATGAACAAAGGTTTAACAATTTAATGTCCTAATTTCTTAAATGTAATGAACAAATAAGGCTTAATAAGTGGTTTATTAAGACTAATTAAGGTATAATTAAGGTATTATAAAGCAGTACCTCGATCCTTTATGTATATAGCGGTGAAAAGAATAAGAAAGGATGAAGGACAATCAGGGCACATAATCTTCATATAAATGCACATCAACATTTCAATTTTCCTAGATCAAAAAGCTGCATCCCATTCAGAGAGAGTAAGCTCACAAAGCTGTTCCAGTCGTTCTTCTGTGGAAAAGGAAAAGCCTCAATGATCGTGAACATAAACCAGTGCGCCTCCACCTACGATGAGACCCTCCATGTCATGAAGTTCTCCGCTGTGGCCAGACAGGTGAGAAGAGAAATGTACAGACTCAAACTGAACCATTCAAATGTGATGAATAAAGACAAAGTAAATTATTATATGTAGTTATTTTTGATATTGGCCAATGAAAGAATACTAATACTTACCAATTTTGTCTGATACAACCAAATTATTCTACCAAGAAAAGATGAATGTTCCTTAAGTAAATGATACCTGTGTTGGAGCAAATGGGGGTGAGACGGGGTATTACAATTATTAGACCAGCAAGTGAACATCTGGGGGAAAAAATTATCAGTCAACTCAAATTATTCAAGTTAGAATGTATAATTTTACACTCGGAACAAGCTTTGTCATTATTGTCAGTGCACAGATTTGGTGTTGTGCTTTGGTAATTGGTTCAAATAAATGTAATAAATAAAAGTAATAATAACTTGAATAGTAGCATAATAAAATGTAATCAAATAAGTAAAATGACACATTACTGAGGAAAAAAAACACACACACTCACAACGCCTTGACCTAAATTGCTTTTCCTCTTGCTGCCTGTAGGTGGTGCAGGTGATCCCAGACAAGTCTGTCCACATGTCTCAGTGTTTGTTTGGTCGAGATGGGAAGCCCCTGGTGCGTCCTGGGACAGACAGCCCGTCTGTGGAGGGGTACCTGTCTGAAGAGGAGCTCCTGGATGAAGAGGACGAAGCAGATATGTCCCCTCATGCCACAAAACGTAATATATTCAACATTAAAATCACTGTATCTAAGCTGTTTTTTTAGAGTTACATGACACTTTTTCCTGGTTTGAATTAATTACAGTGGTTATGGCCCAAATTTTTCATTACTGGAAACTCTGACACTTAAGACCATATGCTGAAAATATAAAGGCACTTACTTAAAATTGTTTTGCTTTACTTATTCAAAAGGGAAAATGCAAACAAAATAATATATTAAAAAACATTTTTTAGAAAGGTTTACTCAAAATTTGATGCTTTCACCTACTTGTTTTCCTATCTAGATGCCCTATTCCAGTGTTTTGTTCCCACATTTTAATTTTTCACTTGTATTGTTTTTATAGGAGCTTCTGAACATAATAGAGAATCTGAAAAGTAAGTTATTGGCTGAACGTCGGAAAAACCTAGTTCAGGAAATGGAAATTCGTAAAGAAATGGGGGACGCCATGATGCAACAGATCATGGAGAGTGAAGAACTACGCAGGTATAATTACTGTACTATCATCTCTAATTTTTAAAAATCTATAGGTTTAAAGGTACATTGTGTAACTGTTCTGGTGGTGGGCCCGTCAAATGCTTTTCTGAAATGTTTCACAATATGGTACTAAACATTCCTGTCTTTGTGGAGACTAAACCAGACACACAGTTATGGGTCAGATCTGTGAAGAGGCAATCCTGTTTAGTCAGAATGCATGCTTTTCTATTTTTGAGCTATAACACCACCTTGCATAAATGTAAGGTAGAACTGTTTAGTCTTACTGTGCAACATTTCAGAGCAATGGCATATCCATAGAAACGAGGAGGTGATGGACCCCTAACCAAAAAGTTACATGGTGCACCTTTTTAAAGAATTTGTTGATCTTATTTTCTAGCCGAGAGATTGAGGAACTGAAGGAAAGTTACCAGGAGAAGTTGGAAAACACTTTTGAGATGTACAAGGAGGCAATCAAAGAGCACGCCTATCAGAACGCCATGAGGAACCTGGAGGACGATTATGTCCCACTGGATGAGTTTACAGCTGAACAAGAGAAAGTGGAGGTATGATTTAAGTTTCGTTGTACTCTCATCTCCTAAGGCAGTGTCATTTCCAAAAGTATTTCAGATTTACATATAGAAAATGAACTTGCAAATGGGTGAACTATTGATGTTTGTATGTGTGCAAGCTTGAATCAATAAAAAAACAAAAAAAAAAAACTTAAACCTTTTGGGAGGAGTTTTTAGTTTATATTTAATGCAGAAGTAGTTCAAAGTACTCATTGGTAAACCTATGTACTCACTGGTTCCAAATGGCTCAAATTTTATTATGCACAAGTTTCTCAAGTCTTATTTTATTGCAGGCCCTTATTTCAAATTAAACGGCTGTTGTCCATCATGTTGAATTAAAGCAATGTACCACTAACGCCCTCTGATGTGTCTTTCTTCTTGTCTCTTTGCAGGAGTTGAAGCGTCAGTTGGAGACAGCTCAAGGCCGAGGAGGTTCAGTGGAGACGACAGATCGATCTACTCAGACAGAAACACCCAGAGAGACAGAAACAGCAGGTACAGCACATGTTCCCTGTCTCCTCTTTAACATCTGTCAAAGTACGGACACATGTACCTTGGATTTTCTCAGAATCCAAAATCGAAGCACCAAACTATTTTGTTCTGAATGATACAAGTTTCGGAGAGGAGATGTCTTCCACATTAGAGAGATGCAGGATGTAAATAACCATCTGTGGTTGGATTATCTCAAGTTTGCACAGATGATTTTCACCTGGTGCCAATTCCCTTCTGGATTTAGAAAAGAATATAGAAAGGACTGGCTGGTCAGGCAAGCAAAGTCCCACATTAGAGCACATACAAACTATCACAGCAACTCTTTGTCCGCACTTGTAAATAGTTCATATAATTTAATGTAAAATGTCTGGAAAAATTTAATAGAAAGCTCATTGTGTTAGATTAGAAGAGGGGGTGGGATTAAACAAGTTTTCTTCTTCCCATTCCTTTTTGAGCCAATAAAAAAAAATAATAATAATAGTTATTTCTGCTATGATTTCATTAATGTTATGTTCCGTTGTAAAAGAATGTAAATTTCTTACTTGCCATTAAAAAAAAAAGCATAAATCAACACCTTTTAGTCAGCCGTGGGTTGGAAAACTTGGTACCAACAGAATTTAAGAGCATTTCTGAGTTTAAAATCTAGAAGTCCAGGTTTCACTCTTGCCAATCTAAATGAAATGTGACAAAGAGTTTGATTCTGTTCTGTATTGCGTAAAATCGTAATCGGGAATGGGGCTGAAAATTAACAATACATGGAATCATACTACCATTTATCTTTTTGTTTTAACAGAGTTGAGGTGTAAGAGGCTTTATCAAGAAAAGTCTGCACTGGAAACCATATGTGAGAGCAAGCAACAGGTACTTGTGTGTATTGTGTGAATTTAGTTTTGTTTTTGTCCATTATTCTTGCTAAATGTTTGCTCTTCAGTTGATTGTGTCATTGGAGAAAAGTTTGAAAGATCTCAATGAGGGACATAAGTGGCTCACAAGCTGCCTCTCGGAGAAGTCACTGGAGGCTGAAACGCTCGAGAGGAAAGCTCAGGATCTGGTGAGCAAATATTCACTGTGTTTGATGGAAACAGCTAAAAAAAATAAGAAGGAAATATTCAGAAGGTATCATTTGTAGCCAGATTTCAAAATTGGCTTTTAACAGTAGTACTAAAGAGTCAGTGATCAGATAAAAACAACTTCCAAATCACCAAGTAAACAGATGGTCACTCTGCACAACTGACAGGTCTAGTCTTCCTTCAGTATTCACAAAAAGTGTGCGTGAAATGTATGTTTGTATGCTTATTGCAAACCAAATTTATCAAAGGGTAGAAATAAAGACACCATAACCTTGGTGACCCATCAGAAAAAGTGACATTAAGGTAATGTAATCTTTTTATTTTTGAAGATTTTAAAATTGGATTAAGTATTAAATCGTTGCATTTGAAATCCACATGGCAGGTTTTCATGTTTTTGTGATTATTACTTTAGGCAAGACAGTATATGTGGTGAATATTTGACATCACTCCCACTTCACTGGTGTAAAGTTAAGAAAAGTTGTAAAAATACAGGAAGTACACGAAAAAGGATGAATTAGGTCAAATGTTTAGCAAAATCTTAAATATTTGACTGTTAGTTTGGTAGTCTAACCTCTCATATGTGCTTTAAATTAACTTATGAGTTTTTTTTTTTCCTTTAGTGTAAATCTCTAGAGGATGTCCTGCTGCAGAACATTGAAAAAGACAGAGAAATCGAGACCCTAAAACAACAACTGGAAAACAAGTCCCTAAAGACGAGTCCACTGCCGCCAAAGCCCAAACGTGGTCTCCTCGCTAACATCAAAGACGCTGTGACATCGCCAAGAAATTCTGGCTCTGCTCGCACCCTGAGAAAGACTGTGAGGGCTGTCAAACGCTAATTTTATACCATGTTTTTAAATGTAAAATATTTTATGTGTGTGATTATTTTAAAATAAATTAAATGGTTTTTAAAGTGGGTGGAGAGTCCTGGTTTATTCTTGTGTGAAATAAGGAGCTCCACAAATGGTTATAGTTTTAATGGCCAAAGCAATGTTATGGCTTCATTGTGAATATTACTGAGCTTAAAAAGAATGCTTGATGAAACTTAAAGGTCCTATTCTACACAAAATAGACTCTTGTGATCTTTAAGCCATGTTAGAACAGTGTCATTACCACATGACATCACAAGGTGGAACAGAGTATTTTGTGTTTGAGCGAAGAACTCAGCCTAAATATATAGGGTTTGTGAGTTAAATGTGTGTGAATGAAATAAAACACAACTCTGGGTATGTTTTTGACAAGGAAACAACACAACAGAGATCAGAAAATTGACCTTTTAATGAAGACAGTATGGAATCAAACTGATGAATTTTGCCATTATTAAATTACAAGTCTCACTGCTAAAAATAAACTTGGAAAAACTTGCATTCTCATCTCCACAACCTGACTGAACTTTGGCCTAATGGCTGTCTCCATGGAGATTAATACGTTTCATGACTGTGCACTATTCTTGAAAAGTCAGCAGATGACCACACATGAAAAGTTACATTATTGGCTTTCCCCATGCTCTTACTCAAGAGTGAGAAATTGTACAGTATCTCCAGTAAAATATAATCCCCAGTAAAACCTTAGCCCCACATACAACGGCTGTGTGAACGTAGTCTGGACTCTGTGCAGAAGCGTCATTGTGTCTGAAATACTGTAAAAACACACCACCCCTGCATCGTGATCCAGATAGACCCCTATTTTAGCTGGAATCGGACCAGAGACCTGCGATTGGACTTTGTTAAACTTAAACAAACAGCCAGTTTTGTCAATACATAAAGCCCAAGATTTGTCATTAAGTCCAAAAACACATTCATTGCTACTTCCTTTTCTCTTTAAACTCTTATATGCGAATCCTATATCCACCATTGAACCTCTCCATTCCAATTCCCAATAATGGCGACTGATCAGATCTTCTCTGCTCAAAACCTGCCAATAGTAGCTGAATCTATTAGGATTTTTGGGGTATTTTTGGTCTTCCTCCATAAGCGTAGCTCTTCTGTCCCCATCTGAAAGCTTGATTTGTGAATGGGCAGTGTAGGAGTCCATTGTAATTTGACATGAATATTTCAAAAAGTCCTCTCTTGTTTTTGGATCTGGTTGAGTTGGCATCTTTTGAGTTTCTGGTAGTATTTTAGCTAGTTCTTCCGTTAGAGAAAGCTTTAAGTTATCAGTTAGATCTGCCACAGAGATAGATACACGATCCAAAAATGTTACAGTATTTTCAGTTGACATTTCTGTATTTTGGATGTCGTCTTTTGTCTGGATTTCACTGGATAACATTGTATATTTGTGTAGGAAGAAGTTATGGTCAGGAGTTTGCACTAAAGAGTTCAGTTCAGCTTGGGTCATCTTCAGTTCTTTAAGCTCAAATTCCAGATTTTCCAAACGCTGTTGGATTTTCTCCTCTTCTGCTTTTTGCCATTTCCATAATTGTTGTTCTATGTCGTACATTTTTTTCTGAATTAGATGAATCAGCCCAGTAAAGCTCTCCACTGTAATTTCAACTGCTTCCTCTGCATTGCATTTTAGATCAAGCTCTTCTTTTTTGACACTTTCCAAATCAGTTTCTTTATTTAGAATTTTCTGCACAACTTGGTGATGTCTTGCTTCAACTTCTAGCTGCTTCTTATCCCTCTCCTCTGCAGCTGTAACTACACAATGACCAATATGTTGTTTTTCCATGCAACAGGCTACACAAATGAGCTCCCGATCTGTACTGCAAAACATCCTCTTTACTTCATTATGTTTGGTACAAATATTTTCTTGGATATTTCTGGTTGGCGTCATCAGTTGGTGTTTCCTCAAAGCGTCTGATTGGTAGTGAGGTTGTAAATGTACCTCGCAATAGGAAGCTACACATTGTAAACATGACTTTGTTGCTTTTAGTTTATTACCAATGCAGATATCACAAGTTATATCTGTCTTCTCAGCAGGGCAGTGGTCAGTAGACGCAGACTGGTATCCACTTTTCTGTAGCTGCTCCACCAAAACATCCAGCATTGTATTTTTAACCAGGGCCGGCCTTGGCGCAAAGCTCTGCCTACACTGTGGACAGCTGTAAAGTTCAAAATTTTCCTCTCTGTTCCAATGGTTTTCAATACATCTCATGCAGTAGCTGTGCCCACAAGGGATAGTTACCGGGTTGTTTAGTAACTCCAAGCAAATAGGGCAAGAAAAAGCGTCAAGGTCTAGCTGAAGTTTGCTCTCCGCCATGTTTTTGCTGTTAGTGTTGTGGAGTTTCACTTTTCACTGGGTGGGTGGGTTGGAATGTCACTGGGGAACATTGGGGGCAGTGCCATGTTGGACCACCCATTTAACCTCAGCCAATAAGAAGCAGCAAACACTAGCTAGTTTTTATTTTCCTTTTTTTTTTTTTTTTTGATTTTGTATACTGTATATATTTATAGTTTAAGCTGGTGCGTAATGATCCCAGACCCAACGCACAACCAGGGAAAGAGAGAGAGGCAAAGAGAAAGAGGGACAGAGATAGAGAGGAGGAAAGCTAAGAGAAAAGGAGAGAGGGGAAAGAAGCAGAAATTAAAATAAATAAATAAATGAAATTTGAAAATGGATTGGTAATTAAATTGTACACCATTTTCACTCACTTCTCTGTGCAGATTCTGGGTCAAACATGTAAGGTTAATAAATGTCTTTTAACTAACAATAAAAAAAGGAAGTGAAAAAAATCTACTGTACATTGTGAGGACTTTCACCTTGTGGAAACTGTCTTGACCTCGCAGCATAAGGATTTGTTCGCTCAACAGTAGGCAGGTACTTTTCTTTCCCCTTGATAAAATTCACTAAACATTCTCTTTGTTTCGGCGTTAAATCCTCAATCTCGGGAGTCACAGAGAATGTATGGCTCTTCACTGATTGGCTGGTGCCTGAACTTGCACTTCCGGGGTTGCTGCGAATGGTCCAGTGTATTCCGATTCCTGACCTAGTCTCTGGAGAGAAATGGGCGGAGGTACTAGGTGGCGCCAGCCTGGCTAAGTGGACCTGGTTTTTATTATAAACCAATTTTAGTCTTGCTCTTTACAATGAACAAAATATAAAATAATGATATATTGTCTAATACTAAATACCAGAGAAAAAATATGTTTTTTAAAGGTTTTATATTACACAAAATTTACTCTTGTGAACTTTTAGCCATTTTAGATTGTTGTTATCTCTGCAGAAACATACTTGGAGTTGTGTTTGAGTAACCTTTTATTATTTATCTGTCTACATCTCACTATGGGCCTTAGGCGGTTTATAAACTAGACAAAAACATACAACACCATTCACTCACATTCATTCACTTGGGGCAGTATTATTCGGAGTCACCAGTTCTCTCTTTAAGACGTCAAAGAAAGTTCACATGTGGGCACCATTTAATCCACTATTTTATACCCTCTTTGTCCTAACCATGTCTTTACAGCAAAGTGCCCCTCTCTCTCTCTTTATGCATGGGATTGTACACCTCTATAGCAGTCACGGCATACATTTCACGCTTGGTATATGCTGAACATGCGTCACTTCGGTCAAACGAGGTCGTCCATTATCTTGAGTCCTAAGGGAACAAAAAAAAGATACAAATGACCAAGTTCTAGGAAGCTATACACAAGCTTAAGTGCATCGCCATTCAATTTTCTTTTTTTTTCTAATTAATGCATTTTACACTTAACTTCCTAAATTTATAGCCAATTACTTATACTTTGCAGCTGATGTCCCAACATTCCCTGGGGGTGTGATGATAACTGGAGGCACTGCTCTGTTTGAAGCTCTGGTACTCAAGTAGGACTTTAATCTGACCTTTATTTTAACACAATCTGACCAGAAAGAGCTGAAAGATTTGTCTCTCACACACAAAATTGCAGTCACAAGCATTAGCCAGGAGTTTATCAGTCACTCTCACATTGTTGTTGAAAATCAAACACCTAAACAGGACCATGAATGCTCATATTGATCACAGGCTTCTCAAAATATGTTGTTTAAATCAGTTTTGTTTTGTTATTTCTTGAGTTTTCAGATCTTTTTTGTCAGTGTTTGCCAATAGAGAGTCGAGAGAGAAAAGAAAGGACACGTCTTTATTCCCACCTTTTCATCTTGCAGTGCTTACAGACCTTGACATCAACACACAACACACAACTAAACACTGTTATATACTAGACCTATAATATATATATATTATATATATATATATATATATATATATATATATATATATATATAGCCATTTGAACAGTTAAATTCAATGCATAATCTACTCACAATCTAACAAGGGGGTACTATGCAAAATCTACATTTTAGAGCAGTTTGGAGTGATCTAAATAAGTTTTGTGTTGGCAAATTTTGTAAAAAAAAGTGTAGTATGCCTTTACACCTTTATATATTACATATATAAAGGTGGCTCATAATGTACTGACTGCTTTAATTGGAATGTTACATGTACACTACTAGTTAAAAATTTTTAGAACACCCTAATTTTTGCAGTTATTTATTGCAAGTAAATCAAGTCGCGCAAGTCCAATCAAGAGCTTGAAATGGTACAAAGGTACATACTGAACAGCCAGAGGGTAAGAGAAAGATAAAAGATAACAAAATATAAGTCCAAGCTCTACCAAAACTACATCAGGAAAAAAGAAGAAGATGGTAAACTGGAAAACATGGAGTGTCCAGCACAGTCTTCAGACTTAAACCCCATCGAGCTGGTTTTGGGATGAACTGGACAGAAGAGTGAAAGTCAAGCAACCTACAAGTACCACATATTTATGGAAACTTCTGCAACAGACTTGGGAAGAACTTTCTGAAGAATATTTGATTTCTGTTGTAAAAAGAACAAGCTACGAGTGTGTTCAGCTGTTATATCTGCCAAAGGTGGCTACTTGCACGAATCAAAAATTTTAAATACGTTTTGGTCAACAGTTTAAAAAATATGGAAAAAGTATGGTGTTCTAAAACTTTTGACCAGTATCTGTCTTGCAACTATTTAATTACACATTGTTTTTTGTTTTTTTTATTTTGTTTTGTTTTTTTCTCAAAATTATCTTGAAAAACATGTAGCACCCAGCAGAGTTGCTTTCCCACAGATCTGATTTGTAACTTGGCTTGATGGTGTCACCTCCTTGTCTCTGTGAGCAGATTGGCCTTGAGTTTTTTCTCAAAGGGCACATATTACACTATTTTCTGATCTATGATGTAATGTTTCCTCATCACAAACATACCTGGAGTTATGTTTTGTTTCATTCAGACATGTTTAACACATAAACCCTGCATATTTAAGAGTTCTTCCCTCAAATTAAAAACACTTTGTCCACCTTGTGATGTCATGTAGCAATACAGGAAGTGCTCCACTGTGTTTCTAAACTCCATACACCTTCACTAGAATCATTTAGATAATTTCAGCCCTGGAATTGCCCATCTCTTCTGAACTAAAGGTAAAAAGTTGCTGTTAGCTTGTAAACTACCACTACATGATATCACAAGGTGGGACAGAGGCGGATATAAAGGATTCCTCAAACATGTGTGAATGAAACAAAACAAAGCTTCTGGTATGTGTTTGAGGAGGAACCATTTTCAATATGGCTTAAAGCTTACAAGAGTCCATTTTCTTTAATATATAAGACCTTTAAATGTCTATATAGAATTGTGTTATTATATTATTATTATATTATACTCCAAAACTTACAAACTACTTATTTGTGGTCATTAATCTTAGCATCTGAAAAACATCAGGATGGTAAAAGTCGACGTAAGCCCTGCCTATACAAGTCTATGAGCCATGTGGCAGTGTGACCCTGTACAGTGCAGTGTAGTGAAGCAGCGCAGCTCAACCTCTCACTTAGTAAAAGGACCATTGTAGTAGACACAGCAGCTGCCTCTCTCCTCCTCTCTCAACCCAGCCAAACTTAATGAGATTACCTTTACGCTTTATCCTGCGTCAGTAGCCTGCATAGGGGTCAATCACTGGATTAGGTAGCACCTTGTTTCAAACTTACATCACTTTTATTACATTTTTCTTGTAGATTTTGCCACTTGTTTTGTCTCCAAAGGATGTTGAAGACTTTTGCAGGTTTTGAATCGGGCAGGAGTGAAATTTTGGGACCATGGGGAGTTGGGAGTGAGCACTGGAACCTCATCTACTGAATGAAGCATCTTTTGGTGGGACAAAACGTGCAGAGGAGGTTAGAGAAGAAGAAGTAAAGAGCAGAATCGGGACTTGGTTTGTCTGTTCCTCATGCCACTTGTAAATAACAAAGTGAGTGATGAATGCACTGTCAGCACAGACAAATCTTTGACTGATGCGAAAGCTCTGGTGGAGTCCCTGATTAAGGTACAGTAAGATCTCCTATAATCCATAATTATTGAAATGTATTTGTTGTAATGAAAGTGAGAGAGTGTCAAACCACCAGATTTGTTGTCAGTCCTGTAAGATTTGTGTCTGTCCAAAGCCTGGATAAATGAGAGAAAATGCATTAGTAAAAGCACTGATGCTAAATGGCTATGACAATTTGTGTAAACTATTTGTTAAGATTTGCCTTAAAGAAGAGAAAAATCTAAGCAAAATTTAAATTTATATTGATAATACCCCAATTGTATGATTTTGATTATGTACTGATTTAGTAACAAAGGTGATTGAGTTAAACACAGTTACAAATATATAACAAAAAAAAAGCTCAAAAGAATACACAAATATCAGATAATTAATTGAAATACAGATAGATTGATAGATAGATAAACAGATAGATACTTTATTGATCAAGAAAGAAATAAAATTTTCAGTAGCAGCAGTGAAACATAATAACATGTACCAACACATGGCCATTGAAACCATCTGCGTTGGCGGGTGCATGATGTTTTTGTACCAAACTGGAACTGTAAACACATGAGATATGAGAACTTGTGTCCCCTATGGCTAAAAAGGCACTCTCTCAGTAACAGTTCTTGCTCCAATGAATCTTTTGAGTGTATTTAGATGACATACTTTCACACTATATCCCATTGTACTACTAGTCTCCAGTCTCGCCACTCTTAGAGCACTTTTACTAGTACAAAGTGATTTAGCAGCCCCTGTATAATATAAATTAATAAGAAGACAGTCCAGTTCTGGGCCCCTAAAACCCCAGGGCTCAGGACAACAGACCTGTTTTTTTCCCCCTGCTCTGAATCAAACTTACATTATCATCATAAAACATTAACATTAAAAAAGAAGAGTGCAGAATAAAATATGCACAGCTAAACAGAACCTTTTAGCCTGGATTCATTGCAAGATAAAAATGCAATTAATAGAACTTAATAGAAGAACCAAAGTACAACAAAACATGCAATTAACTATATTCCTAAAACTAAAAATGTCATCTGCAAAGTTTATTTATGTTGAAATGAATGGGCTTTATCTTGCATCTATCTCTGACTTACAACTGGGCCAAAGCTGTGGCTGCACAAGGTTGTCATGGCTTATCCCGAAATAGATCACAGATAATGAGATTATTCATAACATTTCTTATTATCCCAGGTATTCCTTCTGGGCATGAAAAGGTCTATAAATAATATATAGTGTATGATTTATGTCTGTAAAACTTGTTCTGTTTCATTTTAGGATCTTTATAGGCCAATGGTTCTGCCTCATATGCACTTGTGATATTACATTGTATAATAATTGTATGAGATGTGTATGGAAGTTAAAATGATCTCAGGTTGACTAGTCTTTATGCTAGCCCCAAGCCCAAATAAATGACTCTAATGTATTGTGTTATCAACTTGCAAAAAAATAAAATAAAATAAAATGTAAGGTTCCTAATAATTATCAGTCAGAGTAAAAGTCTTGAATTCACTATAAAAATGTTTGTAAGTTAAAAGTACTAGTACGCAGGTGCTCTACAGATTAGCTATACACTTTTGTGGCTACTGCAACCATGGCTTCACTCCATATTGTTACTAGGTCTGTGTAATCCTTCAGTTGTCCAGATATGATACATAGCAAAAGAAAAGCTCAATTCTGTCAACTGGACAAAAGTACTAGACTAGCAGAGGGCATCAGAGACAGCTACAATAGTCCAAGTGTTCAAAGAGAAAGTGAAAGAACATGTTTTATCTACAAATATGGTACATTATATTCAGTAGATGCCAATAAAAATGAGTTGAAAAGTATTAAATCAAATTAAATCAAGGTTTAAGGTTCTTTATTTGTCATTCAAACATGTGAGAGAAACACATGACAGAACGAAATGTGTTCCTCAAGGCTCAGTAATCAAAAGAGATAAGAATTTTAATAAATAAACAATATTAACTGTAGATCTCACATGTTTTCCAGGTGGTAGCATGTCACCGTCACCTGGCCTCATGTGTGGGGGGCTGTACAGACTCTCTCCACCTCCGGGATGAGCTCAGACAAACCCGGGAGAGGGCCCTGAAGCTCGCCATGACCATCTGCACCCACCTGACCAAATCTCTGAGGGATAAGAGCCTGCCCCCAGACCATCGCCGCCACTGTGAGCTGCTCTGGGTGGGCTTCTCCTCCAGCCTCGAGCTCCTGCACGTCGATATGTGCAAGGTCTTCAAGATGGCCGACAGTTTCACGCTGGCCAATAACATCTCTCTGGTGCAGACAGGATTACAAGGTAAACTCATACACAGAAAACTCCACCTAGTTTGTAAAATGCTTTTTAATAATAGTTTACTCTTTACTAATGCGTGACTAAGCGTCTAAGGGTCTTACTCACCATACTGGGCACCACCCACTTTTGTCTCTAAACACTCCTAAACTGTGCTTTCTTGTGGTGCCACTTCCAGTTAAACGAGCATCCATTCATTTCAACAAAGATTTGAGAAAATTTTACAGTTACAATTACAAATAGACATAAAGTAGATTAATTTGAGTAAATTGTTCAATTTTCATGTGCACCAACAAGTCACCACTGCACTGATTCTCTAGGGGGCTTTAAAATGACTTTATAGCCATTTTATTTGCTGCGAAGATCAGCAGCTCCATACAAAATAATACAACCTAAATTATGATGGCATCTTGCACAGCAACATCCGGAATAAGGTGAATAGAAAGAAGAATACAGCACCTGCGCTGTATCAGCCCACTAACTGGTGTCCTTAGATCCATAGTAGCTTGAGCATGCTCCAGACAGCTTAACAAATGACTGATAATAGGCTCTATTCACACTTACGTCACAAACGAAGAAGACATTTGGAAAGATGCGATTACAAGTTCCAGTGTAGTTAAGAACAATGGGCTCACCTAACATGGATCTATTAAAACTGACAGTGATCAAACTCATCGTAAATGTGATCAGCGGTAAAGTGAAGACTGCATATGTATGTGCTGTTTGGAATCATCTTGAATTAGACACCCTCATATCTTCTAATCGCATGTACCCAACGCGCTCGGAGTTGTGTGTCAGTGGTGAAATTATGAAAACTGAGGTATGGCTGTAACTGTTGATTAGCCGAACATAACGAAACGCTACATTGACATGTAGCTGATGAAAACTGGGCCTGGGAAGTTGTAATCACATCTTTCCAAATGTTTTCCTGGTTTGTGACGTAAGCGTGAATAGAGCCCACAGCATCCCTTTTGCAGGAGGAGGGAGTGAGGTGGCTGCCAGAGCTTTGAGTTTGCCAGACCTGCACCAGGCAGAGAGCATAGTGCTCCCTGCTGGTCTGGAGGGACAGGAGCGCTGCAGCCTGGAGCAGGACATCAGCCGAATGGACCACATGATCGAGGACATGGAGACCAAGGTGAACGTGCTGCGCTGGATGGTGGAGCCACAGGGGGCGCTGTTGCCTGTGGGCAGCACTGACAGCTTGTCTATGGCCTTTCTGTCTGTGGATGAGGAGTGTTCCGGGACAGAGGGGGAGGGACCCAAACGCCTGTGCCAGCGCAGTCATGTGTTTGCACTTATCCTGCTCTGTGTGATGGTTGCCGTGGCAACCACTCTGTCCATCTGCATAGTCCTCTTCACCTGAAGGACACTGTCACTCACATAAGAATCATTTTCAGTTCTTTTAAGTCTCATTTCTCTATGTACTGTAATTAAATATTCAAATTATTTATTTTATTAACATTTTCTAGGAAGTTGATTCCATCTTTATGTCCGGTAGAGTGCACAGATATCAACATCATGGACAGCAACTTTTGTCACCAACATAAACTGAATCTCTTACTTAAGCTGCTTGTATTAAAAGAAGCCAGTAGTCCTGCACTTACCCCAAAGCTGCCATATTTCACCTTTCCTTTGCTCAGTATCACTTACTACTGGATCAGACAGCTATTTAAAACTTTCCAACTTGACCTGTACAAAGACCCACCCTCTGCATTTTATAGCTCTTGCTTTCAAGTTAATTATTATGTTATTATTATATTATTTAATTAAATGTTACATTTGTTGTACAAGCAAAAATAATAGAGAATGTAAATTTGGGCTGAATTAAACATGAATTTGTTATGGCGGTTTTACTGTGTTTGTGTTCAATATCCAAACAATTTCAATTCAGCACAGAAGAATACAGTGATCAGAGTGTGGTAAGTAAGTTTGACATTAATTCGTGTTTTTATTGACTTAAACTACTTGAGAGTTTAGTATTACTTTGAGGGTGTCTACTAGGGGTGTAACAATATTCAAGTCTCATGATACAATATCATCACGGTATTAACCTCACGGTATGATATTTACTGAAATATTTTGTGGAGATAACAAAACTGTTAATATGCTACTTTTTCCTCTTAAAATGCCTTGAGAAGACTTAATCCAAAGAACGAAGACTTAAAAGTGTTTAGAACTGTTATTTCTTCTTGTGGTCTGCACGGAAATGGAGCAAAGGATCATGGTCTATGTAATTCTCTCTGTCTTTTTTTAGCTATTGCTGCACTAATTTAAGCAAAGAGACTTGTAATTCAATATATTGTGATGGTCCACAATATTATTGTGAGAACTTTGGCAATACGATATCATGATATTTTGGTTATTGTTACATCCCTAACATCTACATATCCCATACCACTCAGCTATCTTTATTAATCAGTATAAATTTTGGTCCTCACGTGGTAAATATCAAACTTCAGATTAGGAAAGTGATGAATAAAACCACAAAGTCAGCTGACAGCATTTATTTGTTTTGCTTATATAAAAAAAAAAAAAAATCATTGTAGACACGATGTTAAATATTATATCTTATTCCCTTCTAGACTTTACACATGGCCAGCCCATATCCAGGGCAGGCCCATTCATTGGTCATCTCCATGAAGTCTGGCTGTGAGGTGAGACCACTCGCTACAAGAGAAAAACAGAAAAAAAGTAATTTAATTTAAAACATTTCACAGAATATGGTGAATGAACTTTCTGTAATGACCCGTGACCAAATTGTAGAGATTGCAGTAGTTGATGCCGGTGTCAAGGAGTTTGGAGAAGTTAAGGGATTGAGACTCGGCCTTGAGACAAAGAGAAGAAAACAAAATGTATAAAATTCTACAAATGCATGGAAATAAAACACAACTTTATTCAAACATTTCTTTTCTGGTCAAGGGTCCACCACCTGCTTGTCTCTATTGAGCTGAGTTATTGTTTGGCCTGCAGTGTTCCACCAAATCAAGTTACCAGTCAGAACTGTGGAGAGGCAAGCACTCTAAGTTTCCTTTTTTATGCAATAAATAACACATGCAATGGAAATAACAGAATATCGACATGTTTAATGCTATACTGTCACTGTGGAACACGCCATCCAAAGCGGTAACAATCTCCGATCACCATGGAGACACACAGGTAGGCACCACCCACCAGAAAAGTTACACAGTGCATCTTTAAATGAAAATACTTATGTCAGTTACTTACATAGACAATGCAGCTCCCAGTTAAAACAGTGTCCATGAATTTAAAGCAGAGAATTTCGGCTGTGAGTCCATCTGCAGAGGTGTGGTTGGCCAGGATAGTCAGAGGAATCACTGACACCAACTAAATATAATAATAAGAAATACAATATTACAATATAATTGCATAAGAACAAAGCAAAGCATGACCAGTGCAAGCAAGTTCTGAAACAATTGGTCTGTTTTTAGAATTATACAGTATTTTTTTATCACGGTGGGCCATCTGTTATTTTCTACCACTTCTGTTTGAACCTGAAGCAAAACCTAGTTACTTAACATGGTAAGATACTCCCCAGTTTTCTGTCTGAGAGAAGAACTCAGCCTAAATATGCAGAATTTGTGTGTTAAACATGTGCAAATGAAACAAAACACAACTCCAGATATGATGATGATGAAACAACATTATAAAATAGATCAGAAAACAGCATAATATGGGCTCTCTAAGCTCAATCAACATGTTGCAGACTTTAAATATATTTGTACTTACGTTGTAATGACAATCTGCACATCCAACTTCAGGGCTGAGGGCCACTATCTGCTTCTCTAGCACTGTGCTGATCTTTGCACATGGGGTCGCAAACAGCCTGAGACATTGAGACAAGAGACATCTGATATGTTAAAAGAATTTATAACTTATTAACATTTTTGTGGTTTTAAAATAAAAATATAAAAATAATTCCCGAAATATCCTTTGTCCTGTGTACTTTTTATGTCATGGAGCAGTAAAAGTCATTGAATCTCTTGAACAATTTGAGTCTGAATTTTCTGATTTTAGGAATATGGAATATAAAAATGTGAATATAAATTTAAAAATTCAGTTTTTTTTAAGAATAATAATTTAAATAATAATAATATAATAATAATTTGAATAATTTTTAAGAATATTTTAAGCACTATTTAAGCATATAATCTTTTAGTAATTTTAAGTCTATACTGAGAACACTTCCCCATCAATCATAAACTATTAAACACTGCCTCCTCACCATATGGATCTGCAGAAGGCGTGGTAGGGCACTGGTCCTGGGATGGTCATAGAGCCCACAGAGGAGAGCAGAGCTGCCACAAGAGCAGTAGGCAGCAGCAGCATAGGCTTCATGTTTGTGGTTTGAAGTAACTGAGTCCTGCTCCTGCTCCTTTTGTATGAAACATGCTCCACACAATCAGATCTCAAATCGATTAGGACACTGACGGACTCAGGGTCTTGTGGTTGAAGTCTGACTTCACGGTGGTTTTAAGGAGCACAAGACAATAGGGTCGTAATAAGAAGGAGATGTCCTTTTGTTTCAGCTTCAAAACAATGTTTCTTACAAAGAGAATTGCTCCCATTGAAATAGTAAAGATTTAACAACTTTTAAGTTTTAAAAATACATTGGAGCACTGCCTGAAATATCACATGACATCACAAGGTGGAACAGAGTTTTCTGTCTGAGAGAAGAATTCAGCCTAAATATGCAGGGTTTGTGTGTTAAACATGTGTGAATGAAACAAACAGCTTCAGGTATGTTTCTGACGAGGAAACACCATTATATATATTTAATGAGCCTCTAAACTTTTTTGTGGATCAAATTTACTACATTTTAGTATATGTACATTTAGACAGTAAATCATGTGATACTTTGAGAGCAACAGGTCTAATGGGTTTTAAACAACTGAACTCTATTTGCTGATACTGTCTATGGAGGACAATAGGTGCAATTACCGAATAGCTGTAAATATTGGCATCTTTACAACACCTGACTGAGACCACAAGAACCTCAGTCCCTCGTATTAACATGCCTAACTGTTGAAAATCCACTAACAATATAGACCAGGCTGTCACTACCAGATTTAGCCAAAAATCATAACTAGTTTTTCCTGTATGACAATTTTGGTAAAGTTATTCATTTTAAAGCTTGTCTCTATGGAGATGAAATTGCTTTGCCTAAAATGTTTATACCATATTTTTCCAAGATTTCTCAGCAAGAAAAACACATGTTGAAAAAAGGCGAGACATTTTAGATATGCAGTACTAATATATATAGATATATTAGTTTAATGCCATACTGTGGAAAATTCTAAGCAAAACAACACTATTGGGTCAAGCAGGTGGTAAAAAGTACTGCAATGCACAGAATTTGGCAGGATTTAGAATTTGCTTTCCTGAAGTTGTAGTCCACAAGCATTTTGAATGTCAAGAACTACTGTATATCTGTTCATAATATATTCCTTGTCACTAATATCTTTGTTTTTCTTTTGTACAATTTCCATATTATTCTGAAATTGAATATTACAAACTTGGAGACATCACCTGGTGAAACAGAGCATTTTGAGGTTTGGAGATGTAGAAAGACTAATAATAATCTAACTGGTTTTAAATTCTATCTTAGTTGTGGTTTTCTAATGACATTTCATACTTTGCAAACCTTGTGTGAAAAAAAAGTTACAGTTTAAATAAGGAAAATGCACCAAAAAGTTTGTATTACATATTTTTATTCCTAGTTCACACAGACTGAGCACAATTTATTGCTGATTCACTTCTTTTTTGCGATTATTGTTCCTTCTGATTTACATGTGGCCAGTCCATAACCAAGGCAAGCCCACTCATTGGTCATCTCCAGAAAGCCTGGATGTGAGGCAAGACCACTCGCTGCAACAGAAAATACACATATAAATCGAAATATAAATAATACAATCAATCATAATCACTACATAATTATCCATATAAAGCCATATTATTCAGTGGTTTAAGATGTCCGACCTGTGAGCAAATTGTGGAGGTTACAGTAGTTGAGGCCGTTGTCAAGCAGACTGGTGAAAGCAATGGATTGGGAGTTGGCCTATCAAGTATAAATAAATAAAGCAATTACTAATAATCTCTGATAATTAAAGGTTACATAAAACTGACTCTTGTGAGCTTTTAGCCATGTTAGAAAATTGTTTCCTCATCAAAACATAAAGCTTTGTTTTGTTTCATTCACACATGTTTGAGTAACATCATCCAAATGATTCTAGTGAAGGTGTATGGAGTTTAAAAACACAGTGGAGCACTTCTGGTACTCAAATAGAATAAATATGCAGGGTTTGTGTATTTAACATATGTGAATGAAACAAAATACAACTCCAGGTATGTTTGTGATGAGGAAAACAACATTATAAATGGCGTAATATGGAGCCTTCAAAATAAATATAAATTAATATGAAGTACTGAGCTTGTCGCATGTACTTACACAGACCCTGCAGCCTCCAGATAAAACAGTGGACATGAATTTAAAGCTGAGATTTTCTGCAATGAGTCCATCTGCTGAGGTGTGGTTAGCCATGATAGCCTGAGGAGTCACTGACACCAGCTGAGGAAGAGGAGGAGGAGGAAAAAATAATGAATACATTTGTTTACATTGTGGGTTTAGCATTCAAAATAATTCACATCATAAAAACACTTAACTTATGTTGTGTGTTACAACAAGTTTGTAGGTGAATTGCAAATTTGAAGAGCAAATTTGAAAAGGTAATTTACAACAAAAAACAAAAACAAAATACATTTAAGCAATATAAATTCTTTGGGAATTAAAATTTAATGACAGGGTTTTCATTTTATCAGGAGGACAAACAGTGGAGGAGGCAGGAATTGAACGACCAACTATTTAAATTGTGGATAATCTTTTCTAATTCTTATTTAACTTATTTTAACACTATAAATGTTTTATCTAAAAATACTCACATTATAATGACAGTTTGTACATCCGGCTGCGGGACTGAAGGCCTGTATCTGCTTCTCCAGTGTGGTGCTGATCACGGTACACGGGGCCGCAAACAGCCTGAGTTTGAAAACAACAGTTCAAATGTTTAATTTTCTGAGTCAGGTCTAAACCATGACTAAACCAGCACTGAACCTTGGACTTAACAAGGTCTAGACCAAGACTACACCAGCGCTGAATGTAGAACTGAGGCTATTAGTCAGGTCTAAACCAAAACTAAACCAGGACTGATCATGTCAGTTTTGTTTATTAAAAAGCCCTTGGCTATAAATGTTGTGCTGCATTGGTTCTCAAAGAAAATATTTAGTTTTACCATCAGACCCAAACCAGGTCTAAAATAGGACTATTCTAGGTCTAAACAATGGGTAAACCAGGTCTTAAATACAGGATTAGAGCATTGCTAGTTCTAACTAGCAAACTAATTTGCTAAGTAATTACCTAAAAACAAAACAAAAGTGATGATGAAATGCACTCTAAGTTAATTAATTAAGTTAAAATAAAGTTTAAAATAAAAAAGAATATTAGGTTAAAATTCAACTGACCATATGGATCTGCAGAAGGCATGGTAGGGCACTGGTCCTGGGTTATGAACAGTGCTCACGGAGGAGAGCAGGGCAGCCACAAGAGCAGCAGGCAGCAGCAGTACAGGCTTCATGTTTGTGGTTTGATGTGAGTGAGTCCTGCTCCTTTTATATGAAACATGAACCAGACAATGTGACCTCTAATCGATTAGACCGGTACGAGGGTCTTGTGGTTGACTTCATGCTGTCAGAATCAACCAGCCATGACACAATAGGACTATCAATTTTGTTTGTAATTACAGTCTTTTTCTTTGGATACAGTCTGTATCTGATACTTAGAAACTGTCTCTTACTTTTATTAATGTATTATTCGTTATTTAAAGGCACTGTGTAATGTTCTGGGTGGAGGTTCAACTACCATGGAGATTTTGTTGTTTTGCCTGGAAATGTTCAGTACGGTATTAAACTTGACTATTTCCATGGAGACAAGCACCATGCCAGTTTACAGGTTTGGTCTGTGCAGAGGTGGGCCCTCTTATAGTAAAGTGAATATTTTTCCATGTTCCAACCACTGTTTTATTGCAATAAATAAATAAACACTTATAATTAAGTGTTAAGTGTAAGCAAGGAAAACCTAACATATCTCCATGGACACAACCGGGTGTTAGACATGTACCAGAAAAATTGTATAGTGCACCTTTAAACACTACATTGAATTTTATAATATACTAAATGTTGTAAAAAAAAAAAAACAACAAAAAAAAAAAGAATGTGTGTTCAAGTTGTCGTGTGTGCGATTATCTTTTTTGTTTTGACAATTAAACTTTTCATACTGAGAAATTTCCATGAAAAAACAGTTATTGCAAGTTTTGGCAGCTGAATTTTCCAAGTTCTTTATTTGCTCTTGATTTATGGTCTAACTACAGTATAATCTGAAATAGAGGGTTATTCCTGAGCCATTGTAAATTCGGGGAAGTGGATTAAATCTGCAGTCACGTTGACCAGATAGGCCTCATATAGTCTGGGAAATGAAACGGTTCATAAGATTCATTATTCATTATTAATTCATTATTTTGCCTCCACTGATGCACTAATCTCTGTCTTCTATAACTGTGAGAGTCACCATTTTTCTTATGACCATGTCTGTGTGAATGAAGCACAACTCCAGGTATTTTTTTAGACTTACACTTAGACAAACTTTATTCTTTATTTAGGTCTGCAATATACAGTTCTGACAGAAATAGGCTACTTATGGAGACCTTTTATTGCTGGTTCATTTACTGTTTTTCATTGTTTAAAACTTGAGTACAGTAATAATAATTGTTCTGAGAGATACAATCACTCAGTCAACAATAAAATATCCTGATAAAGTGCTTTGTGTTGCATTTTTGCATGAAAAGCACTCTATAAATAAAGTTTGATTGATTGATTGATTATGTTCAATAATGGTCAAATCCACCTTTATTTTGTGATTTATGAATAATGTCTGTTGACTTGGGTCGTGAATGCTGGTAACTTTTAAAATATGGGTCCCAAAAAATGTTTGGTAGTTAGGAAACACTGGTCTAAACAATAATCTAACCTGCTTTTATTTTGAAAGGACGAACCGGATGTTAAAAAGTTTGTTTTGGTTCACTAATTTCCGGTAACTTTGCACTTTGTAAAACTACGGAAAGGTGAAGCAGCAATGTTAAAGTGTAAATAGCCTTGACTGATCAAGTTTAGCTCATATGGGCAGTATAGTTTCATAATGTTGCCCAAAATAGTAAAGTTACGGCTTAGATTTTTAATGAATACGAATTTATGTAAGTTTTATCATCCATTTTGTTGTCAACACAGAGCAGATTTTCTGTCGTCGGGCGCTGTCACATCTCGTACACGATTTGAGCCACATTTTAGCCATATTTTTCAACCACGTTTGGACTTTTTGAAGACTGAAAAACTATCTTACAGAGCTCTGAGGCATCTCTCCGGGCTGAGCCGGCGGAAGTCCACAAGAGGTAAGTTTTGAAGTGTAAAATTGCAAAGTGGAGCGTGTAATTAAGAGGCATGTGAGAGGCGTCTGATGACTGCTTAAAGTCATTATAAAGGGTAATAGAGACATGACAGGCTTCAGAATTGAACTATAATAAATATAATAAAGTATAATCGTTTTTTTTTATTATAGATCAATGGGCTTAACACAGCGGGGAACAGAGGTCATATTGTCTCTCAGTGTCGCCATTCAATTTTCATGCTGACACTGTAGCCACAGTCCCAGTTTTGAGCCCTGTGTCCATGTCCAAGAAGATTTATACAAAACCAATTATTTGTCCCAGTTTTATACAAGAAATGTCCCTATTTTGACCAGTCTGATCCCTGCCAACAGTAAAGAGAGGAATATATTGTCATTGTTTTTGTGTAAATACAGAAAACTGATCTTGAAAATGACCATGAGGCAAAAAAAAAAAAAAAAAAAAAAAAAGCGTCAACAGAAGTCCCTCAGATTATGACCCAAACTGAGTCGAGAATGGACAATGTTATTATGCGCTCTTTTCACAATTTTATTTATACCAACCCTGGTGTGTCCCAGTTTTACATTATGAAAATCTGGTGACCCTAATGTAGAGCAAATGTTGTCAGCCAATGTCTTTCAATCATTAAAATAAAATAAAGTCATAAAAAGTGATAGGAATGGTACTACTACTACTGCAGGAAGAAGGCTAGATTCATAATTAAGAAATACTTCATTAAGAAAGATGCATTTTTGAGGGGAAGTTCACATCTTTTCTGAATACAATTATTTTGTCAGGAAAGATTTTTAATTTTAAGGCTTCAACAATATCAAATTGATGTTTAGAATACTTTACAAACATAATTCACAATCAGTACAATCTAGAAAAAAATAATTGCCATGGAGAATAACAAGTTTATGGAACATAATAGGAAGTGGAATATTTGCTCACTGGTATTAGGGATATAGTAATAATAATCATCATCATTATTGTTATTGTTTATTTCTTGTGTTCTCTATTTTAATATGGTTTGAGCCCTTTGTTGAGTTTCTTATACCCTTTTAGTTTTTAATTTGTGTTTTTTGTCAATAATAAATAAAGAAAATAATAACTAAGAAAGATTTGTGTTTAGTAACAATTTAATTAAGGTCTAGGTTTTAAGATATTAATTAAGTACTTACTTAATTCTTAATACATTTTTATTTTTATTTTTATTTTTTATAGTGCTCTTTTTGACCAAAAAAAAAAAAGAAAGTTACATACTGGGGCTTTAAGGCTGTAAGGTAGTTTCATTTCTGCATGACAATAAATAGTGCTCACTCCCACTGCTATTATTACTCAAGATCCTATATTAACTGAAGTGTAACAGTAGAAGATTTGTGATAAAATGATGCTCAGGAATAATATCTGAAGAGGATAAAGTCCACTGTACATGTTTGGTAATTCACTTTATTGAGGTATATTGAGGTTATTATGACAATACTGTCATAATAACAGTATTGTCATTGCCTTTAACAACATACATGACCTATATTGAGTTCTATAAAATCTTTCCCTGCCTGTGACCATCATGTTTCTATGTAAATGCACTCCTGTTTACAAAATACTCCACAGCAGGGGTGGGAAATTATTTTTTCCATGTGGCCACGTGAGAAACAGAAAATATTGTTGAGAGCTGGGCCAAAATGTTTTACTAAATTCTGCATAATATTAATTGTGTTTCTTTATAAAAAGCAGTAAATAGCATTGTTTTGACAAGCTGACAAGACTGGTAAGAGTTTATGTGACTGGAATGAGTTTAAGCAATGACAAAGCGAGGTTGCCTTACAAAAAATCTAATTTAAAAACACTTCTAAAATAAAAGCAATGCAGCTTTAGTCCATTCATGAGGTGAAATGATAAAATATGTTTATTTTGTAATTCAAAATTATCTTAAATGGGCCAGTCAGAGTTAACTAAAGCGCTGTATGTGGCCCGGGAGCTGTACAATGCCCAGGTCTGCACCACAGGATGTCTCAATTTTTTATAAGTCATGTGTTGATGTGTTGATAACCATTTGCCTTTAATATAAAATGCACTTTAAAAATGCATGTGACCCTGGTAATGTTGTTATTATACAAAAATTTCAAACTCAATTTTGATACTAAGGAATAGACTCGATACCCAATACTGATTTTGATACCATGATGATTATAAAAATCACACTTTATTTAGACAATAGAATGTGATTTTCAACAGTAAATCATAGTACTTACTTTTATATCACCATGTGGTCTTATATCTGTGTAATTTTCTCAGTTGCTCAGGTAGATTGCTTAGTGGTCCATGGGCGTATACTAGTCTATGTCCTCCTATAATTGTTCTGATACAGGTCAAGATCATTCTAAAACTGTTCAGGAAAGGTTAGTTTCTGTCCTGTGAATGTGACTTTTTCGATACCTGCTCAAATGAGTATCTAGTTTCGTTACTAGTTTTAGTATCGATTAGTATCTGAATTTCGGTACATTAGACCCTGGTTTGTTATACTAATCTGATTATTACTGTTTTTTTTATCATTCCAGAATATTCTTCATCAACCACCGAAACAATACATTATAATTTAAGTCCTGATGTGCCCAAGAGTGAAGGAAGGAAGCTGTTTTTTGACACACACGCAGTGGTTCGACTCCTGGAAAACAATGGTACATTTCTATACCAGTTTTCTTATAATTTCTCTTATATATTTGTTTGTTTGTTTGTTTTTTTTTATAATAGCTCATGTTGTTTTCTTTTAGGTTTCAAGACTGAGCAGGCTGAAGTCATAGTCAACGTACTGGTCCAAATGACAAACTCGAATATGGATGTGATCTACTCAGACATGGTCACTAAAGTACAACAGGTCAGGACTTAAACATGTAATGTGTAACTTTTCTGGTGGAGGGTTCATCAGATGCTTTTCTCCATGGAGATTGTATTGCTTTGTCTGGAATGTTTCACAGTATGTACAGTATTAAACTTTTATTTTCATGGAAACCAAACCAGACCATGTTGTAGGTTAGATCTGTGGAGAGGCAACCTCACTCAGTCAGAATTCCTGTTTTTCTAGGTATTTTTGAGCTATAAAACTATTTGTAATTGAATAAATATAAAGTAGATCTGTTTAATGTCATACTGTGGAACATAGAAACAAGCAGGTAACGAATCCCCGACCAAAAAGTTACACAGTGCAGCTTTAATGTTTATATTTCAAACGTGATTTACATATTTTATTTTTGATTTTTTTTTAAATATTTTTGTAATTTTGGCAGGAGATCATGTTACAGCGCGTGATGTCTCAAATTGCAACTGTTAAGAAGGACATGATAATTCTGGAAAAGAGCGAGTTTTCCACGTTATTGACAGAAAACGAGGTACAGATTTATTAGAAACATAACTGAGTGGTAGCACAATTTCTTATCTTAACATGAATATTTTTTTGATTGTCCCACAGAAATTGAAAATCCAGTTATTGCAGCTTAAAGTCCAGCTGGCAGTAAGTCTTTTCTATTCAAATAACATGCTTCCAAATACATATGTGTGAATATAATAGAATAAACTTAATTGTACCCTAAGAGAAGTTTGTTTGGATTTGATATTGATTAAAGCCCCAGTATGTAACCTTTTAGCCAAAAAACACACTCAAATAACAGCATGTTTTTTTCATGTTATTGTTTTTATTCCACTGAACAACATAGAAAAACATGCGTCTTTACTCTGAGCGGGCTTGCATCTCCACAAACCTGACACTTATTTGGTCTTGCAGAAAGCCACTCCCCCTTGTATCCATGGAAACAGTATGGCATAAAACGAATATATTCTATTGTTTGAAGTACGTGACACTTCTAGAAAGTTACGTACTGTCACTTTAATATTTAAGACAGAAACACTCATTCAGTAACTGTAGAAAAGTTTAATTAAATATACTTAATCAATTTTAAATGCATAAATAACAATAATTTGAACACGCCGCATGCCTGTTACTGTTGCATTTTAAGTCATAAATACATTAAAATGCAGATAGATGTGGTCAGGATTTGTGTTTTAAGTGAAAAAGTAATGATAGTACTTAGAATAAAATGTGTTTTGCAGGACATAATGAACAAAGTGCGCTCTGACAATCTTTTGGACATGAATTTGGAGAAAAGTCGAGTGAAGGAACTGGTGAGTCTTAACTAAAAAAGACAAAAAAACAGTTCAGCCCTTTTGATATTGTTAATTATTACTTGGCGTGTTTTTCAATATATTTACAGAAAGCAGAGCATGAAAAGAAGCTCTTGGAAACACGTACTGAAATAATGGAAATGGTTGGTATTTCTCAGTATTTTAATATCATTTCTAGGGAGAAGGGGAAAAAAACAAAGATTTGTGAGGAAATTATGTTTCTGTAGTTAATAGAAATAACATGAGCGGAGTCCAGCTAGAGAGTGGTTCTATCAGTTATTGATTATTGGTATCTTGGAGAAATTCTGTTTAGATATGATCCATGAGTAGATTTTTCCAATGTGTAATGTTTATGCTTTTACTGGTTTTCCAATTTGTGAGGATAATCTTCTTGACGATGACTAGAGCCACAGTATTTTACATTGTTTAAGGCGAGGTATTATGCAAATCCACTTTTTGGAGCTTTCTACCATGTTATAAAATTGTTCCCTCATCAAAAATATGGTTTCAGATGTCATCTATGCATGTTTGAGTAATCTGGTGATCTCTCCCAGGCTCTATTCTATCCCTCCTTATGGTTAGCAGTGCGATCCTGTTTACTACAACTTCACAAACCTGATGCAATGTGCAGTAGTTTCATTAGTGGGGTGCAGGCTGATTGTAATGTGATAGCGCTCTGAAGTGGGAGTGACTTAGCCTAGAGAGCAAAGGGGGGAGAGACTCAGAGCATCTAAAATGAAATGTGTTAATACCTTGTTTTCGGCAAATATAGCATTTTTACAACAATAAAAAGTAACATGGTGATCTAAATATTTTATGTGTTCGCACAGAAGTGTGATACGTTCTCTTTAATTTAGTAACACATTTAGATAAAATTCATTCATTATTTCACTGTTGTTGCAGACTGCTGAACACGAGCGTCACCTCACTCAAACCAATATGAAAATTGACACAGAAGTTGCCGGATTAAAAACAATGTTGGAGTCGCATAAATTAGATACTATCAAATATCTGGCAGGTAAATCAATACATTATATATTTTTTCCAATATTTTAATAACTGAACTGTTACTAATGCATTATTTTGTCTCGTTTAGGGTCAATATTCACCTGTCTCACTGTGGTTCTGGGTTTCTATCGTATTTGGATGTAAAATGTACTTTACTTGAAGCACTGATCAACAATGCACTCTGGACTATATCAATATATAGTTCAATAGTTTTTTTTTTGTTTGTTTGTTTTTATGGCACAGACTAAAGAAGGTTACTTAAAGAGGCATTATGTAACTTTTTGGTAGGGGGTTCATGCTCTGTTTGCCCAGCCTGGAATGTTCCAAAGTATGACATTAAACAGATCTACCTTACATTTATTAATTTACAGGTGGTTTTATAGGTTAAAAATACCTTGAAAAACATGCATTCTGCCTGTGAGCACTATGTAACATTTCTGGTGAAAGGCTTTTTCCTCGTCACCATGGAGATGTTCAACACTATGGCATTAAACTTGCATTTTTTTAATTGCAGGTGTTAGTACTGTAAAAATGCCTTGATAAACCCCATACTTGCAGGATTGCCTCGCCCCAAATCTGACATGCAACTTGCTCTGCTCGTCTCCATGGAGATACGTGTAATGCAATGCTAAGGGACATTGCTTGCAAAGCAATGGCATCTCCATGGGGACATCAGAAAAGTTACATAATTCTCCCTTAAATATTTTGCTTTTGCTCCTTTTATGATTTTTTAAGGGTATTATGCAGGGCTTGCCATATACATATTCATTACAACAGAAATCCTTTTTATATGATGTAGTTTTATATTTAAAATGTTGAAATATTTAGAGCCCAGTCCCTATTTCTTTTACACAGCCCAAGGTTTCTTTGTGATGCATTCAAAACTGCATTGAACACATTTTAAACTGAAGTAGCCTTAGTAAGTACCTCAATTCACTGATTAACAGTGTGCTGGGTTTGCATTTCATTTTCTCATAACCTGATTCTGAAAATGACTTAAACTGACCCAATTTTTTTTTTTTATCCCAATATTACAACTGTACCTGTAGGCTTGCACAACCCTACATTTGAAGACATGCAACCTTCTAGTGTATTTTTATATTATAGGGAGCTGTTCAAATGACCAAACAGCAAAAATGACCAACTTTTGAGCACAGTTTAGTTGATGACAATGGAGGATCCACTAAAATGGTTATTGTCCAGAAATAAATAATAATAAAGTAAATTTTGGGTTGTAAATAAATAATATCATCAGGACTACAAGTTAATTGTTACCTCTGCTCTGCCTTATCGCACAATGATTGAAGTTTGGAATATGTTTTGTTTTCTGTTTTTTTTATATGCAGTGTTAATGTTGTGGAAAATTTCCATAAATAAAAGGCCTTATAAAGGAAACAAACACTGAGTACTTAATAAATAAACGCATCTAGAAATCTACTTTTATTATTTGTTTGTTGCACTACCACACTACTGCCACACGATGGCGATAGACCACCAAAAGAGGAAGCGCTTTATTTTGAAAGAACATGATCCACTTTCAACCGGAAGTTTTCCTTTCCGCTTTTCCTGTAGTTTTTTTGCCCACACGTGTGTTACTGTCAGTGAAGTTTATCACATTTTAGCCCTTACCTTAACTGTTTTGAGCTATTCTCGAGGTTGAAATGTTAACATAGAAGGACATTTTGTCTGTGTACTACGTGGACCAAGGTAAATTGTTCATCGTACACATATTTCTCATGTTATCATCAGGCTATATCAGTTCATTAGGCTATTACTGCTGTCTTTCTTATTATTACAATTCTTATTATTTCTTATTTTATATAAACTGTAAAACATTACAGATACAACAGGAAACGTAATTTATTCTTTTTACTAGGTTTGTTCACAGTACCGTTTTAATGATCTTTTAAAATAATATACAGTTAATGCATAACAACGACAAGATTGCCATTATAATCAATCACCAGTCTTATACGCAAGTTTATGTTGTCTCTTATTTGGTCTGTTTACCGTAACAGTTTTGTTCTGTGCAGTGACCATGGCTGACCCCTTTAGCACAAACTCTGAGGACGTGATCCAGCGCGTTATAGACGTCCCTCTGAACACCGCCTCTGCTCCAGACAAACTAGAAGAGTTTTATCAAATCAGTGAAACCTGTGACTTCATTACCAAGTCCAGCTATAAAAAGGTACGGTACAATTTACAACATAGGGCCGCCTTTTAGTCGCTGTCTTATGGTCAGGTGCAATGATGTAGCCTACTGTATAGACTGGCTTTCAAGTGTCTCCTTCATTCGTTGCCATTCTAGTCACACAATAGTGTATTATAGTAATAACAATGCAGTGTTTTAAATTGTATAAAAGCGTTGCATATTGTTGATGTGTGGTTATAAGTTATAGGTTTTTTATTGTAATATAATCATTAAAAACAAAATTGTATTAATTTGACATAAAACATACCACTACCAAGATTTGATTTCTTTACATCAGTAATATTAAAGTTCAGTTCAGGAAGGGCATCTGGCTTATTATGTGTGATCATTTATATTTCAAAACAAGCTAGTGTGCTGTTATGGTATTGATGTTTTTGTTTTTTTGTTTTTTGTTTTTAAAGCAAGTAACGTTGAATGATGTGAATTCAATGCACCTCTAATGTACACTGATCTATTATTCTAAACATTCACAGGTCGCTCTCCAGTTTCCTGACAATTTATTAGTGGATTCAGTTGCTATTGCAGCTGAAATTGAGAAAAACACCAAAGCCAAGGTGTACATTTTGGGAGACACGTCCTATGGCAGGTAAGTTTGTTTATGATTTTTAAAGGTCCTATATTACTCAGTTTGGATTCATGTGAGCTTTAAGCCATGTCATAATGTTGTTACCTCATCAAAAGCTTACCTGGAGTTGTGTTTTGTGTCATTTACATATGTTTGAATGATCCTGCATTATTAGTCTACATCGCCAAAGCTCAAAATGCTCTGCTCCACCTCGTGATGTCATGAAGTGGTAATCTTCAAGTTAACAGCTTCCTTTTACCTTTAGTTCAGAGATTGGCAATTTCTGTGCTGAAATCATCCAAATGATTCTAATGAAGGTGTATGGAGTTTAAAAAAAAACTCTTCCTCTATTACCACATGACACACATCACATGGTGGAGTATTTTCTGTTTGAAAGTAGAAATCAGCCTAAATATGCAGCATTTGTGTGAAACAAAACACAACTCCAGGTGTGTTTTTGATAATGAAACAACAGTATAACATAAAACAGTGTAATATAGGCCTTTAAAGGTCCAAAAGTCGCCATATAAATCAAATGCATAATTTAATGAGCTCATTTATTTGTCTCATTATCTTGACAGCTGCTGTGTGGATGAGGTAGCAGCAGAACATGTAGCTGCAGACTGTATTGTGCACTATGGGAGCTCGTGTCTCAGTCCATCCAAAAGGCTCCCACTGATGTACGTCTTTGAGAAACGTCCCATCGATGTGGAGAAGTGCGTGACCGCGTTTAAAGAGCTCTACCCCGACTCACAAACTCACATCATCCTCCTGTACGATGTCAACTATGTCCATGCCATTGGTAAGTAACAGTACTGCATTTTAGTGTTGTCAAGTTAACTAAATTTCAAACTTGATTTCAGTACTGAGGAATAGGCTCGATACTCAATGCTGATCACGTTGACTATAAAAAACACTTATTTAGACAGTCGAATGTCACTTTCAACATTAAATCATAGTACTTTATATTATATTAGCATGTGGGCATTCGTATATCCTTGTCATCCAGAGAAATGTGCTCTTGTACTTGTTCTGATACAGCTCAAGATTTTAAAGCAATTCAGGAAAGGTTCATTTCTGTTTTAATTTAGTGTTTGATTTTGGATACTTTTGACATCCCTACTGCATATAAATAATTATCAATGTCAGACGAAGGCAAGATAACATAAAAGTAAGAAAGGATGTAATGATAACAATAATAATAAAGAAGTGATTATAGCTAGGTATGCTCAAGAAGGAATTTAATTTTATTGTTATCTGAATGCAAACTACACTATATTTATTTTTGTAGTGGGAGTAAGGTGACATACTATAAGAGTCTGGCAGAAGCACATTATTGCTTTAGTAGGATTGTAAAAGGGGGTGGGGGTAGATAAGCATTGCTTTTCCCTACTCCTTTTTGGAACAATTGATTTTTTTTCTTTTCTTTTTATTTCTATTTTTGGATATTATAGTTGTGATGAACAATGTAAAATAATAGTCTTTATGTATCTGTTCATTATTGCATATGCAATTTATCATTTACTGTATGATAATGCAATTTATTATTTATGGAAACATCCGAAATAAACTTATCAAATCAATATCAAAAGCAGTTAATATAAAATCATGTCCATCAGTCTTTCCATGATATTATAAGAAGGACTCTTAAATAAATAAATTGCTGTTTTACTGCATGGGGAAAAAATAGATATGTTAATCAATTTTCCACACTTAGACATAGGCATTTACAACCATATATTTACAGCCTGCAATATGTAGAGTAGAAATCTAATTGTTGCTAATGACAGAAACTGTATTGTATTTGGGGCTTTCCGTGAATAAATTCAAATTTAACATTAAGAGCAAATACAACTTGGTTCTGTGTTATACATTGTTATTACTCAACTGTATTTGAATATTTAATGCCCAATAAATAAATGGTCACATCAAAAGGCTTTACAAAAAGGGAACTTTATTATAAAGTTAAACAAGAAAATAAGGAAGTAGAATAGATAACCTAACAACAATCATATTTCAATAATTTTTTACAGACACGATTTCTCCCATAGCAGATATATAAATATAAAAAATACATTAAAATTATCTAATGTAAAGGAAGCTTTATTAGAATGTTTGTTATGACTTTTAGTTAGGGCTGAACGATTTGGGAAAAATGTAAAATTATGAGTTTTTATTTTCTATTTTAAGGCTAAATCATGGCTGTGATACTACAAGTTTGTCATTAGACCTGTACGTGTGCAAAGTTAATATGAAATAAATCTATGTTAATTGTCAAAACAGTGAATTGTAATTGAAAATTGTAGGGTTGTCACAAAATAATTTAGTAAAATATAAAAAAAAATACTCTTGGCAATATAGTGATACTGTATAATCACATTAAACGATGCAATATATCAGTATTTCAATATTTTTGCACACCCCTATTCAACATTACAATAACTGTTTAATTATTTCAGGTGATCTTCGGACAGCCCTTCAAACAGAATACCCAAACCTCTCCATTTCTGAGCTGGTTTGTGAAGGGGAGACGTGCTACAGCCACACTCATGTAAAACGCAAACCACAAACTTCCTCTGATCAAGAAAACAACCTGTTTGTTTATCAATTCGGAAGACAATTTTCCTTAAAAAGTGGACTAAGCATTAAGGACTACAGCATATTCTACATTGGCCAGGAGGGGACGACGTTGACAAACTTTATGATGACTTGGAATAGGTCGACTTTTTGCTCCTTTGACCCCAGCACGGACACAGGAAGGACAGAATCAGTCAAAATAAACCGAGCTTTGATGAAGAGATATTACGCAATAGAAAGAGCCAAAGATGCTTCAGTAGTTGGAATACTAGTTGGGACATTGGGAGTGGCGGATTACCTTTCTATAATACCCCAGCTGAAAGAGGCAATCCACAAAGCAGGAAAAAAATGCTACATGTTTGCAATGGGGAAGCTGAACGTGCCAAAGCTAGCAAACTTTCTGGAAATAGACATTTTTGTGCTGATTGCTTGTCCGGAAAACTCCTTGCTGGATTCGAGTGAGTTTTATAAGCCAATAGTGACACCTTTTGAGATGGAGATAGCCTGTAATCCGAACAGAGAGTGGTCCGAGGAATATGTGACAGACTTCAGACATCTGCTGCCAGGTTTGTTTTGAATCTCTAATAACAAGTTTTTATTTAATGTAGGACTGCACAAAAAATAGGTTATATTTACAGTTTACAGTACAGAATTACAGTTAAATAGTGTATGTTGTTGGTTTGTTCAGAATGAAAAACATTACTGTGAGCGGATTCCTTATCCACAGATCTGACTTGCAACTTGGCTTTGTGTGGTTACCTGTTGTCTCCATTGACATAGATAAATTTAATACCATACTGTGAAATATGTGGATAGATAGATGGATAGATGAATACATTATTGAGGAAATTCAAATATATTACAGACAAAGCATCTTCATGGACACAAGCAGGTGGTTGACCCTGCACCAAAAAAAGTTACACATTGCTCTGCTCAACTGAGTGTGAAATTTCAGTATAATTGAGTGTGTTAAAACAGCTTCAGTGACATTTTGTTATGCAGTTGTCCTTAATCTTCTACTTCTGTGATCTAACCTACTGTAATTTTAAACATCTTTAGGAGGACAAAGCCACGTTCCTCTGGCTGAGCTGCAGGACTTCTCTGAGGCAGATGTGTCTTTGATTTCTGGTGATTTGAGACGACAGTGTTTGGACCCTGAACTGGACCAGGGCTCAGAAAGCTCCTCTTTGGTCCTCAGGAATCAGACCATGACAGTGGCCAACTCAAACACAGCCGGTAAGAAAGAATAATATTTATATCTATAAATTTGACTGGAATCCTAACCCTAAGTAGCCATTCCCCACTTTTGCCAAAAGAGGGGTTTATGGACAGCTTTGTTCATATATTTAAATTACTGTCTCTTTAACTCGTGTTTTCTCTTTCCATCATCGAGCTACTATAACTCTGTGGTTCAATTATCAAGTGGAATAATTCAGATAAGTCAAAATATTCACACTGAAAATCTCCAAAGACTAAAAAAGAAACAGTGAAAATGTGTTTTAATATCTATAGAAACAAAAAAAAAATCAAGTAAAATTTGACCTAATATGCAAAATAGTTGTTTTCTCTCACCATTTGCCATTCACCTGAAGTTATATTTTGAGTAATTTGTGCAATCTTTAGTGGCTTATTTTCAAGACACTTTATTGCTGATCCCTGTTTTCACCGCCACTGCGATATGCCTACTATTCTCTGCTTCGTTCTTCAGTTTAATTTCCTTAATTGGTGATATCTGTAGGATTCAGCAGCGTATTGGGGTCATTTTGGTTGCTAGTGTGATGTGCAGCTATCCATTACAGATGCTGAGTCAGCTTCCATTGGATACTGCAGTTTTCTAATGCAGAGGTCAGCAGTTTCTTTTATAAAGTCATTTCAGGTCAATATATATTAGAAATGTGCAAAATATAATAAAATGACCCACAGGTATCATAGATTATAGCTACTGTGTATAGCAAACACAGTACAATAGGTCTTCTTTAATATTGCCTGCTGTGTATGTTTTGTAACTTTTATTAGTACCCAAATGTGCCTAATTACTTAAAACCTTTTGTCCTTTTTGTTTTATAGCATCGTTTTTGTCTGGGCGCAGCTGGCAGGGTTTGGAGAAGAAGTTGGGAGAGACACCTGTGGTAAAAGCAGTGGAAGGAAGGAGAGGGATCGCTATCGCCTACGAGGAGGAGGGGACATCTTAACCATTTTACTCTGACGTTTTCAGCATCACTTTGCCTGAGATCCAGAATACACACTTCTTCCATACTGTACAGCAGGGGTGCCCAGTACGTCGATTGCGATCTACCAGTCGATCGCCAAGGTAGTGTGGTAGATCGCAGTATCATAGTACTTGTCTCGCACTCGATCTCGCTCCTCACCTTTTCACGCTCTCTCTCCTCCCTGTGTAAAGTGCACACAGGCTCCTTCCATAATGCACGCTGATAAGAGCAAAATTAAATGCAAAACAAAAACTAATCTAAATTTATGTTACAGTGTAGGCACAGAGGATACCTACAGCACAGAGCAGATCTTTGTCACGATGTGCGTTTGGTTTAATAAATGTGCAAAGGCTGGTAAATCCCACTGCAAAATCAGTAAGAGAATACAGCAAGTTTCAAAATCCTACCCACTTTCTTCACTTTTTTCACAGTTTTCTGTAAAGTGCCAGTGGAGGTTCTCTTAAAGGAGAGGTTCTCAAACTGTGGGTGAGAGTGTTTAAGTGCAGAACAGTTTGCTTGGCTTTGTAGTAGATAGATCATTCTGACTTGGTCATTTTATAAGTAGCTCTCATGCTGAAAAAGTGTGGGCACCCCTGCTGTACAGAGATGTGAGTCACCAATGGATTTCATATGGCCGTGATTGACAGGAGACATCTCATTCTGGACCTGCCAGGCAACATCACTACTTGAACTAAATAAATAATGTACACACATGTTCAATATAGATGTATAATTTATTATATTGATATAAAATTGTCAAATATCAATGTGTAGTTGTATTCGCTTTGATTAAAACATGCACTAAATGTAAATGATTGGTCCCTTTTATTTATTATTTATTATTATTACATATTTTATTGATTTATTAATTTATTTTTCATATAAATATAAACATTGAAATAGTAGACATAGAAAGACAGTTGAAAGCCTTCAGTCACTTCCCATTGACTGGTAGCTCTTTGACAAAAGCAGCTGGAAATATGCCTGTATTTTCACCACACTGGCCTTCGATCCAATCCTGGTTAACTAAAAGAGAAGAAAAAAAGTGAATATACATTTTTAATAATTTATACTTATACTTGTAAGTTTCAAAAAGAAGACAGAATGGACCTTTACCAAATCTTTCTAATATTCATTTTACAATATAGAAGTTAAAATAGAAGACTTACTTCTAGACAGTAAAATAATCTTGTCTCCTTCTTTAAAACTGAGATCTTCTGGACTCGAAGACTCGTAAGTGTGAAGAGCAACAAAGGAAATCTCTGATTTGTGAGGAGGCTAAAATTACAAAGTATAAAAACATTACTATACACAACAAAAATTCTTGCCCACTAATTTTTTTAATATAGAAATGAATAGCCCATATATGAGTAGTTGGTTCACCTCATTGACTTTACACCACAAAGTGAGGTGCCCATCTTTGGCTTTGTTCCACACACTTTTCATGTTTGTGTTTTCATTGATTACACTGTCTTCTGTGGCCCCGGGGGTTAAACTAAAGAAGAAGTAAAAAATTATAATAAGTAAGATATTGCAAACATACGAAACTAGTTATACATATAAGATTATGCCACCTGACTACTTTCAAATAGTGGATAGATTTGCTCTAAAGCCTTGTATGCAGCAAACTAGTGTGTAATTTGTGTACTTGGACCTGAAAGAACCAGGATTTAAAGGTCCTATATTATGCTAAATTGACTCACGTGAACTTTCAGTCATGTCAGAATGTTGTTACATCATTAGAAACATACCTAGAGTGGTGTTTTGCTTAATTTTTTCACACATTTGAGTAATCCTTTATTATTAGTCTGTCTACATCTCCAAAGGTTAAAATGCTCTGTTACACCTTGTGATGCCATGAAGCTGTTCAGTAGGAATTGCCAGTTCCAGAGCTAAAATTCTCCAGATGATTCTAGTAAAGGTGTATGGAGTTTAAAAACACAGTGGAGCACTTCCTGTTTTACCACATAGCATCACAAGGTGGAAAAAAGTGTTTTCCATTTGAGAAAAGAACTCAGCCTAAATTTGAGTTAAACATATGTGAATTAAACAAAACTCAACTCTGGGTTTTTGATGAGAAAACAACATTACTGTATAACAGATCAGAAAATAGCACAATATGGCTTTTTAGTTGTAGTAGTTGTAGTAGTAGTAGTAGTAGTTGCAGTAGTAGTTGTTTTAGTTGCAGTAGTTGCAGTAGTAGTGATAGTAGTTGTAGTAGTTGTAGCAGTAGTTGTAATAGTTGTAGTAGTTGTTGTAATAGTTGTAGTAGTAGTAGTAGTTGTAGTAGTTGTAGTAGTAGTTGTTGTAGTAGTTGTAGTAGTTGTAGTAGTAGTAGTAGTAGTAGTAGTTGTAGTAGTAGTAGTGTAGTAGTTGTAGTAGTTGTAGTAGTAGTTGTAATAGTTGTAACAGTAGTAGTTGCAGTAGTAGTTATAGTAGTTGTAGTAGTGGTTGTAGTACTTTTCGTCAGTGGTTAATTTTTACCTCAGAGTTAAAGATGTTGTTTCCAGTTTTAATTTCATTTTAATTTTGTTGATAAGTGCTTCATAAGAGGAGCCCAGAGGAAGTGAGATCGTGAAGGTAAAAGTGAAGTGGATTTTGATGATGCAGCTATTTTCTGCAAACTCTGTATCCTGGGATTGAGCAGAGATTCACGGCATTATTTTAGATTTAATATTTTTAGTTGCTGTTAGTCAGAATTTGAATTGAATTGAACATTTTTAATACCTTTTCGTCTTTATCAGCTCTGCTTCCAATAGCAGGACTTTGATCACCTGTAAAGAGACCATAATTGTTAATATTGTACATAAAAGACTCTAAGAAAATGAAGTAATTACCAACCGTTTCTTTTTGGTCTTGTTGGTGGATCATGTGTTGGAGGTTTGTCTATTCCCTGTTATAGTAAATTTGTCATTACAACTTAGCAAAATAAAACATGCTGAAGTTTTTAGGCCCATATTATAATGTTATAATGTTGTAATATTGGACCTTACAATACAATAGTACAATAGACAGTTTTACCTCAGGTCTTTTCGATGTGGGTGAAATATCCAGGGGCTGTAGATAATTGTAAGGAACAAGCCCCTTCTGTAATGTACACAGTTTTTAATAGAATAACAAACATAAATAACTAATATATTTGATTTCGAGGTGAATGATATGATCTTACTCTCCCGTTGAAAATAACAGTGGCCCAGTTGTCTGCTCCTTTCTGAAGCACAAACACAATGTTTCCAGGCACGACGGCCAATTCATCACTGGTCTCAGGAAATAACTCGAATAAAACTATGTGCGCTTTTCCTTCTAAAGCCCTACAGTGAACAGAGGTAGAGAGAGAGATGGAGAGATGGAGAGACGAAGAGAGAGAGAGATAAAGAGATCGATAGAGATATAGAAAGAGAGATAAAGAGAGAGTAATAGAGAGATGGAGAGACAAAGAGAGAGAGTGAGATCGATAGAGAGATGGAGAGACAGATAGATAGAGAGATAGATAGAGAGCAATATAGAGATGGAGAGACAGATAAATAGAGAGCAATAGAGAGAGAGAGATGGAGAAACCGATAGATAGAGAGCAATAGACAGATGGAAAGACAGAGAGAGAGAGACAGAGATGAGAGATAGAATAGATAGAGTTGTAGAGACAGATAGAGAGATAGAATAGATAGAGTTGTAGAGACAGATAGAGAGATAGATTAGATAGAGAGAGATAGATAGATAGATAGATAGATAGATAGATAGATAGATAGATAGATAGATAGATAGATAGATAGATAGATAGATAGATAGATAGATAGATAGGTGTAGAAAGCAATAGAGAGATGTAGAGACAGAGAGAGCAATAGACAATGGAGAGATAGAGAGAGAGAGAGAGAGAGACAGCAATAGATAGATATAGAGAGAGAGAAAGATGGAGAGATAAATATAGAGGTAAATGAAGAGAGAGAGGGATGGAGAGATAGAGGTAGACAGAGAAAGAGATGGAGAGTGAGAGAGAGCATTTGATAGGTTAAATAAACAGACTGATAACCAGAAGAATTGTTTTCTTTATATGTTGTACAGAAATTACAAATAATAATAATAATAAAAACATGAGTTGATTTACTTGAAGACCCCGGGCTCCTTCGGAGTCGTAGGACCGTCCTGCACCTGTCAGTCAGTTATGCAAAAACAGCACATGTAAGACAAGGTAAAAAACACTGTTGCACCACTATTTAAAGCAATCATTTCTCCATCGTGTTGTCACAATACATTTCCAGCTCAATTTGATACTAAACAAAAGGAGAGACAATCAAGACACATTTTGATTCTACAATGATAATAAATACATGTTTTTATACAATGTAATTTTCAACATAAAATAAGTGGTATTTTCTTTAATAATACTATATGGTCTTAAACTAGTTCTGTTATAGATCAAGGCCATTCTAAAACTATGAAAGAAATATCTAGTTTTGAGATGTTTTTCTTTCTTCCTTTTGTTCACTTGTTCAAATGAAATTTTTTTACAGCCGTGATTTGTTTGGTTTCACATTAACATATACAATCATACAAAGTTAACCCTGTTTCCCCATGTTTTCAGTAACAACATTAACATAATAGAAAAATATAAGCTATAATGGGGATTAACTTATTATTTCATACAGATCTTTCTCAATACTCTTCCAGGTGCAACTGTTTTTGTTATTAATACTAATCAGTCTACTAAGTGAATTGTCCTTACCTGGGGCTGTAATGGTGCAAATCCTGAAAACTGATCTTGTGGAACAACTGAGGCAACAACCTAAAACATACAAAAAGTTATTAAGATGTTTTAAAAGGTCCTATATTTAGCAAAATTGACACTTTGGGAACTTTAAGCCATGCTATAATGTTGTTACCTCATCAAAAACATCCCTGGAGCTATGTTTTGTTTCATTCACACATTTAGTCAGTAGGGGTATAATGATATCCAAGTCTCACGATACAATATAGTCACGGTATGAACATCACAGTACGATATTTATTGCGATATCATGGGAAAGCTCACGATATGGTGGGAAATGTCAGGATTAGGAATGTAACAATATCCAAATCTCTCTGTATAATATTTTCACGATATACATCTCACGGTACGATATTTATTGCGATATTTTGTGGAGATAACAAAACTGTGAATATGCTGCTTTTTCCTCTTAAAATGTCTTGAGAAAACCTAATCCAAAGAACTAAGACTTGAAAGTGCTTAGAACTGTTATTATTCTTGTAGTCTGCACTGAAATGGAGAAAAGTTCATGGTCTATGTAGTTCCCTGTGTCTTTTTTTAGCTATTGTTGCACCATAACTCTTAATTTAAGCAAAGAGACTTGTCATTCGATATATTGTGATGGTCCACGATATTACTGTGAGAACTTTGATGATACGAAATCATGATATTTTGGTTATTGTTACATCCCTAGTAGTCTGTCTACATCTCCAAAGCTCAAAATGCTCTGTTCCACCTTGTGATGTCATAAAGTTAGTTAGTAGTTTTCAACAGCTCCCTTTTACCTTTAGTTTGGTCAAGATTGGAATAGAGGGCTGAAATTATCGAAATAATTCTAGTGAAGGTGTATGGAGTTTTAAAACACAGTGGAGCAGTTCCTGTATTACCACATGACATCACAAGGTGGAACAGTGTTTTTGGTTTGAGAGAAGAACTCAGTTTAAATATGCAGGCTTTGTTTGATGAGGAAAAGAACATTATAACTTGGCTCAGATCCAATATTTTGGTCTTTTTGTTTATATTACAATCTTCCATGTTTTAAGTGTATTACCTTTGCTTTCCCCAGGTAGTCCTTCTTCTGTAGTTCTGCCACATAGTTCTTATTTGGCCTGAAAAGCTCACTGGATGGGAACTCCACCAGTCTGAACAGCTTTTGTTTCTGTAAGTTCAACAAAACATGATTATTAAACACACTACACAATGAATAGGAAATGAGAACTGCCTGTCGGGGCACATTGGAGCCACAAAATTGGATTACTTATGAAATTTCCTGGATAATTGTACACAAAGGAAGTTAGTGTGTGGATAGGGGAGACTGACCAGAATAGACTGAAATGCTTTGTTGATAAGGTTGATTTTGCTTTCAGTCTTATAGTCCAGGGCTTTCTGCAAGTTTTCTTGGGCATTTGTCCAGTTTCCCAAATGAGCTTCAACCAGAGCCATGTTGTGAAGAACCTTGATAACAGAAATATTCATCATATAACACTGTATTCACATAATAATTTAAGATATTTCCAAAGAAAATGTTTGAGTAATTCTGTATTATTAGCCAGTCTACAACTCCAAAGCTGAAAATGCTCTGTTCTACCTTGTGATGTCATGAAGCAGTAATTAACCTGAAATCATCCAAATGAAGCTAGTGAAGGTGTATGGAGTTTAAAAACACAGTGGAGCACTTCCTGTATCACCACATGACATCATAAGGTGGAACAGAGTGTTTTTAGTTTGAGAGAAGAACTCAGTCTAAACATGCAGGTTTTGTGTCTTAAACAATTCAACTTTTTTATAAGGTAACATAATTTTAACATGAGTGATTTTATTTATTTATTTTTTGTAATAAAGGATCTTTAAATGAGTCAGTAATTCCTGAAATTGTGTTGAAATTCAAACATGTGCAGCTCTCCCTCCACCCTGACTAATAAAAGTATAATATATCATTATAATATATAATATATAATTTAAATAGTCTCACATTGTCAGTATGACATTGTATCAGCAGGACTAGACCAGTACAGCTTTTTACAAGGGAAACTGTTCTGACACTGTGTCCTTTCGCAAGACACTTCACAAACCTTGTCTGTGTTGTACTGAACCAGTATTAGAAGTAGTAATAATACAAACAGCAATAGTATTTGTAGTTCTTTTTTCCCTATTAAACCCTCTTGTGTCTAAAGTATCCTGTAGTAGTATCAGTAGTAATAGTATTTGCAGTACTTTTTTTTTCTCTATATTAAAACATGTGTGTGACTAAAGTATCCTGTAGTAGTATCAGTGTATCAGTAGTATCGGCAGTATTCATATTACATTTCCCCCTATATTAAACCCTCCTTTGTGTCTAAAGTATCCTGTAGTAGTGTGAGTAGTAGTATTGATCATATCATTGAAGATATACTGTATATAGCCTACCTCACATGCAGACAGCTTGTATCTGAGTCCAAGGGCTTTGTAGTCGATCAGTTGGTTTCCTCGAAGTGCTTTGTAGGCGTTTGTGAAGTCGCCTAAACTCTCCTCCAACCTTAAAATATTATTATATTATTATTAAAATTATTAGAAGATTATGAATGAAAGGAATAACAATTTAAGGTGTGATAGTTTTCTAAAGGTTTAGTTGGAATTTAGTAATAGGAAGAAAACTGTAAAGTAATAATAATGTGACAGGGTAATTGTTTCCACAAATCTCATATATAGATATTCAGTTGTATTGTTTTGAAGTAACTGTATTTTGAGTATGTTCCCCAAATATAATTTTATAGTTGCACTATATAACTTCGCTCATGGAGGCCCTATCACCTGGTTGTATCCATGGAGATTTTATTGCATTGGCTGGAATGTTCCACAGTATTTCGTGAAACCTTTTTTATTTTCAAAGAGACAAACAGGAGACGTTACTAGACCAAGTTACAGGTCAGGTCTGTGGAGAGGTGAGTCCACGCTCAGTAAAAAAAAATATATATTTAGTATTTTTGAACAACCCATAATTCAATGGATACGTTGGATACATTTAATTTCATACTGTAAAAAATGTCAAGCAAAGTATTAACATCTTCATAGTTTAAGGATCCAGGACCCCAAGCGAAAAAGTTACACATTGCATCTTTAGACCATGCTTATTGTTGTTTAAGTGAATAGTAAGTAAGTAAATAAGTAAGTAAGTCTTTATTTATATAGCGCTTTCACAGACATTTTCTGTCCCCAAAGACGCTTTACAGAGCATTATTCAGCATTATTCATTCACCATTCATTCAGCATTATTTCATTCACTCTATACCCTGGTGATGGTAAGCTACTATAGTAGCCACAGCTGCCCTGGGGCACACTAACAGAAGCGCGGCTGCCATGCCACTCGGTGCCATCGGTCCCTCCGACCATCACTCACACACACACACACACACACACACACACACACACACACACACACACACACACACACACACACACACACACACACACACACACACACACACACACACACACACACACACACACACACACACACACACACACACACACCACTTTCATACTAGGCAATGTGGCCGAAGTGTCTTGCCTAAGGACATGGTGATTGAATTGATTGTATTTAACTGACCATGACTATCAACTGTTTATGGAGACCTATGTAGCATGTAACAGTTAATCTTGCCTCTCCTTTTTGTAGAAGGTGATTCCTCTTTGAAAGAAGGCCACAGCCAGGTGTTCATCTTTGCGTATGCTGCTGTCAAAAGCCTGAGATGAAAAAAATATATTTATATGTTTATTTCAAAATATTGGTATTTCCACAAGAGAAATAGAGAAATAACCACTTCTTGTTTTTCAGGGTCTTGCACTTTGTACTTTTTCTTTCTCATCCTTATCACCTGCAGCCAGTTGAAGTTTATACAATGTTTTCCAAACAAATATTTAAAAAGTATGACAATACAAAATTAATTCTGCATTTTTCAGATTCACACTAAATTGGAAGTTAATCTATACTAGACCAGGACTAAAGCACTAAAGCTGCTGGAATAGGATCAAACCAAGTCTATTTCAGGACTAAACCAAGAGTAAGCAAAGATCAAACCAGGGCAAGTGAATGCAGAAGATCTGGTACCTTTTCTGCATCGTCAAAATCTTTGTTGAGAAGGTGAAGACAGCCGATGTTGAAATAAATTTTGGAGTTTGGTTCTTCAATGGCCAAGAAAATCCTGAGGGCTTCTGGGAGGTTCTTTTTATCCACACATGTCACAGCCTCGTCCCATTGTCGCAGAGTGTCCACAAAGGTCATGATGTCTGTAGCACTTCACCACAATGAAATATTAGCCAGATTCAGGAAACTCTTGTGATTTGTACCAGACAGAACAGGAAGGATGTGATTACAATATGGTGTGGGTGAAACTTTAACGTTGGTATCACTTCTCTTTTAATGGTACCTTGAAAACCAATTTAATTTGTAGTCTACAGTAATCTACTATCAAATTAACACTCACAATATCAGATTTTACTATTATGGTTACTGTGTGAAGATAAGTAAGTAAGTTTTTATTTATCTAATACTTTTTACAGACATTTTTGTCACAAAGATGCTTTACAGAGCATTATTTCATTCACTCCATACTCAGTGGTGGTAAGCTACTATTGTAGCCACAGCTGCCCTGGGGCAGACTGACAGACTGTGTTTTCTGTTTAGGAGAAGCCTAAATATGTAGGGTTTGTGTGACTGCTCCGGGTCAAGAGGGACATCTGGTCATCCTAGACATGGATGTTATACTTTTGTTAAACATGCTTTTATTTTGTAGTATTGAACACACTTCCGTCCTCTCATGACTCACTGTGCCTTGGTGGAGCTTTGCCCGAAACAAACATGGCTCTGCAACATTTTATAACAACAACCCCAACCAACATTTGGCTAAAAAACGGGGGAAATATGTGACATTTAATTCCAAACGAGCCAGCTCTTTACCCATACTTGATGTAATCCTAAATCGGGCGAGTTTGAGTAGCCTTTTGTGGCCGTGTTTACACAGAGGTAAGCTTGTTGGCTAAAGCAAGCAGCGAGCAAAATGGACCTTGGTTCAATGTTGTATAATAATTTAAAAGATGTTACTTGGAGTACGACGTCTCTGTCTCTGGATCAACTCGTCAGCACCTACAGATTACCTCAGATCGCCAAATTAGACAGCGGTAAGTAACTTTTGGACGTGTTTCAAGTTGGCATGTTGCTAGCTGTTAGCCTAAGTTGCTAAGTAGCAGCTAAGTGTAACTATGCCATGTTTCTGAGCAAAAGTCACTGCTTTGTTCATAAACTAAGCTCTACTTTCTGATTATTATTAGGAGACGCATATTACATCGGAAACACTGTGTAACTCTTGTAAAATTGTAATAGCTCAGTAATAATTTGCTTATTATCTTCATTATTATCTGTATTTGTTCCTACACACTTACACATGAGTTGTTACAGTCAAAGCAATGCACATTTTGGGTATTTTTTTATTTAATATATACCAGGACAACCACATGTATGAATAGAGAAGACAATTGTGATTTAATTTTTTTTATGTTATCTGGTGAGTTGGAGCATGTACGTAAAGAATAGGCAAAATCATACTTGATGTCCAGCTTAGTTAAAGATGCACTGTGTAACTTTTTAGTTGGGGGTCCGTCACCTCCTTGTGTCTATGGATATGTCAGTACCCTGCTTCAGGTGGTTTTATAGCTAAAAATAAAATAGAAAAACAGGCATTCTGACTGTGAGAGGGGTTGCCTCTCCACAGATCTGACCTATAATTTGGCTTGGTTTGGTCTCCATGATGATAGAAAGGTTTAATGCCATACTGTGAAACAAGTCTAAGCAATAACATCTCCATGACGAAATGATGATGTACCTTCCATCAAAAAAGTTACAGACTTTAATAAGACCCACACATTTGATATTCTGTTATTTTATTAATGGATTAACTACCTAGAGACAGTATTGTGACATACTCGTGCAGGTATAGAAGGCAACCAGACATGAATCAGTACTTGCTATTGGCTTATTGCAATATGTATTTAGCAACCAAAGTAACTTGTCTGATGATAAATTTACAAAAGCAACAGATTTATTGGAGAAAACCAAATTAGCTTATATTCTCATAGACTTATTTTGCATCATGAACTCTTGGTCTGGCCTATCTTCATTTAAATGCTGCTGTTGCCTTTTTATAGCAGTATAGATTGAACCATTAGACACTGTCAATAATAAGAGAAGTGGAGTGTGCTGAGTAATCCAGTGCTTGGGCCCGACTGGTGCATCAGGACAAAACAACACGTGCATTGTTTGGGGCTGTTTGGCAGAATTTGTTTGTTAAACTCAAACAAGCATAAGATAAATGTTTTTGTTATAGCTTCAATCTAACAAGTATTTTGATTTTATATTCACTTTATTACTAAAATCAGGATTCAATACATATCATATTTTAAAAACAGCTAGAATTATTAAGAGACAAGAAACGAAGGAATTTTAACGAATTTGTGTAATGTTTGCAGAAGTCTAAACTATAGGTTTAGCAAGTTTTAAATATTAAAAGAGAATGTACAGATTGAAAACTGTATTTTTATGGAGGATAGGGTTGTCAAAAGTATTGTAAATCAGATAGTAATCAATACTTTTGAACAAGTATCGATACTAAAAAAGTGATATTTACAGGACAGAAATGAACCTTTCCTGACTTCCTTTTGAACTGCATCATAACAAGTATAAGAGCACATAGACTGGTATATGCCCATGAACCACTATGGAACCTACCTGGACATTGAGGGATTACATAGATATAAGAACACATTGTAATATAACGAATGTACTATGGTCTAATGTTGAAAATTACATTCTATTGTCTAAAGAAAGGGTGTTTTTTATTATTATTGTGATATCAGAATCTGTATTGAGTAGTGAAATCGAATTTGAAATTTTTGTACCATGACAATGCTACAATGTGATTTTATGTTCAGGTCAACTGGTGGAAGGACTCAGAGAAAACGACTACCTCTTGATCCACTCTTGTCGTCAGTGGACAACCATCACTGCCCACAGCCTCGAGGAGGGACATTACGTCATCGGGCCAAAGATCGAGATCCCAGTTCACTATGAAGGTGAGTGACAGCAACAAACTTAGATTACATTGATCCTGCATTGATTATTTGAAAATCAGTAACTAACTTGCTGTTCACTTGATTTAAGTAGTGGTGTATTAATATCAGTATATAGTAATTTATTTAAAGATGCAATTTTTTGGTTGGGAGTCTGTCAATTTGTTGTTTCTATGGATATCTCACAATGTTCCACAGTGTGACATTAAACAGCTCTACCTCACATTTATTCAATTATAGGTGGTTTTAAAGCTCAAAAATACAGAGAAAAACAGGCATTATGACTGAGGGTGCCTCTCCACAGAGCTGACCTGTAACTTGGTCTGGTTTGAGCTCCGTGAAGATAAAAAGATGTTTAATAACATACTATGAAGCATTCCAGACAAAGCAATAACATCTCTATGGAGAAAAGCATTTGACAAACCCTCCGCCAGACAACAGAAGTTACACAGTGCACCATTAACACTGTATTTATTCACATGTGACTCAGTAGGTCTGTCACAATAATTACTACATCGACTTTTGGTTCAATTTATGAAAACTAGAACTATATTTTTTGGGGTCAACATTTATCATGTGTTCACTTTCTATTTGAACTGTAGAACATAGAATAAATAAGTTCTATGGCTAATTATTGGTTTATTCTGCTATTTATTTGTTGCAGCTCAAGTCTTATACTAGATATACTTATACTAGTCTTATACTTATTCAGTATATATTATAATACTGTATATTTAAAAGTGGTTTACTGGGATTATCCTACTTAGTTTCACTATTATTGTTTATCAGAGTATTTCTCTGTAGCAATATACCATGCTTTAAAACAGACCTACGATTAATTCAGGGAGCCAATATGGATGTTTTGAATGTTTGATTTATGTGTCAGAGTCATGTTAGTGTCCTAAATGTGTATCGGTAACAAACCTGCCAATTTATAGACAATTTATAAAACAGTCCCCTGATCCAATAAACTAGGATTCTTATGTAGGATAGTATAAACGTGAATAAACATTTGTATCTGAATCATGATTTATTTCCCATTGCAGGTCAGTTTAAGCTTCTGGAGCAGGACCGAGACGTCAAGGAGCCAGTGCAGTACTTCAACAGCGTGGAGGAAGTGGCCAAAGCGTTTCCTGAGAGAGTTTACGTCATGGAAGAAATCACATTCAATGTCAAGGTCAGACTGTGATCAAATATTAAACAACCATTTTACCTTCAACGGGATCCTATAGTGTAGTTTATACAGAGAGGCTGAACAATTAAAAAAAACATTTGGGAAAAAATAATTGTAATAAACATTGCTGACGTTGCTGTAAACATCATCACAATATAGAGCTGTCTGCAGATCTTTAAAATATTTTTAAAAAGATCATGTGACACTGCCAAATCCTACACGTATCACTGATTAAGAAAATGAAATTGGAGAACAAAGTGAGTACAGAGCAGTGGGAGTATACCGTGGCAGGGAAAATGGAAGTTGATTGACAATATGGAGTCTTGAAACATAAGGATTGCTCAAACATGTACAAATCACTCTAGATACAACTTTGGGTGACTAAATGGTGAGAGGAAACAACTATAACATGGATTAAAGCTCTGAAAAGTCAATTTTGCATAACTGATTAAAATACTAAACTGATGCAAGAATAACAGGGATTTCAGAAGTATATTAATGTCACTTGAATAATTTTATTTGAGATTTGCTTCAAATGGCAGTGGGGAAATTTTAGCAATTTTTCTGTACTCTGATAAGATTTGGGTTGTCCTGCAGCTCAGACCCTCTAACTCATATAGATCTCAGGCTCCTGAAAATGTGTATTTGAGATCTGCTTCAAACTGCCTTTTCTCTCTATTCATTCATCTTTTTATTTTGCATGTTTTTGGTTTGTGTTCACAGATGGCCTCTGGTGAATGCAATGAAGACACAGAAGTCTACAACATAACACTAAGCACTGGTGATGAGCTGACGCTGATGGGCCAAGCTGAGATCCTTTACGCCAAATCCTCTAAGGAAAAATCACGATTCAATACAATTTTTAAAAAGATTGGAAAGCTAAACTCCATCAGTAAAATGTGCAGAGGAAAAATGCCATGTTTAATTTGCATGAACCATCGAACCAACGAAAGCATCAGCCTACCTTTCCAATGTAAAGGCCGATTCAGCACTTGTAGCCCTTTGGAGCTACAGATGCAGGATGGGGAACACACAATTAGAAATATCGTGGAAAAAACACGTCTTCCGGTTAACGTTACAGTCACGAGCAGCCCTCCGCGAAACCATCACGATCTCCATCTCATCCGCGAAGGCCATCGGTACAAACTAGTCAACATTCAAACCAAAACAGTTGTGGTTTGCTGTGTATTACGAAGCAACAAAATCATCCCAATTCACTTCCACTTTCAGCCCTCAATGCCCAAGTTCATCGTCCCCGAAGAGCTCCTCCAAGGCGAGTTATGGCTGGACACGATGGTGCACAGGTGGTTTTCATTTTGTCAAGAGCAGTTTGACATTGATGACTACTCCAGAGCTGTCAGGGATGTCCGTACAGATTGGACAGATGATGGGAAAAGTCCAAAGAAAAGCACAGCGAATGGCAGCGGTGGTGTTGGTGGGGGTAGTAATTCAAATGGGTGTCCGACTCACATGCACGTGCCCAGTTCGCTTACATACGCGCGAGATGAGCTAACCCAATCCTTTCATCGCCTGTCTGTGTGTGTGTATGGCAACAACTTACACGGTAACAGTGAAGTCAATTTACAAGGTTGTACGACTTTATGTGGAGATTGGACTCTTCTGCCTTCTGATAATGTCCCATCCGAATCAGGGGAGAGTGAGCACTTATTCTCTGAGCTTTTGGAGACCACAAACCAGCCCCCTGCCCTGAACAAGTCCGATGTCCCCTATGAAGAGCTGTGGTTGGATCGAATGGGAACTCAAATGCCCAAAACGTCCGAAGGAATAAGAGGCATTAACAACGGATGCAGTACGTCAGGTGCTCTCCCATACCCAGGCCCCTGCGCCCTCAGTGCAATAACCAGCTTGGATGTTTCGCTCACGCCACCGCCAGTGCCACCCAAATCTGAAGCTGTAAGTATGAAATTTCAATGTTATCTATATTATCTAATGTGTTCTACCAAACAAATTAACAGTGAAATTACTGAAAATTGTTACAAAAAGAAAAAATTGTGAACTTAATTTCAACATATAACATTTTTTAGCCTTGCCATGGATTTTAAAGTACTCATACTTTGCAGCTGATGTCATCAACATTGCCTGGGGGTGTGACACTAACTGTAGGCACTGCTCTGTCTGAAGCTCTGTTAGACTTAAATCTGAGCTTTTTAACACAATCTGACCAAAAATCACTCTCCTAGCTACAATAGGTGAGCTGATTTACGCTGCTAAACAAGTTCCCCTACCTAGCTTGAGCATTAACAATTTGAAAATCAGGCACCTAAATGGGACCGTGAATGCTCGTATTCATCACAGACTCCTGAAAATGTTGTTTAAATCCATTTTGTATTTTTTCTTGATTGTTTTTGGCAGTGTTTGCTAATGTGTTCATTGTGTCACCATGGTGTCATTGGTTATCAGACCCAACATCAAGACAAGACCATTTAAATGGATAACAAAATTAAATGTCATAGGATTTACAACCTTACTGAGGGTTTAAAGTTCAGCACATAAAAACTATATAAAATCAAGGTTTATATATACGGTTACATATAGGACTGGGTATCATTCAGAATTTGCGGATAGGATACATACCTCGATACATAGGCCATGATAAGATATCTTGATACAGTGCACTTTCGATTCAATATGATTCAGTACTATATATTTCAAATCAATTCAATATGGTTCATTAAAAAATAAGTCTAAATCCTGGCTGTGATAGTAAAAGTCTTTGTTAAACCACTTCTTGTGCAAAGTTAATATAAAACATGCCCATTTTACTCACCAAAACAGCGAAAATGTTAAATGTGTTGCATAAACGACTTTTCTTTCTCTAAACAAGCAACAAAATTGTTGCGTTGTAACAAAATAATTTAGTAAAATAAACCAAAAAATACTCTTGATGATATATCAATACAGCAGCCCACAATATCGATACTATATCATCACATTAAAGGATACGATATATCGATATTTCAATATTTTTACACACAACTAGATACATATATAATGTGTGCTTTTCTACTTTTATTGTATCATTGTAATCAGGATAAAAAATGTCCTAGCAGTTGCACCTTAATTTTTATTTTAGTCTAATCTTTAATCTTCTGAGTAATAAAGTTTTTCTAATATCTTTTCCTGCACAGGTCAAAGAAGAATGCAGACTTCTGAATGCTCCTCCCATCCCTCCTCGGAGTTCGAAGCAGATGCCGTCAGTGCCCATTTTATCCAAACCACGACAACAAGAAACACGCTCTCCGAGTCCCACCCTCTCCTACTATTCCTCTGGTCTACACAACATGTACGATTCAAAATACTCCAGTCAAAAGTTTGGGCACACTTTTTCATTTATTGTTATTCATTATTTCCATGATTACTGTATTTACATTGTAGATTCTCACTGAAAGCATCAAAACTATGAATCCTGGTTCTGGTTGATTCACCCGCAAACTGGATAACACACTGATGAAGGGAGAGAGCGCGTGATTTTAAAGGTGCACTGTGTAACTAGGGGGTACGTCACTTGTTTCCATGGATGTGTCAGTGCTCTGCCTGAACTGTTCCACAGTATGACATTAAACAGCTCTACCTGACATTAATTAAATCACAAGTGGTTTTATAGCTCAAAAATACCCAGAAACACAAGCATTATGACTGTGAGCGGTGTTACCTCTCCACAGATCTGACCTGTAACTTGATCTGGTTTGGTCTCCATGAAGATAGAAAGGTTTAATACCATACTGTGAAACATTCCAGACAAAGCAATAATGTCTCATCATGGAGAAAAGGATTTGACCAACACTCCTCCAGAGAAGTTACACAATGCCTCTTTACGTTTTTGCCAGCTGACATGAAAAGGTGTTCAAAGTCGAGCTTAAAACTACATCAGTTGGTAGTTGAGAATGAAAGGACACATATGGAATGTAGAAAAGAAAAGCCATACTCAAAATAACTTAAAACTTGTTTCAGATTTTTTGAAATACCCACCCTTCGACCTCTGCTTTGAAATATTACTGACCCTAAGGAGGCACAGCTGTGAAGTGAAAACAGTTTTGTGTCAATTCTTCAAAGCTCATTAAGAGAAGGTCAAGAGTTTTCCTCACTTGGCTGCAAAGGGTGGCTAGGATTTGAATTAAAAATATACAAACAAAAAACAAACAAACAAAAATAAATAAATAAATAAATATATGTATGTATGTATGTGTGTATATGTGTGTGTGTGTATATATATATGTATATATATATATATATATATATATATATATATATATATATATATATATATATATATATATATATATATATATATAATCTTATCTATTTGATGACTTCTGTGTGTATAAAATGTAGAAAGTAGCAAAAATACATTGAAAAAAGTGTGTCCAAACTTTTGACTGCTAGTGTACATTTACACTTGGAATGGGGAATGCTTATCCAGGGGATTTCAGAGTGTTGAAAAATTTGCACTGTTGCCATAGCAATTAGCAAAACAAGTAATTACATCTTTTAAATGGTGAAATATCCTCACTGTATCAATAAATAGTTAATTATAAACAGTAAACAGTTATAACAGTCAGAGGGACATGAAGTCAGTTGTGAAAGACAGTTACGTGGAAGGAATGGGGAAGTCTTAGTTTAACTTCCATAAATGTCACTGTTATTTCTGATAATTGATAAACAATGAAATAGCACTTTAGGTTCCTTGTTATTTAAAAAAAAAAGTTTATCACAAACAGCCAGAAAAATAACAAAATATTTGGTGTATAGATTGAATTGAATTTTGATATTGCTTCTAAAATACTCACAAAAGATATTTTTAGTTTTCACCATTGATTATTCATAGTTATCAATTAACAGATTAATCTTGACATCCTTAATAGTTGCTAATGCTGTCATTTCTAAAGGTGTGCAAAAATATCGATATCGTGATACTAAATTTGGTGATACAGTATCGTTATCATGGGCTGCTGTATCGATATATCGCCTACAATTAGTTTTTTGTGTCTTAGCTTTTTTTTTAATGACTGCATGGCAATTTTATTTAGTGTTAGGAAACTTGTTTTTGCAATACACTTGGCATATTCACTGTTTTGATCATTAAAATAGATGTATTTCATATTAACTTTGCACAGGTAGTTATTTAACAAATAAATATTGTTGCTAAAATGTATTAGGTCCTTAAAAAACAACAATATATCATGTGTATTATATCGATTATCACATGTATTGTATCGAATCGTGAGGGTCTGTTATGTCCCTTATTTGCTAAAAGACATAACTAATATAAAACAATCGTAATGAGGCAAGGAGTCAACAGTTTGTCAATGTTTGGCTATTTTATTTCTGAGCCAATACATTCAAAGGATTTTCAGATAACGGTGGAAGGAAGAGCGTGCCAATTGTGCCAACAGAACAAAATTAAAGTATAAGAACAAAACAGGGCCTAACTGAATAAGGTGGAGAGAAAGGAAAAGAAAGGAAAGAAATCAAAAGCCTAATCTAACTGATCTAAAAAGGCTTCGATACTATAAAATAACAAGATGTAACAGCTGATAAACCTGGTGTATATAAACAAATATAATCCTATGTGTTAAGAGTATAGGGTATTCAATCACCTAAACCAACCTCCCAAGCAAAATAACCGAGCTCGCCATGACAGGAGAGAGAGCCTTGTGATTCCCAGCCCTTGTAATTTCTGTGTTTTTTTGTTTGTTTTGTTTTTCAGTAGCCCTGGAAGTCCTGAGCTGGAGCCCCCCGATCCAGTAGAGCAAAGCCAGGTGTGCTACCCTTGTAACTGGGCTAAAACCAAGTCCAACAGCCTGGAACCACCAGCCTCCAGCCTCCCAGCTCCTCTCCCCTCTTCAGGTATGTCCTCTCGCTTATCCTGGCCCAATCACTTCACCAGAGAAGACTCGCAATGCATGGAGGAATTTTTACCATCCGGCTGCAGGAGCTACTACAGCTACCCACGAAAAAGAACTCTGAGCAGTCAAAAAACCTGTACATCCAGCTTGGTTGACTTTGACGGAGGGGATAATTCACACGGCAGCTCAAACGTCAGGCTGCAAACTATGTCTTTGAATCAGTTTTGTGTTAAATCCTCCAGCTACAACTCAGAAATGCACAGGGATAACAAGCCAATAGAGGAATCCAATACAAAGCAAAGTCTATCTTGTCCAATCTTACCACCAAGGACTGCTAAAGGCAACGCTATGAAAACAAGTACAGAGGCGGAGTTAGCTTGCGATAATAAGCAAGATAACTCTGAATTTTCTATTGAACAACAAAACACAACAGAAGCTAGCAGTACTAACTTTCCTAGTCCTAACTGTCCAGCTTCACAATGGCAGCCTCCGTCCAGTCTAGCAGGTCTTTCTATTGAGGAAGTCTCCAAATCTTTGAAATTCATCGGACTCCCGGATGACATCGTGCTACTTTTTGTGTCGGAAAAGATTGACGGGAATTTACTCCTGCAGCTCACGGAGGAGATTTTATCGGAAGACTTCAAACTGAGCAAACTGCAAGTGAAGAAACTCATGCAGTTTATGAATGGGTGGAGGCCCAAGATCTGACATTTGTGTGTTTAATTGTTTAATACTAAAATAAAACCCAGGTCAAAAATGTTGGGACACGTAACGGAATATAGGTTAATACAGAATGCAGTTAATACTTTAGTTTCCAAAGAGCATGAACAGTATGAGGTGAAAATTCAGTCATTCATTTATTTATGTAGCACATTTTAAATACAAAAAATGGCTGACCTATGGTTTAGTGTCACGAAAAACATTAAATAATCAAATGAAAGCAATTAAGGTTCAAATATAGACTCTGGTATTTGCTATTCTGTCATTCTAGTATTTCCTGTGAGTTTATGATCATTTTTAAAACTAAATGTTAGGTATCCAAGCCCCTTCTGGTTGTAATTAAGGACCTCTTCAGTTCAACTTCACTTCAGCTTATTTTAGAGTCACTTTTACCGATATTTTATTACCGTATTTTCCGGACTATAAGTCACTCCGGAGTATAAGTCACACCAGCCAAAAAATGCGCAATGAAGAAGAAAAAAACATATATAAGTCACATTTTCTAATTATTGAATTATTTTAGACCATATTTCAAAAAGTGTCTCAACATTTTTGAATGGGAGACTGTTCTTGCCTTCAGTATATTGTACATCTGCTATGCACACTAAGCCACAGCGCGTTTTTGAACTTATTTTCTTATTATTGCTCTGTAGTTGGAAGGACAGTGGGGTCTCAGGGGGCCTCAGCGCATGTGAAGTGGAAACATTTGGCACTTTTTTATTTTATTTTCCGAACAGTGATAATTTTCAGCAACACTTTTATCATGCAGTTATCAAAAATAGTTTGAATGGTACAAATTACAGCAGAGGAAAACATTTTTAATTGTGGAAAAGTTAGATTATTTTAGCAGTTTATTTCTAAACAAAATACTATTACTTACATTTATGAATATAAATACAAAATATAACACATTTATTTATGCAGACTAGTTTGAAAGGTTGAAAGGTTTTAAAGTTTGAAGAAGTTTGAATTTAACTCCTAAAATAAACATACTTTTTCACTATTTATTCTGCGATTCAACACAGCAATATTTAATGATATTGTTCTTAAAAGGGGAATAATACAAAATGCTTTATTAGGGTTTCATAGCCATACAGGAAAGGTTTTGACTACACACTACATTTAACTTTATTTTTAATACAATGTATGGTGACTTCACAAAATAGTCTGACTTTGTAGCTTAAAAACCCTTTTAGTATTGAACTCATTTTCTTATTTGGTGCCTAATAGTCATGCAAGATTTGCTTCGATTACTTCTACCTGAATTGATACTTTGCAGTGACACTGGGGAGAGTTTATATGCATGTGTATGGTGGAATAGTCAGCTGTTACCATGGTGACACAATGCACACTCTAGCAAAGCCAAAAACAATTTTAAAACATTCTGAAAAAATAATAACTATATTTTAAACTACACGCCTACAAGTACGAGTTTAACTGTACAAAATCACCTTTTGTAGTTCCAACTAAGTCAGTTCTTCATGGTCAGATAGTGGTAAAAAAAAAAAAAAGCATAAAATTCAGATTCAAATCTAACTTGATTAACAGAGCTTCAGACAGAGCAGTGCTTTTAGTTAGCATCACACCCCCAGGGAATGTTGATGGCATTGGCTGCAAAGTATCAATTGAAATCCACCAACACTCTTCAATGCATATGAATTAATTTACACCATAAGGACTTGGAGGTTCATGGACAGTTTCTTGATAAAAAAATAAAAGTTTGACTGTTAAAACAACAAAAGATGACTGGTGAAACATTGTATATTACTTAAACAGTGATTTTAAAAGAGAATAGTCAACTCAAATACTATAATACTGAAACAAGTCTTGCTTTTTTGATTGATAGATACAACAACCCCCTGATATTTGAACATGTTACTTTCCATTGTCTCATATCACTTTATATTGCCCCTAGCAACAGTTGTGAAGTACATCCAACATATTTTGCCATTATAATTTGATCATGCTTTAGATGCCTTTATGCTAACATTGAATAAGCTTACTACTTTACTAGCTTTATCCTAAAACTATGCTAAAATTAGATGTCAAATTATTGGAAAACACAATTTAACTCAAAACAACCAAAATATAACCTTGATAATTATGCACTTTTGTTCAATTAATAATGAGTCAGACTTTTATTGGCTTACATATTTTTAAATCGGTACAATTTCTTATTTTTATCCTCTCCTAAGTGACCTAAAAGGAAGTAAAGACAAACTCTATGCCTTAATTCAGAAACTTTATTGACAAATGTAGAGATAATTCAGGTTTTGGATAAACGGTCCATTATTATATATATTTTCTGATCTGTGTTATAATGTTGTTTCCTCATCACAAACAGACCTGGAGTTGTGTTTCGTTTCATTTACACATGTTTAACCCACAAACCCTGTGTATTTATGTTGTGTTCATCTTTCAACCAGGAAACACTCTGTCCCACAATGGTAGTATTGATCATTTGTTTCTGGTTGATAGATTAACTGCTTTATACCCCCCAAAATCTTTAGTTAATGTCTTATGCAAATATTATAATGAAATTACAGTGCATGGATGGTGAATAATAATTAATATAAACATTTGGGTCAATGCTTTAATTTTTTCTTTGGCAATATGAGCCACGTGATTTTTATTTATTTTTTTCCCTCAAATGATTTAAATTCTAAACTGCAGCCCAGTTTCCAAAACCTGAATTATCAATAATCAATTAACAAGAATGTAGCCAACTAATAGTCTACATTGATGCAACGTACAAGTATTGGTACTTTAATCAAATGTAAATTCAATGTTTCTCAATAAGAGTTAACACTACACGCAGTATGCCAAATACTATTACCCAGTGTATTTATGCAGTAATTTAAAGTAATACACAATATGCATTAACTGTATTTTAAAGCCAAGTTGGGTATTTTTTTGGTTTGTTTTTTTTTCCCTTTGACAATTTTGCATCGGGGTGTTACATATTGTTTGATACTTTATTTTTTATGTCGACAGAAATTTTAATGTAATTTTTTAAAGAAAAATAATGACTAATGTAAAATATTTTAATGGAAAAAAAAGCTTATGTTCAAATGTTTGTTATTGCTATTGTACACTATGGGTATATTCATTAATGTGAGTGAATGGTTTTAATGGGTCAGTCACAGTACACACTACATGCACAAAAATAATGTTAAAAGCCATGTATCAAAAACATTACTTCATTGTATTTTGTTTTGTACTGCAGTTTATGTCCTATGCAGTTAGACAAGGCTCTACTCCAGTGGTTCTGAAACTCATTACGCCAAAGAGGAACCAGCTATTGTGGACTAAAGCAGGACTAAAGCAGGACTAAAGCAGGACTAAAACAGGACCTAATTTTGGGATCATAGACATAGACATCACCCATAGCCTTCAGCTCCAGTCAAATGAAGCTCATTGAGGCTAGCCAGTTATAGGAGCGAATATTGGGCAAGGTCCATATTAGGAATTAGCCAGGATGGCGCCATGTAGTGCCTCAGCTCAATTTCATTTCTCTCCAGGAACTAGGTCAGGAATTGGAATACACTTAACGGTTTGCAAAAACCCCGGAAATTGTAGACCGTGCACAAGCCAATCAGTGAAAAGCTGTGAAGCAGGCAATTACTTAGACATCACTGAGCATTCCAGCGCTGCAGCGATTTGTTAAATAAAAAAAAGTACCTGCCTACCATCGAGCGAACGAATCCTAATGCTTTCATTTTGTGGAAATTGGCTGATCAATCAGGCTAATTCGGAATAGGAATTTATCAGGATCATATAGAGTGGGTTAATATGAACATTTTAAGACCAAAATGATGAAGCTCACTGCATCAGTTACAGAAACTATGACAATTGTCATGACAATGGTAACAATTTTCCAATGTAAAGTCAACTGGAACCATAGCTGATGGAGCCGGAAGCGCCCCCATGAACACTTTCTATTTGGAACGCTGTGTATTTATATATACAGTCTGTGCTAGGGATGCACTGATACTAGTGATGAATATCGGCGGCGATTCAGGAAAAAAATGCTGGGTATCGGAGATCGACACTTGAAAGTTTCATAATATTTGTGGACTTTTATCCATATAAAGCAGTTTTTTGTTATTTGAAGGTTGATAACATCAGTTGTTTAACACAATTGGATCTATTTTAAAATAAGTTATTTGTGTTTTAAGGAAACACAATTAACTTAACTTGGTGTAACGGTGCATACCTAACGTTGTAACAATATAATAAGACTAAACAAGGACTGAACTCTGAACTGAACCAATTAAACCAAGACTAAAAGAGACTGAACCTGGTTTACACTGGACTCTCTTACCGTTAAAACACTAAAATAGACACTATAAACCACCATTATTATATCCTCTGGTACATGCACCACAGTTTGAGAATCACTGGACGTAGTCATTGGAAACAACAGCCATGACAGACACAAGTGTTAATAATACAGTATAGAAACATGAATAACAGGTCAAAAACTGTGAAACCGCCATGGTACTCGGAATAAGTTCGAAAGTTCCAAAAGCAGGAAATTGACCAACGCTGGGTTTGAAAACTTTAGTTTTTTAAGTATTGGTCAAAAATACAGAAATACTTTTTGTCCTAACTCTTGTTTTCAATTGTATTATCTATTAAAATAATTAACTGAACCCTACTGTTTTATGTGTGTTACTCTTTTTGAACGTGTGAGGGGGTTACAGTGGCACTAGGGTTGGTGATTTGCTTCCCGTTCTCATTGTGCCTTGAGCAAGACACCAACAAAATAGCTATTCTTTATTCTACACCATGCTGGGGGTGTTCTACGTGGATCACTACTGATGAAATGTTTCTGCATGTACCAATCAAACACAGTCAAAAAATACAAAATGGATTTAAAAGACACAATTTCAGTAGCCTGCGATCAATACAAGCGTGTATGGTCCTGTTTAGGTTTTTGATTTTCAACAAAAAGATGAGCGGGCCAAACTGAAACAACTGTTGGCTAATGCTAACTAGCTTGTGACTGTAATTTTATGTGTGAGCGACTTGTTTAAGCGCACAGATCATCTCACCTGTTGTACTTCTAACCAAGTCAGCTCCTCCTGGTTAGATTATCTTAGAGTAAAACTCATATTAAAGTCTAACTTGAGTAACAGAGCTCCTAACAGAGTACTGCTTTCAGTTAGCTTCACTGAAGGTGGGAGATGTATTGAAAAATGAATTATTTTGCAAATGTTTTTTTGCAGATGTGGTGAATTCTAATATTGGGTATATCAACTATAACTAAAACTATTAAAAATTAGGCCTACTTTAACAGTTACTATCTAGTGTAATCCCCAAACAAGGGTGACTGATATTTCTGCCCGTTGTGTGGATAATTTTATGGTCCATTGACATTGTGCAAAACTTGAACCTCAACCCTATCTGAATATATCAAGAAAATACAACAAAATATTAAGTCATTTATGTCAATCACCCACCCCTAATTATATATTCAGTAAAACATAACTAGAAGTACAGTATATGCACAACAGTGGATTTAAACCCATTAACCTGTTTATTAAAGGTCTTATTACACAAAATTGGCTCTTATGAGATTTTATGTTAAAATGCTGTAACCTCCTCAAAAACATACCAGGAGTTGTGTTTTGTTTCATTCACACATGTTTGAATAACCCTTCATTATTACCCTGTCTACATCTCCAAAGCTCAAAATACACCTTATGATGTCACGTAGTGGTAGCTTTCAAGTTAACAGCTGGCCTACCTTTTACCTTTTGGTGAGAAGAGACTGGCACTTCCGGGGATGAAGTTATCCGAATAATTCTCGTGAAGGTGCATGGTATTTAAAAACACATTGGAGCACTTTCTGTATTACCACATGACATCACAAGGTGGAACAGAGTGTTTTCTGTTAGAGAGAAGAACTCAGCATGTGTGAATGAAACAACACAAAACTCAAGGTATGTTTTTGAATGTTTATTAGGAAACAACATTATCAGAAAATCAGAAAATGGTGTAACACACTTTCTTAAATGCATTTTACAAAGATAAGGCTTTAGCAACATGTTTTGTGAAATCATCTACAGGTTTTGCAACAGAGTTCTGCTTTTGCAAGAGGTAACTGTTTACAGCACTTCGGTTCTGGCCAAAGGTTTAAACACTCACTGAAACCAAGTCTATTCTCAATAGTTAATAAAAAATTATGTTATACTTCCAGATGGAGGCAAGAGCCAGTTTTTCCTATTGATTACACTGTACTTTGCCCTGAAATACTGGAAAGATAAATTCTGAAATATGCAATCTGATAATTTCCTTTATTGACTAGCTCCAAAACTATGCTGTATTGCAACAAAAATCTGCAGTTGAACAATACTGATTTTACCTGCTCCATCTGTATTAAATAATATTAGCCTATAGAATGTACAGTGAGACATTTCAGTTTGTAGCCGGGGTATAAGTGCATTATACAACTTGGAGCCATGCATGGAAGACATTACCTGGCCTAAACTACTTGGTTTGGTAAAAATTCCTTCTTAATGTTCCGATACCATGGCAACATGAAGTGGGTGCTTCAATACTAAATATCTAAAGCTCACAAGAATTCATTTTGTGTAATGTAGGACCTTTAATGTACAAAAAAGTGCCCCCATGAACGCTTCCCATTTGGAACGCAGTGACTAGTACTTTAGCTATGTCCATTTATACAGTCAAGCCCAAAATTATTCATACCCCTGACATATTTTGACTTAAACTTACTTTTATTCAACCAACACATTTTTTCTTGATTAGAAATGACACAGGCGTCTCCCAGAAGATAATAAGACAATGTACAAGAGGCATCATTGTGGAAAAAAATTATTTCTCAGCTTTTATTTACATTTGAACAAAAAGTGGCATGTCCAGAATTATTCATACCCTTCTCGATAATCAACAGAAAAGCCTTTATTGGCTAAATGGGCTTTTGTGTGCCTCATCCGGAGAAGCGGCGTCCTCCTTGGTTTGCGTCCGTGGAACCCAGCAGTAGTGTCTGTTGTATTGTCTGGCTTGAGATGTTACCACCAGCAGAGCCCAGATTCACCTGGATGGCCTTGGTGGTGATCTGTGGATTCTTTTTCACCTTGCTCACTATCCTCCTTGCCAGCACAGGTATCACTTTTGGCTTCCGACTACATCCTCTGAGATTTTCCACAGTGTGGAATGTGGAACTTGTATTTTTAAATAATTCTTTGCACTATAGCCACTGGAACTTGAAAACATTTAGATATGGCCTTATAGCCCATTCCTGACTTGTGAGCAGCCACAATACGCAGCCGTAGATCCTCAAAGAGCTTGTCTTAGCCATGACTGTTCACAAACCAACTGCAAAGACCTGCTGTTTTTCACCTGTTCAGTTGCTTAAAACAGCTCCTCCCAATGAATCAGGGTAATTAGGAAGTTTTAGAACAGGTTGTGCTGTTTGGAATGGTATAGAACTTTGGATTTTTCCATAGGCTCTGACAGTTTACAAAGGGTATGATATACAAAGGGTCCACAATGATGCCTCTTGTACATTGTCTTATTGTTGTACATTATCTTCTGCTAGACGCCGGTATCATTTCCAATCAAGAAAAAACTTGCTGGTTGAATAAAAGTAACTTTAAGTTAAAATTTGCCAGGGGTATGAATAATTTTGGGCTTGACTGTATATACAGTCTGTGCTAGGGATGCACTGATACTAGTGATGAATATCTGCGACGATTCAGAAAAAAATGCTGGGTATCGGAGATCGACACTTGAAGGTCTCGTAATGTTTGTGGACTTTTATCCATATAAAGCAGTTCTTTAGTTATTTGAAGGTAGATAACACCCGCTGTATAACACAATTGGATCTGTTTTATAAGTTAATTGTGTTTTTAGGAAATAAATGTCATTTCCAGTCCCTACAATAGATATTGGTGTAACGGTGCATGCCTAAAGTTGTAACAGTACTAGGACTGAACTCTGAACTAAACCAAGACTAACAGAGACTGAACCTGATCTAAACTGGACTCTCTTACAGTTAAAGCACTAAAATAGACACTATATATACCACCATTAATATATCCTCTGGTACATGCACCACAGTTTGAGAATCACTGGACGTAGTCATTGGAAACAACAGCCATGACAGACACAAGTGTTAATAATACAGTATAGAACAGGTCAGACCCCAAAGCAGGAAATTGACCAACGCTGGGTTTGAAAACATTTGTTTTTAAGTATTGGCCAAAAATACAGAAATACTTTTGACCATATTTGCTTTGGTGAAAATCTCCTTAACGTTCCGATACCATAGCAAGATGAAGCAGGTGCTTCTCACAGTTTCATAGGTCAGTGCTAATACTACATAACTGAAGCTCACAATAATCCATTTTGTGCAATATAGGACCTTTAATGTACAAAAAAGTGTCCCAATATTATAAAAAAGATACACACAATAATGCAGCCTAAAAACTATATTAATCATCTTTCGTATACTGCATTTATCTTGACTTCTGGACTTCACCAATTTAAACATGACACTATGGGATGATGAAAAAGAGCCCACTACATAATACCAGGTGATGGACAGTTCTCCTAAAATAAAGCCAATCATCATGACTTATTTTTTCATTAAAAATAAGTTCCTGTTTTGCATATTGCTGAACCAGTGTCCATATATGTCCCTAATGAAGCTGAAAAGCCTCCAAATCACATCGGGCCAAAAAAGGTTATTATTTCTCTGCAATGAGAGGCAGGTCTATTACTGGTGTTTTGTTATAAAAGCAACGCTGACTTGTGGGTCTTCATATCAAATTTTTCTTCCAAATCTTCAGTCTTCTGCGATACTCATACTCGCCTCAGGAGGGGAGCAAACGGCCTCCTGTCCAAAAACAACATGGGCAGAAACAAAGTGGCACCAGGTGAGTTCAACCAGATATATTACAGTATAATAATAATTTCATAGTTTCATATTTCTTGTTTCACACACATTTAGTCAAAATGTCTTGTGTCTCGTCTCATATTGTAGAAATCGTATCTCGTTCTGCTGCCCCTATAGAATATATTAGATTTAGGCTCAATGAGAGGATCTTGCCTTTGGGTTAACGCTAGGCCACATGGCCAAAACAAAATCTAGATTTTTCATACACTGAAAGACCAACAGTTCCCACTCTGACTGATTAAAATAAGTTAAAATTAGACAAAAAATATTATAAAGGGGAAGCTCTTTACATTTTCATCATCATTTTCATCATATGCTGTTATTTAAGAAACTGTAATCTGTCTACAACTACATTTGTATAGACATTAATTTAATTTTAATAGTTCCAATTAAAATAACCTGCTCTGCAAGTAAAGTCAGGAGTAAACCTGTTTTATAATAATCCTCGTTTTATAATTTTTCTTCCATTTTTCTTTCTTTTTTATTTAAGTATTCAGCTTTGCCTGTAACCAATAAAATTTTCAGTTCATTTTACAATCTGTGTATGTTTTTTTCAGAAATGCTGCGTCTAGCCTTGTCACTGTTCTTGGTGTTGTCCTGCCTCACCGTGCTTTGTGCTGGTATACAGCGCAGCCTCACTATTGAAGAAGAAAACCTGGAGAAAGGAATCAGTGAACATGAAGCAAAGCAGTCTTACATGTGGCTTAAGAAAAATAGTAAAGAACTTGCTGAATTAATTACTAATACTCTTGGAAGTGTTCCCGCAGCTGGAGCCGTTTTCAGTTCACTCTTAAAAATACCCTTAAAGCTAATCCCACAAGAAGACAAACTGAAAGGGATTCAATCTGAAATGACTGCTCTTAATACAAGACTGGACATTTTTTATGAAGAGTTGAAATGGGCCTCAAATGACTTCCAGAAGATCCTCAACGATATAGACCACGCCTGGTTAAAATACAAGCCAATGAAAAATAATGCAAATGCTCTTAAGAGCATATTTTGTCCATTTTACAGTCAGTATGCTGACAGTGTTTCAGTCCTACACAAATTATTAATTTCTAAACCAGAAACCGGTGAACAGAGTCTAGCAGATGTGCTTGCAAAAAAATTAAGATGCCATGAAAAAGATTTGGAAGCTAAATTTCTGTATCTGAGAAAGCTTGTATGCAGGGGAAATGAGATGGTTAAAAAGTGCTATGAGTTGATGGGGGTGGATAAGAGTCTCATCCCTGACCCTGTAAAAATGTTACAACAATCTAATTCGGCTTTATTCAAGACCCAACAAAGCTGTGTATCCAACAGTAAACTTTATATAAAGAGAGACATAATAGAACGCATTAATGATGAAATAGTTCACAAAGACATAGCAAACAACATTTACAATTTTCTGAAGGAAAAGTATGACAGATATGACTGGCTGGTGGTTGCATTCACAACTCACTTTTCGAAGGGCATGGGAAGAATCCTGAAAAGACACGTTTATTCAGGATTCACTGCGGTTCAGAGGGGTTCTGTTACTGTAGCAGTCGCCCGTCAACTTACTGGTAGCCATAAAAACATTGAATATTTTAAACGTGACATTGGGGACCATTTTAGAAATATAAAAATAGAGTGTAGGCACGTGGAGGATGAACTACTGAAAATGAACATTACGAATGCCATAACTGCTGTGCATGTCTACAAGAGAGCACACAATAACCATGGAAGACAAGAGAAAGAAGAAGAGGAGGAGGAGGAGGAGGAGGATAAACTTGCTATGAGCGTTGTGATAGGTGCAGACAAAGCGTACACTGTCAGTGGAGAATGTAAAAGACGACTGGGCAAACCTGGATTCTACACAATCATGATTAAGAGCGATGAGGAGGTGGACAATAAAAACCCCTGTGTCTCTTTTAAATGTGAAAATGGAGGGAAATGTGAGGTTGTACCACGCACAAATATCCCAATGTGTCTGTGCACAGACCTGTTTTACGGTAGACGATGTGAGAATAAGATTACATGTGACGTCGACGTTACTGATAATCGACGTCAAACTAATCAAAGACAAAACCCCACGCAAATCAGATCACGAGGATAGGTGGGTAATATATATACAGGTTCTTGTCTTCTGTCCTTCTTGACTATCTAGCACTAACCATAGCTAATATTTACAGCTTTGTGTAGTAAAAAAATAAGACACTGGCTCTTTCTTTGCTTGAACGTGGACCAGATTATATGCAAATGGTACAACTGTAATCATCCTTGTGCAAATAAAAGTCTGTATTAAAAACTATAAACCGTGTTATTTCCTGTGTTGCATATCAAGCTCCAGTTGACACCTAAACACACGCGAGGTATGTCTAGCGTGGAGTACAATAGACCACTTAATACAATGATTCTACTCAAGATCCCCATTCCAAAAACAAAAAAACCTAGACCAGAGGTGTGTTCCACTTCCTCATCCACCTCTGTTTAGAAACAAACCCAACGCACTAGATCATGCCGATAAAGATGAATAGTTTCTAACCATAGTCTTTTGTTCCAAATTGCAGGATTGTAATTTAATCCTACATTCATTGAAACCATGTGATCCCATTTAAAAAACATAACTTAAAGTGACGTATAGGATGAGGATTTCTGATGATTCGTCTTAATTTACTTCAACCTATAGCGGCTGCACCAGAGTCTTATAGAGTGACCGTCTCTCCCATTATTGATGATTACGACGCTTTTCACAAATAAAAAAAATTCTGATACTTCTTCTTTTAACTTCTATTTATGGTTTAATCGAAGAATTTTTAATTTAGGAGCTGTTTTTTTGTTTTGCTTCCAGTCTGGTTAGTGGTCTTCCTCAGAGTTAAAGAACATTTAGCATTCTGCATAAGCATATCATAAACGTGAATAAATTTAGGACCACAAGTATACAAATAAAATGGTGCTTATGCTCTTACACTCTATGTTTTTTCTCTTCCACCTTCTAATGTCTGATTTCCAAAAAACCCTATGCGAAGGTTTGAGAGCTTACTTATTATAATACTTTAATAATAATGCGCCAAAAATATGGGTAATAAGAAATGAATTATCCTTTCAAATTTTACGGAATGAATCGTTACTACAACCAGAATTCAAGACGTGTTGTTTAGTGTAAAAACCGGATGTCTAGGTGAGATACGCGATACTTACGTTATGACCCAGCAATGACTTCCACTACATCCTACACTGTACCCCTAAGCTTGAGTTTGATCCGATCTAGTGTAAAATAATAGACTCGTGGTGAATCGTGTTTATTTAAGTCATGGTTGTGATATTTTGACTCTCGAAAATACATATAATAGATGAATAATACAAAAAAGTTGATTACTTTCATATTGTTATCTTTTGAGGTAGGAACTGACCGTGACTAAAGGCATCCAATTCACAGCAACTTCACGATTAATATCTGTCACTATTTTGGCCTGACATCGATGATACAAACACTACAATTCGAATTAGGGTGTGTAAATGTTGCCTACTAGTCTAAACTCGATACTTTTGATTTAACATGTATATTTTCTGCTATTTATGTCTGGTTATCTATAGTGCTATGTTGCATCTCCTTTCTAATCGACACTGATTTAAAGCTTCACAAGCCTTTAGTTCTTTGATTACGAATCGTACTAATCATGCAGCAATAGTCTACTGTATTGGTTGAGCGCCAATATGTGTACTCTGTAGTCTAATACTTGAATAGTGTTAATCTAAAAATACAATACTACGGGTAATGCAGGGTCTCCCACACAGCGGAGAAAAATTTACGGGCAACTGTCTGCCCGGGTATAGATTTTTTGCGCGCCCGCTCCACTGACTTACCAAAGATATAATGTCCAGTGGGCCCGTCAGTGATGTACGCACAATTCCCCACCCCATTACCGCGCGCACCATTGACACAGGATGAAGCTGCGAATCGGATGGCCATGACAGATCACAACCCACTAGATCCACCTACCACGCATCTATATCATCCCCAAAAATCCATGCACTTTAATGATATTACAGCAGACTGTGAAGCAACTAATCTTATAGTGTATCTGTTAATACAGTGGTCGCGTCCAACTTTTTTTCATCCAAGGCCTGACACTTTCTAAACACACATCAGACAGGAGGGCCGATTCAGCAGGCTGTTAGACTGCAACTCAGTACAGTGAGAATGATGATAATCATAGTGCAAGTTTAAACACTTAGAAATGAGCCGTCAGTCCTCTTCCTATATCACTCTAACAATCCTCATAGACACACATTATATTATCTTCAATATTTAGCAATGTGGAGCATCAAACCTGTTAGAATTTTCCTATATTTAACTTGCATTGTGACCAAGATATCATTTTAATGTGATGCAAGGCGTACAATTTAGGCCCAGAGACCACCTGTAAGCCTGAAGACACAGAAAAATTTGCCCTGGGAGGGCAGACATTTTGCGACCCACCCGCGTATTGACATCGTTCTTAGTGAATTAAATTAATGAGTTATCCACGTGTTGTCTGCACAAGTGACACGTCACTCGAAGAAACCACAACCATAAGCCACACATGGTAGTACACTCTGTGTGCACTTCAGCGTTATACCACCTCCTACAGAGTCACAGTATAAGAAATAAAAAGACCATTGAAAAAGTCTGTTACCTGCTTTCAAGACACTCGCTCCGCGTAAAACTTGCTGAACCCGAATGACCATAGCTCACTATTATGTGTCGCCGAATATCCACAGACGCAGGCGTCAGCATGGCATACCTACCATCATAATAATATACACAGCACGAGTACAATAAACTGCCAGGTGCATCTAATCATCAGTAGGTTTACTTGAGGCGGACCACCCGTTAGCAAAAAGGTACGAGGTCAAAAAGCGATAGCGTCTTCCATCCATGTTTTTAATTATCGAGATAGCATGATGAACACTCCAGATGTAAGTCGCTTTCCACACGAGCAACGAAACCAAGAACTGCGTTCCGATTCACGAGGCACATTCTGTATTTTCCGATGAGGAAACACGCGCACATTCAACTTCTTCATTTAATCTCAAGATAAACCAAAATACTGATGTTCCCTGTTTAATGCTCGCGGTTCCGTCCTCATCTTATCACCATGCACTCACTAAAACAGCCAACACACTTTAAGAGACTATTGACTTTCTAAAAAACTCACACCGCAGTCAGTCCTGAGTAAGTCCGCCCGTTATACCAGGCAGCAGCCAAATCATGCAGTCACAGTAGCCGCCTCCTCAGACGGCGCCGTAGTGTCGGTCTTGGTCCTTGCGTCTTTCTGTTGTCCCCTTACTATTATCTGCTGTGGTGTCAGATGGTCCTGGAGGCTACCTCGTCCTCCAAAGGGCAATTTACACAATTGCCACTGATGCTGCTGGTTCCAGACGGTGAGGCGAGCGGCACAGAGACCAGTGCGCCCATGACTGGGTGGCTGAGCGAGGTACGTACTTTCGCGGCGCAGTCTGCGCGGTTCCGTGCGGGAAAGTGAGGAATGCGCTGTGAGATCCCCGTCTTTGCTCTCCGGTCCTCACGACGCTCAAAATGCCCGAGCTAAGGTCGATGGTGCTGCTATTATAACATCCGGCCAGAAGATGTTGATATCCAGTTTATGTCGTGCCGTCCTCCGCTTGTATATAGGTTCTTCCCGCGGAGGCCCAACCGCAGCTTCTATCACTCTCCGACTCCGACGAGACAATCTGTAGCCCGGACAGCAACTCGGAGCATGCTCCCGCCAGCTTCTGGACTCGGGCTTGAGATTCTTAGTTCCGACCCTGTCTCACACTAGACTAAATTGCATATGACATTTAATGCGTGAATCAATGTGATCTATGGGCCCATTGCATACATGCCATAAAAATGATTTAGGTGTTCTATATACAATAGCCTCATAATACCACAAATAAACTGGTTTACCTACATTGATGCACGGGAAGAGCACCAGGACACCCCATTTGACTCACCTCAGCCACCCGTTCGCACGTACTGGGCTCTGATGTTCTGTGTTTAGCCTTACATATGGCTGCAATACATTAGGCCAGTTGTTGGTAAAATTAACCCTGGAATGAATGAATCGGCGGCGCGTCTGAAGAGAACAACATCTCTCAACTCCCGTTAGACGTGCACAGTTACAATGGCTACGGAATTCAGCGCGGCATCATCTATCAGGCGAAAAGGAGAACGCAGTTTCTCCATGACTGCATTATTCACCGCAAATAGTTCAGTTTGGACTCTGGCTGTTTCATAAATAGATTTGGTACCACGGGTTCGCATTCACACCCGAGGAACCGCACAAAGTTGGTCATGTTTTTGACAGTGCGGTTTTCAAAGCGAAACCCATGAGCGAACACCTCCTTTTGTGAACCTCGTTTCATACGGTCCTCAATATATTGCCCGCTTTAGTCTGAACCATCTGATCAATAAACATACCGAAAACACTTAATGAAATGAATAAAGTCCACCGAGTCAATACTCAGCGAGTCCAGATTATTGACGTTACCCTTTGCCCCCTCCTCTTTTGTTCGCACAACCAACATGTCGGCCTAATCCACGAACGAAGAAACCCCCCGAACTGCTTAACCATTCTTTCTGGTTACTCTTAACGCGATATTTGGACATCTGGTCCATTATAGAAATCAATCAGAATGGTGTTTCAGATCCGATGCAGACTCTACACCCCAAGAGTTCTTTGCCCCAGTCAAGTGCGGTCCCATTTAAATAGATGTCAGTGATTCATGGGGCAATTAACAACCATGGTTGCAGTGAAATAAAGAATGCACTGTCTGCATTCTGATAAAGCAGCCAGTTAACATTCACCTGATACTAGCTGATAGAGACCCAGAAACCTTCCCCCCCAGCATTTCCTCCTCAAACAAGATTAACGCAAACGACAAAATCCCTGATCCATCACATGCTGCCATTATTGAATAATTTACTACTTTCAGTATCTCTGTAGGAAGCAAGCCTAATCAGGTCTAACTAATAGAAAAAATGCAATAAAGAAAAAATTTGCTGGATTGGGTAATCTGCCAAATATCATCTAGGGAATCATGTGTTGACTGATAATTTCCAAACTAGATTGAAATTCTAAAACATCGTAATTGTAATATGAGAACTAATGTTAACTGGTATTAGTCGACCCATGAAAGTCTTCCAATGATCTTGAAACTTGTTTAGACTACCAGAATTAGTCTTATTAACTATATCGACTTTTTATATATACTACACAAGGCTATCGAGCTAGCAACCCTGTTGGATTATTGTCAGATACCCAAATCA